GAAAGTAATATATAATAAGTAATTATAATACTAAAAGCATTATAAGACTAATCTTATTAAGTATATTTAAAATAATAAAAATAATACTTAATTATTTTATAATAAAGGCCTTTAGCCTTATAGAAAGAATAAGATAAACTAATAAACTAAATTTTAAAATTAAATTTACTAAATAAATATACTCTAAAGTCTTATAAGATTTTAATTAAAGATTTTATAATATAATAATTAATAAAGTATATTAAGGAAATAATTAAGAAAGAGAGTTAATACTTATTAAAGCTTAATATAAAAATAAGGAGATATATAGGTCTTAAGGATAAGACCTAATAAAAGAGAGAGATTATATTATAACTTATATAGCTATATTATATAGCCTTTATAATTTTATTAATTATAAAAGGATTACTTCTTTTAGTAATAATCCTTTTTTATTAAATTATTTAAATTATAATATTTTAAGATTAAATTATTATAAATTACTAATAATCTTTAAAGATTTAACTTTTAAGTTATTAGTATTCTTTATTAAGCTATAAGGCTATTTTTAATATATAGATAATATTTATTAATACTTTTATAGAACTTAGCTTATTAGCTATTAATAAAGTATCTTTATATTAATAAGTTTAATATATATTACTTAATTATTAAGAGATATAATACTTTATAATACTTAGTATTATACCTTATGCAATTTCTAAATATAAACCTAGTATAAACTAGTTTACCTATTTAGAAAATCTAATTATTATAAAAATAGGTATTAGAAAAAAATAAAAAAGGAGAATACTAATTTACCTAGAAAATATAAACCTTATAAAATATTATAATTAAAAAAGGTTATAAAATAATTATAAAGCTTAATTATTATAAATTTTATAATTAAATTATTATTATTAGAAGATCTTTTAATTAAAATCTTTTATAATAGTATTATAATTATTATAAATAGACTTATAAAACTCTTAATTTAATTATTGTATAAAGAGGTAATAAATATAAAAGTTATAGCCTATATTTTCTATAATAAGGTATTAAGAAAATAAGGGTTACTAAAAGAAATTATATTAAATAAAAGACTAATATTTATCTTTAAATTCTAATAATTACTTATAATACTTATTATAAAAGTTAATTATTAACTTATAATAGCCTTTAGACCTTAGGTAAATAGATAAATAAAATAAATAAACTAGATATTAAAATAATACCTTTAGTATTATATTAATTATAATTTAAATAATTAAGTTAAAGAATTACTAAATACCTAGCTAGCTTATAATATTACTTATAATAAAAGTATAAAACTTATAATATTTAATATAAATATTAAATTTATACCTAATATATATTATAATACTTAAAGATTTAAAAATATTAACTTAATAATAATTATTATAAATAATAAGCTAAAAGAAGTATATAATAAACTTAAAATTAAGTTAGAATTTATTAAAAAAAGGATATAAAGATATTATAACCTTAAAAGATTAAAAAACCTAACTTTTAAAAAGAAAGATATAATTTACTTATTTATTAAAAATATTAAAATAAATTAATTAAGATATAAATTAAATTATAAATATTTAAGATTAATTAAAATTAAATAAAAAATAAAAAAAGATTAATATATATTAGATTTATTTCTAAATATTAAATATTATTTAATTTATTATATTTTAATATTAGAATTAATTATTAATATAATATATATTAAAACTAATAATAAACTATAATAAATTATAAAACTAGAAATTTATAAAATAAAAGTAATTAAAGATATATAAAAATTTAATAATTAAAAGATATACCTAATTAAATAGAAAAACTACTTAAAAAATAAAAATATAAAAGAATTAATAAAATATCTTATAAAAGCCTAGTAATTCTTAAAGAACTTTTATTAATATTAAATAAAAGAGAAATATTAAAAATATTATTACTTAAACTTAAAGTAAATTAATTAATATTATTAAAAATATAATTTATTTAAAAATCTTAAAATAATATAATTTATTTAAAAATCTTAAAATAATATATCTTTATTAAGAGAGAAGTAATACTATAGCTATATATAAAGTAATATAATAATAGTATTTCTCTTTTTTAAGATAAACATAATATAAGGCGTTATACACTACGTAAAAAAAAAAAAAAAAAAAAAAAAAAAAAAAAAAAACACACACAATAACTATAATATTAAGTTAATAGATTATATAGCTGCTGCCTTAAACCTTAAGATCTAACTAAACAAGTAGCCTTAAAATATATCTTTATATATATCTAACTTAAATAGGATTATATTTTATTAATTTACTTCTTAAAAGCTATAATAAGTAGCTTTAAAATACTTTTTTTTTTATATAATTATAAATTTTATAAATTCTTAATAAATAACTAGTAGCTAGAGCTAAGTAAGATTATAATATTACTATTTCCTTATAAAGTTTAAGAAGATCCTTATTTATTTTATCTTTATTATTTTTTAATTTTTAATTTTACTTTATTAAATTTATAACTAATATAACTAATAGAATTAATAAAAGTTTAATAAGAAATAATATATAATAACTTATAAGAAGATATAATATAAGTACTATTATAAGATTTTTTAAATTAAATATACTTATTTTAATAAATAAAACTAATAAATATTAAATACTTCTTACCTATTTAAAAGTAATAAATATAAGGTATATTAGCTTCTTTATTAATAAACTTAATAAAAAGTATAAGTATATAAATTTTATAATTTTTATAAAATAAATATATAAATACCTAGTTAAATGTTATAAGATATAATAATAAAAGGTTTAAATTAGACTATATTAAAAGAAGAATAATATTAGTTAAGATAATAGGCCTTAGGAATAAGACTACTAAAGGGGAGAGATTATATTATAATCTTAGTAATTATATTATATATATTTTATAAAAACCCTATCTTATTAACTAATTATAAAAGGACTAATTAATATAGAAATAATAGTATTTTAAGATTATATTATTTTAAGACTAATAATAACCTTATATTATATTACTTTTATATAACTATTTTAATATAAAGATTATATTTATTATTACTTTTATAAGACTTAGCTTATTAGCTATTAACTTTAAATATTTTTATATTAATAAATTTAATATATATTACTTAATTATTAATAAATATAATATTTTATAAAGCTTAGTATTATATCTTATATAATTTATAAATATAAACTTAATATAAATTAGTTTACTTATTTAGAAACCTAATTATTATAAAATAGCTATTTTTAATTATAGCTTAATTAAGTTTATTAATTATATATAAATTTTAAGTTATTTAAAAAATATAATATTTTTAAGTTAAATTAATTAAAAGCTATTTAAATTAAAGAAATTAAAAAAAGCCCTAAGGTATAACTAGCCTTTAATAATAATAAAAATAGCTCTCCTTACTGCCTTTATGGGCCTATTAGCTTAATATAAAAAGTAACTTATTAATATAGTTATATAGGTAAAATAAGTAATTTATATCTTTTTTATTATTTTTTTTTTCTCTTTTTTTTCCCTTACCTTTAGCCTTATATAAGGCTATTAAGCTTTTTAGCTTTTTTATTAATAGTTTAAATAGTAAGACCCTTATAGCAGGCTATTATTATAAAAGTTAGAATTAAATAAGGTTTATTTACCTTAATAATATAATTACTGCCTTAATTAAGTAATATTAATATTAATTATATCTTAATTGCTAAATTAACTTTCTTCCTTTAATTTATTTAAAGAAATATTATATTTAATTTATTTATTATAAAGTATATTATTTAACTTAACTTTCCCTTTTAACCCTTTTTACTAATAATATAATAGCTATACTGCCTTAATACTTATTATATAAAATAGCCTATAATTATATAATTATACCTATTATATAACTAGCTATAATCTTAATCTAGCTATTAGGCCTACCTTAAAGGCAGCTAATAAAGAAAAACTTTATATAATATATATAATAATTACTATTATTATAAAGAATTTCTTATTAAAAGGTAAATTTAACCTTATTAAGATAATTATCTTTAATTATAGCTTAATTTAATTAATTAATTATATAAAAAAAGATATTATATTAATTTAATTAATTTAAATTAGGTTAATAATAAGCTATTAAGTCTTAAAGACTTAAAAATAGCCTTAAGGAAAGGTTATTTTCTTTAGTCAGATAAGGTAGCTTTTCTTATTACCTTTATAAGCCTAAACTTAGCTATATATAAAAAGTAACTCCTTAATATATCTATAAGGGCAGCTGATATTGCTAGAGAGCTGCTTTTAAATTAGTAAGGGGAGTCTATATATAGAGTTAGATAAATGCAGGGTAAAGGCAGGGTTTAGAAATTTAAAGGAATTATATTAAGTTTTATATAAGTTAGTTAGTAAAAGTTAAATTAACCTTAATTAATTAAATACATATAGTAAAGTATATAACTAATTAACCTTATATATAAAAATAAATAAAGTAAAATTAGTAAAAAAGTAATAATTTAAACTAGGGATCTTTTTTATTATATATAAATTTATAAATTAGGCTATTTATAATCTTAAATTATAAAAGTATAGTTAAAGGAGTTTATATATAAAGTTAAATAAATATAAAATAAAGGCAAGGTTTAGAATTTTATTAAAGTTAAAATTAAAGGAATTATATTAAGTTTTATATAAGTTTGTTAATAAAAGTTAAATTAATTATAATTAATTAAATATATATAATAAGATATATAATTAATTAACCTTATATATAAAATAAATAAAGTAAAATAAATAAAAAAGTATTAATTTAAACTAGGAATATTTAACTTTATATAATAATATATAAAATAAAATATTAATATTAAATTAAATTCTTTATTTATTTAAATTTAGTTAATTATATTAATAAATTAAAAAATAATATAAATTATTTTATTACTTATAATATTTTTATATATTTATAAATTTTAAAAATATTTAACTATCTAAATAATTATTAACTATATATAAGGTTAGTAATTATATTTTTAAGTTTTTTTTTTCTTTTTATTCTTACCTCTATTAATCGCTCAGTTAGCTCAAGATAGTCACGGTTTACGTCTTCCATTGATCCAAATGAACATGATCGCCACAATCCACCAAATCCCATCGAGTCCAAAACCTCGGTCAGTGTGGACATTAAGCCAGTGGCTCTTGAAAATTGTTGGGTCGATGACAGAGCGCGCAAAAGAGTATGTGCAGCTCTTAACGTCGCCGAGTTTTGGCTGTGCAGTAAAGTATCGTCTAGTAAAGAGCGAATGGCTCCGGATCTATTCCTAGGTCAGTTTCATAACGTCGCGTACAGCACATCAGCTGGTGAGGGACTGACAATTGTTCTACCACAATAGGGCGTTCCGTCGCAAGCTTGTTAAGCCAATCCAAACTGCGCCTTTGCACACAGTCTTCCACATACTGGAAGTCAACAAGTTCGATTGCTGTGATCAACAAGACGACGTTATCCGGCATCCCTTCGAGATCCGGCGATTTGCGCATTCCATTAGCAAACCCAATTTCATCAGCGTCAATACCAGCAGACCAGAGACTGTCTTTGAATTCGTCATTTTCAACAGCGCGGGCTGTCAGGAGAGACAGATATGGTGAGGTCTGGGTCATCTCAGCCTTTTCCCGACCCTCCACATTTGCCGTCATCATCTCTAGAAAAGAAGATAGGACACGCATGGTGATTTGTCGTGTCATGGTGTCGGTTAGTCCACGTGCCAGACATGCACAAACGGCGAGGTGGAAGGATTCTTCCTCGAAGTGTATACCGTATATCTCCTCCAGGGGCAACGCAGCCTCGTCCAGCGGGGCTCGACCTTGAAGAAGTAGTGAAGCCATGCTATCTCCTCGGAACTCTTCTCCAGTGCTTATGTTCGCTAGCACCGCCTCAAGAAACTGCGCAGTGCAGTTGAACAGAGTCGCAGGTACTAACCGCACGAGTGACATGGCCAGCCAGAAAAGTTGCAGACCGTAGCGTGATGCTGATGGGAGTTTTGCCATCATTTTCGATAGCGACGTGACGATGGAGACAAGCATTTCGCTGTTGTGATCCTCGCCAAATCGATTGACGCTGTTCCTCAGAGCAACAAGCACTTGGTAGAGCAAATCATCATCGACCTCTTCCCGAGCCAAGCAACCCATAACCGCAAATGCACGTGGTTGAATAGCAGGATTATTCTGGAAGGCCGTGCTTGCAACTAGGCTCATCCACCTCGATCGCCATGTATTAGCAAGGTCAACTGTTGGTGCAGCGACGGAGCAAATTTCAAAGAGAGCAGATGCGAGATTTTCGGTCGCCGTCAACGCGGGGCCTGCGTCCTGTGAAGTCGATACTGAGGCACCATCGCGAGGGAAGGTTGGCGGCGCCGTGAAAATGTCGCTACGAGGATCGCATAGAAAGTCTAGACTTGCTCGCAGTTTGCTAGATCTGGCATCATCCAGGCTGAATGATGTACATACGGCGTGAACCGTGTTGACAAGCAACCGGTAAACAAGTAACCGAACCTCTTGAGTACCAGTGTTGGCCAGCATAGTCACGATATGGAAGATCTCCGGTAGGAAAAGTTGAGACTGCACCCCGTTGTCGAAAGACAGTGCAAGGCAGAAGCGAAGCAAGACGCAGATTTCAGACCAGACTGCGTTGTCTGGCAGGTACTTCGTTGGTCGGAGCGAGGATCTGTTGAGAGCTTTACGGAGCCTTGAAAGGATCTTGCCGCGTAAAGTAACAGTTCCGATACCAACTACGATAGACGCGATGACCTCTAAAGATTCGTCATGCGCGCTATAGCTCATTGCTGACTTCAGCAGCTCATCCAGGAAAACCTCGAGCAAGATTTCGTCTTGAACAATCCTTGGCCACACGGATTGTTCCAGGGCAAAAGTAAGTGAATGATCCTGGACAGTCACATCGATAAGCTTTCGAAATAGAATTGCGACTCTTTCTCGCCCTTTCTCCCCATCCAGCTCGCTTGTGAGGATGTTGGTCCGTAGACCAGGAAGCCAAGGAGCCATGTAGGCAAGACTCAGAGGCTTTTGTTCATCAGGGAAGCTTTCCCAGCCCACGAAGAATTCTGTCAAAAAGTCTGACGTCAACTGAGGCTCACTCAGTGCCAACTCCTTACTGATATCCACTACGAAACGGGTTGGATCTAAAGGAACAGAAACATCTAAAATATGGTCAGTTGCTATACCCAAGACATTTTAAGTTTTTCTTAAGACTTACCTTTGGTGCAGACGATCCGTGAAGCGGAGCTGAATTTGAAGGCCCGGCAAAGAGCCCCCAGAAGATTGTAGGAAGACAGCCTCAGGATGTGATCATGGCTCGACAAATTCGCCAGTGAAAGATTCAACAGCGTACCTGGCACATCTTGTGGCCTGATAAGGCGCTCAACAGATTTGTGAGCCCTGCTATCCTTGCCATGCTTGGCCTTGGCACCCCGGATCGTCTGAAGCACATCGGACTTCTTTGGGCTCGTAAAGTACATCACGATCTTCCCGTTGTCAGCTCGTAAGCCAAAAGCCGAATCATCTTCAGTCTGGATGGATGTTGGTGCTTCATCAACTTCGCCCAACCGGAAAATGTCGTTCACGGTCGTCCCCAAACGAAATCCTGCGAAAATCTCTTGCTTCTTCGTGGTTGTTACTTGGACAAACTGGCTGCCAACTTTGATAATTACTTCAATCTTGCCCTTTGACTTTGACAGGCGGGTGATTGGTTGAAAGACGTATCGTGTATCAGTCACTACACTGATTGTTTCCTTAGGCAGATGTAGCTGGCTGAGGTGGAAATGCGCCTGCAAGTCCTGAAGACTTCCTATCAAATGATATTCGACGTTTTTAGGGTTAAATACGCCGTTCTCGTTCTTCGTGCATACCCTCAGTAGGCGTCGAAAGCACCGCCTGCAATCGAGATTAGTCCAGAAACCTAATCCCTTCATTCTGAGAAGTCAACTTACTTGAATGCACTGTTCATATTATAGACATAAATACGACTAAGGTTTTGTGACAGTTCTGAGGGTGTTAGGAGCTCTAACTTCTTGAACAGGTCATCCTGGGGCTCGTTGCGGCCATTATAGCAAGTCGCATCGATCAAGATGCCAAACGGTCTGTGCCATAACCTGCTGGCAATTTTGAGATAGCAATATAGCAATGTGTCATAGTCGATGCTCTCCGTCTCAATATGACGCAAGATGACACAGATGATAGACAAGCCGTCCTGTTCATGTTTAGTCAATGTTATAGTCAGTTTAGCACTTCGGACTCACCTTGCTTTCACCTCCATCATAAACAGCACGTGCTGTCAAGAATGATTCCGTACTTCGAAAGGCATTCCGGAGCATGAAGTTTTGGAATCGAGAGTACAGTGGTGGGCTATTGGATGAGACTTGGGGCCTGTTCCACGAAACAGCAAGCGGTGGTGGACCAAGATTCGCAATCAGGTTTCTCAACGGTTCCAAGACTGGTGATCTACCCCGAACAACATCCCCAGATGTTCTGCCGTAATCCTTTCTTTCGCGCGAGATCAGTGTTTGGCGGACATGGTCCCAATGGTCGTAAAGGAAACGATGTAGCGCGACGCAAGATCCAAAATCGAACGATTCCGTCGTGCGTTGCACTTCCAACTGATTGGGAGGAACCGAAATCTCGCGGAGGAACGTCGTAACATGATAAATATTCTGTGTCAGGAAGTCGTTAAGGGGAAACATGTAGGGTTCTTTTGCCCCAAACAGCACGTTATTGGCGAGGTTTTGTATGACCTTGGCAATCAGAAGTAAGCCACGTCGCATTTCTTTAGACGGTGCTGTCGATACGAGGCCCTCGACTTCAGGGGCAACGATAGCTGGGCAAAAGAACCGTAGAAAGATGAAGGCTCCCACGGCTGTGTACTTGGCATCGGGAAATCTTGGCATGACTGCGTTTGATATGGTGTAACAAATCTTGCGGAAAGCGGGTGGAATGTTGGAAGAAGATGCGCATATGTCGTCAATGAAAACCTTGGCCACAATGCGCAGCTGTAGAGCATTTTTCTGAAGCTCCTCTGTAGAGCTGACTCTTGCGGGGTCAAGCTCAAGATCGAGATCCTTAGATGTCAGCATAAGACGCTCCAAGACCTTTTGGAGCGTCGTTCGAATATACGAAGCACCCTTCCACTTGGCATAGACTGATAGCATCTTGGTTGCAACACACCCTCGACGCAATATCTCAGCCTCATTCTCGGTATCTTCAATCTCTTGTTTGATAAGTGCCTCCAAAAGCTCAAAGATCATTCCTCGTTGCTCAAAAACAGTGAGCAGGCAGATAGTGAGCTCATCCACCTCAGTGCTGGGGCAAGCAACGGCCATCGAGATGGCCAGGGATAGATCATTGGTCAGTAACTCGAGTAGTTCCTCATACTTCTCACTCACAGCTGAGTCCGTCAGGTTGCTAAACTCAGTGCCTTGGATCAGAATATTATAGAGGACCTTGACGAACGCAGTGCGGATCTCAACGTTGTCATGATATCCAATATTAAGAGAGTGCTTGAGGCCAACATCGATGTTGGCACTAAGCAAGTTGGACAAGATGGTGATCGCCAAATCTGAGTTTGATGCAGACTCTTCACGAAGGGTGACACTCAAGTTCGTATCAGTCCTAGTCAGCTCTGATGGCTCATGGTTGAGTAAGGACAGAAAGCGGTTGAAATATGTATGAAACATTTGCGACTTCATCTCGCTCATGCCAGCATCAGTATGGCTCTCGGAGGGTTGCAGTGGCAAACGGAAAGTCAAATCAGCCAGTGATTTTAAACAAGCCTTATCAAGGTCTTTCTGCACACGAGCCGTGTCGTCCTGCCTGGAGCCAGGGCCATGCTGAGGTGAGCGAGGGCGCGCAATCCAGCCGAAGATGTATTCAAGTAGTTGGTTCCGAATGCGAACATCGTCTCGCAAGTTTAGGTGCTCTTTTCGCTTCGTCACCACCTCGCACAGGTGGCAAACCCGAATCTTGACCCTCAGCGTATTGGGTGTATCGGTGACACCATCCAGGAACTTCGCGAAGTTCAGTGTGAGTGCACCCAGGTGAACTGAAGATGCAGCTCCGAGATCAGAGGGGCTTTCTAGTCTTTCCACAAGAGCCCGAAGTAAAGATGCGGCTTGCTCAGCAAATACCACTTCACTATCCTGGTCTTTCTCAATAGGGGCCAGAGCTCCAGTGAATAATACTTCTAATTCAGATTCTAAGGCTCGAAACAACGGATAGTAAAGCGCAGGTGAGACTTCACTGGCAAGCACATCTCGCATTGCTTCGCGTACTCTCACATTGGCACAAGCTAAAAGCTGAATACTGAGTCTCAGGTATCTCGTGAGAAGTGGTTCCTCGGAGTGCTCAGAAGAGACACGATCGATCCATCTTAGACCCCCAAAAGTGGGCTCTTCGAGAATGATGGCTTGGTCGGCGGTACAAATGCCACCCAGGGATGCTAAAAATCCGGAATAGTTTCGCCACTCGGCCAACGCTCTTCCATCCACAATCTCGACAGTTGACGTTGAGACATCCTTTGCAAGATGAAGCCAACGATCGAATGCGGTCTCCCAGGCGTTAACGATGCCCGTTGTTGGGAATTGCATGCGGCGCAAAAGACCCCTTACTCGCTTCTGGAATGCAACTAGTCCAGTGAACCGGAAGGCTGGAGAAGATATCTCGCGGTAAACTTCAGCGTTTCGAAGCACTGATGCTGATGACTTTGCCGACTCTACATGTTTGTCGACAATCGAGCACTCTTGAATGAATAATCCCGTGCAGGAAGTCACCAGCTGACAGGTTGTGATGCTGGCAGAACAAAGAGAGATGAGAAGTGTCGTCTCGAGCTTGGAAGATGCATTGATGACATCCGGTGCATCTTCCGGCATTTTGGCCAATTCCTACAGGCTGTTAGCAGCCGATAACTATCACGAACAACATTACTTGAAGTACAGAGCTGCATACCGGGATGTTCTTGAGAAGGAGTAAACGTGCTTCTAGATAGTCTTGTAGATCGCGTAAGCTCTGATCATCTTTTTTCGAGGTGACAGACTCGCATAAAGCAAGTAGAACTTTGGAGCTTAGGGTCTCATTAGCGGGTTGAAGATTTGCAGAAATTTAGATTGCACTCACCTTCGACTCCAGATATCATCACGAAGTTCTTTTGTGCCGAAACGGTGCCCGGTATCGAATTGGCGGTATGCCTCAAGGTGGCCTTCAAAGAGTCGGCTTGCAACGCCTGTGGCAAGTTTACGCACGGCTGGATTCTCAGACAAAACGCAAAGAAGGAAGGACTTGAAGAAGCTATTATTTGAACCATCTTTTGACAGATCATCTAACAAGCGAGCTGGGGATGCATCCAAGAATTGGAGAATGCTGCAGACCAGTTCTGTCCTTTCACTCCCTTGTCGACTCGTCGTACTAACAGCCTTGGCATTCTCAGTCTAAAAGCGTCAGTTAGGACCGGCAAGAATGGTAAGTCACCGAAGCTCACCTCTAATTGCGTCCGCATGAAGGGTATTGCCGCATCAAAAAGTTCGTGGTACCTTAGAGCATATGGCTGTTGAGCGAAATACGTACATCCCTGAACAGTAGCTAACTTAAAACTACTTGGGGCATTTGGAGCGATACAGCTTTCAACAAAGCCGCTGACACTCGTATCAAGATTGAGATGGGTCAAGCTCACAAAGGCTGCGGTCATCATGTCCTGATCAAAGAGTCCGTATTCCGATGCGGTAAGACGGCGAAAAACAGCATCGCGGACCTCGTCCTGAACATCCAAGGCATAACTGACAAGGGCTGAGTCGCTTTCAACATCGAAATGTCTTGCAGCACGGAGCAGAGAAACCAGACAGTAAGCTGCTTGCTCGTTTCGATTGCGCGAAGCTTTTCTTAGTCCATCTAGAAAGGAAACCTTCTTCACCATGCTGCTGCTCTTTGCTTCGCGCATATTGCTCGCTACTTCAAAAACATCCGGCAAGAGGAAAAGCAAAGTGGTTTGGAGAGGGTAGAGTAGACCTTTTCGGCGTCCATTATCCGTCGCAGCCTGCGCCATGTCAAACAGGGTATCAGCTCCGCCATCAAGTCGCTTGTGAAGCTGGTGAAGCTGCACGAACTCGCGAGGGAACCGATCCAGCCATCTCATGATCAGCAATGGAGATACTACAGCAATAGTGTTTTGGTAAGGCTTTCGGAAGTGTAGGAAGCTTGAGCAGATCTCTTGTATAACTTGGCTCAGCTTTGGGCCATCAACCCAGAAGAAGGAGAGCAATCGCAAAACGACGAGGGCTGCTCTCTCAGCATCTTGAGTAGATCCAGGCGTAGAGACGCCAGGCTGCGTAACAATACTAGTTCGAATAGTGTATATGACATTCCTCAAATAGTCGAAGGCAGCAGTCCAACTGGAAGTTGTGACATACTCGGTCACTGCCTTGATGTGGATATCCATTTCCACCAATGTCTCTGCAAACCTCTCGTCGCTCGGGGGAGAGCTATCGGCGTCGGATGAGACAGAAGAGCTTTCGGGGCGAGTGACGGAGACATTGCGCGTCGAGACTTGGTCAAGTAGAGTCTGGGCTGGAAGTATACAGTTCTCGGGGATCGGTTCAAGAAGGTGCTTGAACGCGTCGAAGAGGCGGCTCACAAGCACTTCGTCCAGCGGAGGAGGAGTCGGGCTCGGTTTTACATCTGTGTCTTGTGAGAGAGAGGCCCAATGAGAAGAACAGCAGTCTGCAATAACGGCGACAATGTAGAGCTCGGAAGCCAAGATATGGCTGGGGTGGTCGGCGACGGCTGCGTAAGGGCGAGCAAGGTCCTCGAGTAGAACCAGAAGCGACGCGATGACTGTGGATATGGATGTATTTCCTAGTTCAACCAACGTGGCTCTTGTAACGTGGAGGACATCGTCTTGTTGTAGGCTGTGGCCACTGGTGCCAGCTCGATGGGGGAGCTATTGAGAGGTACCCAACGTCAGTCCGCCCAAGCAGCTAAGGGGGGCGCAAGCTGCCTCACGCATGGGATAGACAGATACTTACTCTGGTAGCGAGCCTGTCGACAAGGCAGCCGACTAGGCTTGCGTCGCAATTCATGATCACGACAGCATTGAGCGTGAATACGCAGATTTGGGAGAGATCAAGTTGGGAGTCGCTCGTTCCTCTGACCGGGCAGGCATTAAGCGTTCGTGCCAAACCCCGCGAACAGTACCCACAGGGGTAGCACGTATAGGGGAGCTCGCCGTTTTCAGACATCTACGACGTGAAAGGTATTACATATGGACAACGCATTAAAGTATTTTATCATGAAGCAGAAGCAGAAGCAGGCTGAAAACAATATATTTAACATCAATTCAGTCTCCAGTAGCATACTATTTACTAGAGTATATATTTTCCCGTTCCTCACTCAATTCTTGCCAACATCGCAATTCTCACTCCCATCCATGTGCTCAGATCTCGATGCTACCCGTCATTCATCAGGAACTACAAACGGACCAGACATAGCCAAACATTCCAACGACAGCTCCCACCATCCTGGGGCCTCGAGCATGCAACTGACCCTTGCGTACTGTACTCATAATTAAATAAAGGCTGAATCTTGAGCTTTACTGCTCTGGCATTGATTTAATCCATTTCCAGTTTCAGTTGGTCGTACGCAGCAGTACCGTATAAAATGTACCCTGGCCAGACCGATCATATATATGCCATCGATATGAACCTCAAAAGCTTAGATGGGCAACCCATTCACTTATCCGTCATCCCGACGCCCTAGGTTCCAAAAACTACCTGTATGGCCGTCCATCTCTGTAGTTACCTCGAGAACCATAGCCTCCTGAGCCGTATCCTCCTGAGCCTCGTCCTCTATCATAGGACTGTCCTCCATAGCCCTGATAACCAGAAGCACCAGGAGGTGGCTGCGGTGGGCCTCTGTATTGATGGTTATAGCCTGGAGCACCACCATGGCGGTTATCGTACTGCTGTTGATTGTAATAATGAGCTGGTGGGGGCGGCGGTGGTACTCCAATCCCGAATCCAGGGGCTCCTGGTGGTGGAGGCACATGAGAAGCGGCCGGTGGAGGGTAGTGGTCATTTGATCTGCCATATCCTCCTTGGTGCCGGTCATGCTGAGGCCCACGCGACATACCAGGGCCGTTGTAGCCACCTCGATTGTGGCCTCGTCCGAAACCGCCGTTCCTGCCTCCGCGGTTGGCCTTGTTCCGGATATCTTGAATGTCGCTTTGTGTGAGAGCAGGCTTTGGTAGCTGAACCCCACGAAGGAGCATCGACTTGTGTGTTTGTGAAACGGAAGGCATGTCGTAGTAGACGCTAGAAATGTTAGCCAGACGAAGACTGTGGATTATGGGCACGATGTCATACCTGACTGATCGATCATAGTCGAGATTGGGCATACCATTCCTGTCAAGAGGGTACTTCAATTCACTATGAGGAACATATCCCTCTTTCTTCTCGACCTTGCCCGACAAGCCGTCACTCTTTTTCGGGTTCAGCTTGAATTTGGAGTCCCCTTGTTTCTTGGAGTAGAACTTGGTTAGAACATCATCGTACAGGCTCTCATGGGCTTCTGAGAAAATCAAAACATCTCTGCCCATTTCGTTGCGTGCTGAATCTGCTGCACTGAGTTCTGGGTATTTTGCTTGAACGGCCGCTAGTAGGCGAGGCATCTCAATGAAAGGAAGCAACGCAACACCTTGCCAGGCCATCTTCTTGCCATTGAGATCAATCTCGAAGTCCTCCGGATAGAAGTCAATGATATTGCTTTCTGGATTAAGCATGAGATCGTGGAAAACCTCCGGAAGGGCATGGCGTGACGCAGCCGGCAAGACACTCATCAACTGCTCGAAGGGCTTGGATATTCTGCCCTTCTCGAAGGAGATCTTCATCTTGGCGATATCTTGGAAGTCAGCTGCAAATGGGGCGTAATGGTAGGGGTAATACCACTCCCAAGAGGGGCAACCCTGGAAGTAGTACAGCAAGACCCAAGCAAGACCCTCCACATAAGCTCGTGCAACCTCGTGACGAAACTCGATATCTTGGGGATCTTTGTGGAACTTCTTCTCGTAGTATCGATCAGCATAGCCGTCCTCCCAGAGGCGCACATCATCGACGGGGCCCTCCTCTGCTGGGGCTGCTGGAGTTGGCGCATTGGATGTATCAGGAGCTGAACTATCCCCTTCTTCGAGAGTTGACGCCTTTCGTTTTCCTAAAGCGGAAACAGAATCTTCATCCGGTTCCGCTGGTTTCGCGTTTGATAGTGACTTTTGCGACTGGAGTTGGGCTTTGAGTACACTAGCGGCGCTCTTGTTGGCAGCGTTCGCATCTGGCGCGCTATTGCGGTTCACAATCATGTCGTGCGTCAGTCTCTGCTCGTTCGGCCCAGAAAAGGAGGTAATGGGTTGGAGTAGCACGTTGGCAGGGTTTTCGAGGCCGTTGATCTTCTTCGGATGAGCAGGTCCACCCTGGCGTCCGCCTCGACCATTATTTTCGTTCTGCAGCTTTCTCCGCTTGAAGTTGGCCTCACGTCGGTCTTCCTGTTCTTTTCGCCGCTTGAAGATATCATCTTCTTGCTTGGCCAAACCGCTCAGAATGACCTGCGCTCTTTCAAGATCAATGTGGCCATCTTTGGTAACGTAGCCGCCCATAACAGGCAGATTGTCTTTCCAAATTTTGGTCAGAGTATCAATTCCATGCTCTCGGATTTCCAGGGCTGGAAGATGCGGTAAGAAATCGTTACCCACGAAACAGCACATAAAGATCCAATCATCAACCGCACGTTCCACGTCGAAGCGGAAGGGCAGATTAGGGACGCTCAGCTCAACTTCCAGGTACTCTCGCAGCACAGCGACATGAAGCCAGATGAAAGGCTTGAGAGCGACTCCTTTGTCCTTCTCGTCATGTTCGCCTTCTTTCTTCTTTTCCTCGCCGCGGCAATTCTGGGCATCATGGCCTTTCTGGCCACAGAGCTTACACAAACGTGCCTTCTGTTCCTGAAAGAAGACGTCTTCACGAAGGACACGGAAATGAGGCTCATGCGTTGCAAGCCCCAGCATGATAAGATCGGCATCAAGACCGTAGATCACATGCCGAGTGTTGGGGTCATGATCTGGTGATGCCCGCTGGGACCGAACAAAATTCATTATCTTGTGCTCTCCCTCTCCAGGAACAGTAGCATCGGAAATGATGATTTTGAGTTTCGCCCAGCCAGGATCCGTGTTGAGTTTGTACTGACACCAATATCTCAAGCTGAGGGCGAGGATGTCCATGAAAGGTGTTCCAGGGGTGATCGAGTTCGAGTCGAAAGCCTTTTTTAAGACAGTCTCTTCGCTTTCGGCAGTTAAATTACCACCATTCTGTTGCTTGAGGAGTTTGATAAGTTCTTGCTTGTCCTTCTCCTTCTCCTGGGCTTCTTGTGCGGAACGAAATCGTCTCGACCGCTGCTGGTTCATCTTGGCTCGAGGTGCAACACCATCTATGGGGGTTTGTCAGCTTTGAACAAGATACTTTCATATAAATCTCCAGCCAAGGGGTGGAAACTGAGCAAAAAAGGCCCTGACATACCAACTGCAATCATGAGTATCTTCCTGGGCCGAACCATGTTGACCACGCGATCGGTATATCTGAAGACTTCCATCATCATCTCCTCCTCATCTTTGGGAGCTGGTCGATCTTCAGGATGAGAGCAAGGATGGACGATGCCGTTCATATCGAGATAGAGGTTATCAAACTCTTCGCCGTTCGGGTTTGGACGAGTCGTATCGACAGGAATCGTGGAGCCATCTTCCATGGTAAGGGGCTGATCCTCAATTACCGGTGAGATAATCTTGGGATATCTGGAAGAAAGCCACCGGAAAGCCGCGGGAATACCCATCGTAGCGGTTCTGCGAAAGTCGACTTTTCGGAAATTTGTGGTGAGCTCCTGCGCGAGTAGGCTCCAGGTAGAACAAAGACAATGCGGATACAAAACCTGGGACTAGGGGAAATAAATGCCTTTCACAGGGCGTGTCGCATCAATGAAGTGAGGCGAAAGCGCGTTAAAGGCCAGGCGAATACGTTCCCCAGTTGCCGTTTATAAAGGGAGATGAAAGTTGTGTGGAGGATGAAGACTGTCGCTTTGCGAATCGCGACATGATTCTTTGATTGCTAGCTCGGACCCTGAGCCACGACTTTATGCAAGTGAGTGGATATCTGTGGCTTGAAGGTGGGGCCTTGAAATTCAGTTATTGAATCGCACCTCAACCAGGAAGTATGTAGCAATGGAGTTAGCATGCCTGCTCCCATTTTCTCCTGACAAGCTGGCCAGAATCGAGAAGCCAATACCTAGTGCCGACTAATTAGGATAGCTTCCTCAGTGATCTTCACCAACAGGAAAGACATTATTAACAGTCGCCGGAAGGGCCCCATGCAACCTCTCGAATCCTCTTGAGCCATATGGCATTGAGGCGCCGCAATCATGTTCTCTATTGCCAGCGCCCCGGCGAAACAATCAGTTGGTGAGACCATCGACGTTCTAAGCGGTCGCCTCAGTTCAGCGACTTTGTTAGAAGACCGAAGAGCTGCAATCCTGGGTCTTCGTAGCTTTGCCAAAGATTATCCAGCTTCTGTAGCTTCGGGCGCCCTACGAAGTCTAATTGGAAGCCTAAGCAAAGACGGTGAAGATGTCGACACCGTCAAAGTGGTACTCGAGACGTTGTTAATGCTCTTCAACCCTAATGAAGATAGTCCCGAAGCTTCGGAGGAGATTGCTCTATGGTTGGCTGACGAGTTCACTCAACGGCAAGAGAACATTACTTTATTGCTCGATTTCCTCGAAACAAACGATTTCTATTCCCGTCTGTATTCTTTGCAATTACTAGCCGCTATCCTTTCCGCACGTACAGAACGCACCGAGGAATGTATCTTTACCGCTCCCCTCGGTATACCACGACTGGTTTCCGTCCTCGACGACCAACGCGACGCTATACGAAACGAAGCTATCATTCTCCTGACCTACCTCACGCCAACATCAATCGAAATACAGAAGCTGGTGGCTTTTGAGAATGCTTTTGAGAGATTGTTTGCCATCATCGAAGCCGACGGGGCTCTCGTAGAAGGGGGTCGCACCGTTGAGGACTGTCTGATCCTTTTGGCCAACCTCCTCCGATCAAACAGCTCAAACCAGGCACTGTTCCGGGAGTCGGACTGCATGAACCGTTTGGCGGATTTATTAGGTCGAGTCCTGAAACCTCAAACTGATGGGTCTGAGATCGCTTCGTGGGCAGCAGCGCAACGAAACCGAAATGTTTATGCTTTCCTCGCTGTCATTCGCCTGTTTGTTGTCAGGGGCTCAGCAGGTACTTCGTTGAATCAAACAGCAATATGGAAGCATGGCCTTGCCTATCATATTCTGCAACTGGCCTTCAGCCATGAAGCGCAAACACAAATCAAGGCCGAGGTTCGATAATTTGATTGCCACCGGAAGGCCATCTCATTGACATTATATAGGCTCTAATCACTTGTGGTGACGTGATTCGGCAAAACGCACCTCTTCAGGAGACATTTGCTCAGATGATGGTGTTGTCTCCTCTGGCAAAGACCGGCACGGCCGATGAACAGGCCAGCCAGGGCGAAAAAGTGTTCGTTATCGACGGCTTGTTAGATCTGACATTGTGTCTACAGGACCTTCAAGAGTTCGACGTCCGCTTTGCGGCGGCTGAGTGCCTGCAAGCTTATTTTGCAAATCATCCAGCTGTCAGACTGCATTTTCTTGGCCGGGCTATTGAAGGACATCAATCTGGGGCCAACGAGTCTTCCAACGTTTTGACAGTTCTCCTGCAGCCTTCAGTTGAATCCTCGGATCCATACAGGCAATGGTTCGCTGCTGTGATCACTTTCCACCTCTTGCATGAAAACTCAGAAGCCAAGTCAGAGGCCATGAGCTTAACCGAAGGTGATTCGGAAGATGGGGAAGAGGTTGTGACAGCAATCCAAACTCTTTCAGCTCACGTTACGTCAGGCCTTCGTCGAGGCGATGATACGCGGGTTTTGGTCGGTTATCTTATGCTACTCTTAGGCTGGCTTTTCGAGGATCTCGATGCGGTGAACGACTTTCTCGCCGAGGGAAGCAACGTTCAAAGCCTAATTCAAGCTGTTTCACAGCCTCCAGCTATAGGCGGGGGCGAGATCGTTCAAGGACTGTGCGCAATGTTGCTTGGTGTTGCTTACGAATTCTCAACAAAAGACTCACCCATCCCAAGAGCAACATTACTCTCTATCTTGACGGCTCGCATAGATCGAGATGTATACCTAGACCGCCTATCAAAACTTCGCAGCCACCCTTTTATTCGTGATTTCGAAGTCTTACCTCAAAAGCTGGACGCTTCGTCTCCAGGGCGACTCCCCGATGTCTTCTTTGACAGGAAATTTGTTGAGTTCTTCAAGGACAACTATAGCCGAATAGCACGTGCTATTGACAGAGAGCCTGGCATGGAAATCTCGGTTGTCACCAACGGTGTTCAGAAAGGTGTCTCGAGGGAACTTGTAGACTCTCTCAGGAGCCAGGTCGAGGAAAAGCAGAATGCTATGAACGAGATCCAGGAAAAGCTGGCAGTGCTTCAGGGGCAGCTGGGCCAGGAACAGGCGGATCATCGCAGATCAAAGGAAACCGCTGCTCTAGAGATGCAACGGGTCAAAACCGTGAATGAAGGGTTACAAAAGCATCATAGCGAAGAACTGCGGTAAGTGTCACCATCATCGGCTTGTATTAACCCTACTGAAACGGCTACAGGAAGCTTCAGGGTCAATTGGCGTCCAAAGAGAATGATCAGCGCAAGCAGGTTGCTCAATTGCAATCTCAATATTCGATCAAGGAGAACGAGTACCAAAAGCAAATTGCTCAGCTGCGTTCACAACAAACAGCACAAGAAAGCGATCATCAGAAGCAGATCGAGCAAGTCCGGAAAGCGGCCGAGGCCGAAGCAGAAAAGATCAGACGGAGGACGGATGCTGAAGTGGCAGATCTCAAAGCGAATATCAGTCGTCTCGAGGTTGTTCTGATGAAGGTGCGTGCCTGTTACCCCAGCCATTACGGTTTGTATGAGTGCAGTCGGCTAACATTGACTCAAACACAGTCCCAAAAGGAGTACAATGCACTCCAGTTGCAACGCAAGAACGAGATAGATATGCAAAGAGAAAAATATGAGAAGGTGCTGGGGCAACTTCGTCAGGAATACGAAGATTTCAAGACCCAGTCCAAGGCTAAAGCAGATGAAAAACAAGCCAAGTTCAAGGAGGAACTGGAAAGCCTCTGCGATAGAAAAGATGCCGAGATAGACGCTTATCGAGAGCAGAGTCAGATGGACCTGGAGCAGCAGAAATTGAAGACCAAGGAAGCAGAGGAGAAGTGCCAGAGCCTCGAGAAGCAGCTCAGTGGAGGAGACGCTGGAAAGAAGGACTTGGAGGCTAAGCTCAAGAAGGTGTGTGATGAACAATCTGTCTTGATTGAAGATACTCAAGAAACTCACATATCTCACAGATGGAATTGGAACTATCAGCTGCCAACAAAGCCAAGGACGCAGCCGAGAAGCAACTATCAGAATCGAAGGAAGCAGCAAAGGAGGAGGCTAAGAAGGCTAGAGAGACGACTGAGAAGCAGCTGCAGGAGTCAAATGAGGCTAGGGAAACAACTCAGTCCGAACTTGATGACCTCTTGATGGTATTTGGCGATTTGGAGGAAAAGGTGGCCAAATACAAGGCAAGTCAAGAAACGCGGTGCTCATATTTGCATGCTGTATACTGACTGACATCACTGCAGGCTCGTCTCGTTGAGCTCGGAGAAACCGTATCAGACGGCGAAGAAGATGATGATGAGGAAGACGATGACGATGACGACAACGACGATGAAGGCGAAGAAGACGACGAAGAGTCTGAGAATAACGATGACGAAAAGGATGAGACGAAACAGAAGCCGAAAGCCAAAAAATAAAAAAGGTATCTGCAAAGTCGTCAAACAGACAGAGAGACAGAGATATATGCGATATACCCCCTTACAGACATATCATATATATTAACAGCAAACACCTCGCGGATTGCATCTGGATGGTTACCTTGCCTTAACTTTCTACCTATCATGACCCAGAAAAAATTCCCCAACAGGGCATAGCCTTCTCCAATCACCGTGATCCCACAAAATATTCTCCAAGCTAAGGCAGCTAACTCAGCGCAAACCAAACCAACCAACATTCAATACTGGCCACTCGAGTTCTTCCTTCAAATTTTCGTCTTCTCCTACAAGAATTCAACATAATTTGATCTGGCCTGGTCTTACAGTGAAGGGGGAAAATGTCTGCTCACGAATCTATCTCTGATGACGGCGAATGGCTCGACCTGGAGTCGGATGAGGAGTCAATCCCCATCACATCCTTCTTCAGCGCCCAAACTTTCCCTAGTGTTGCCGCCATGCTCGAGGATAGCAGCAAGAACCATGGTTTCAACTTTTCCGACTATGTGCAAAAGCTTCAGCTTGACTTTCACGGTGCCGTCAAGCTCGTCAACTTTGTTCGTGATCATGTAAAGAATGGGACACCATTGCCCAAGGAGATCTCTGCCAAAGACCTCGAAGACGAGAAGTACCTTCAGCCAGTTCTAGAGAACGATGCTCTCATCTTTTCTCTGGACGAAGTATTGGAGAACATCACCAACGACCAAGCAACTGGATCCAACGATGGAAATCTCAAAGCTCGTAACAGGGAACTGGAGGAGGAGCTCGAGAAGCTTAGAGATCAATTTGCCAGCTACCGTTTGACGGTTCAGCAGACACTTGATAAGCGATGGGGCGATGATACCGAGACGGCTGCAACTGAGAAGAAAGACGACTCTGCCTATTACTTTGAGTCTTACGCTGCCCATGGTACATCCCACCACTTATCGGTATCTCGATCTGTTTATACTGACTGTGGCCAGAAATTCACGAGACCATGCTGAAAGATACCGTACGAACTGATGCGTATCGTGACTTCATCTACAACAACAAGCACATCTTCAAGGACAAGGTTGTCCTCGATATCGGATGTGGCACTGGTAAGCCCAGTTATAATTTTGATCTTGATTCAACACTAATGGTTTTGATCTAGGTATTCTGAGCATGTTTGCTGCAAAGGCTGGCGCCAAGCAAGTCATTGCTGTTGACAAGTCAGACATCATTGTCAAGGCTAGGGAGAACATTTTCCACAACGGCTTGTCCGATGTTATCACAACTCTCAAGGGCGCCATCGAGGATGTCAAGCTGCCTGTAGACCAGGTTGATATTATTGTCAGTGAGTGGATGGGCTACTGTCTTCTCTATGAGGCTATGCTTCCAAGTGTCTTGTATGCTCGAGACCGTTACCTGAAGCCCGATGGTGTCCTCGCGCCCAGCTCTGCCACAATCTGGATTGCCCCCATCGCAGACCCCGAGTATATTTCGGACCACATCTCCTTCTGGAGAGATGTTTACGGCTTTGATATGAAGACTATGCAAGAAGGCATCTACGAAGAGGCCCGTGTCGAGGCCATGCCACAAAATTCTGTCTGTGGTGAACCCTACCCCTTCAAGGTGCTTGATCTCCATACCGTTAAGACCGAAGATCTTCAGTTCACCGCCAAGTGGTCATCGAAACTCACCCGTGAGGTCGAAAATGTTGATGGGTTCCTCATTTGGTTCGACAACTTCTTCACGACATCCAGAAGCGACCCAGTACCCCCTGCCGAGACAACACCAGAGACCTGGGACAAGAAAAACCAGGGAGGCGTCGCCTTCACTACCGGCCCTTCTGGCCCTGTCACACACTGGAAGCAAGGCCTTCTTCTCGCTCCTCCAGAGGCCAAATCATCTGCCGAATCGCCCCAGAGTCTCTCCGGAGATATCGTTTTTGCGGCAGCTGATGACAATGCCCGAGCGTTGGTTCTCAGGGCTTCTTGGACAGATTCTGAGGGTGGATCAAGGAAGCACTCATGGCAGCTGAAATAGACGCATCTTCTATCAGCTGGACGCAGCCAGCAAAGTCCGAGAAGATGGTGCCGACATTGGTCGAATATGGTAGGTGACGCAGTCACAGATGAGGAACATTCAGGCCTTGCAGCAAGAGGTTCACAATGCTCAGGAAACCCTCACCAAGAATGAATCCCTAAAGAGGTCAGAATGGTTTCGACATGAAATGGAGGAGATACGTACTGAAGCAAGGATGATTAGAGGGGTCTGCGTCCGTCGCGCGATATGAGTCCAGTACCATGCAAACAGACCGCCAACGGTTCGAGCCAGCGTGAAAGATGGGACGTTATACATGCCTTGTCAGATGTCAGCGATAGTATCTCCCTCGGAGCCACACATAGTCAACTTACCAACGGCGACAGCAATGCCACCAGGAATCAGAGGTCGCCATCTCTTCCCGATAGCGAGCGTTCTGGTGATAGTGGCAACTGCGAATAAAACCGCAGCTCCAATGGCCCATTCCTTGACGCGATATGGTAGCCCAGAACCTGTGACAAGCCTTGCAGTGAATATCCAGACGTAGGCGGTTGGTACCTGGAAGAGATCACCAGGAATCGTATATACGCTATTATCCAATTGTGTCAGCCAGGTCCTCTTCCAAGTATGAGACGGCGAAGTGAAAGGCTACTCACCTCGTATAGACACGGTAAATGAATGCACTCAGAACAGCACCGACACTTGCTCCAATGACTTGACCCCAGAATTGGGCTTTCGGAGCTGCTCCCAGTAGGTGCCCTGTTTTCAGGTCTTGCATAAGATCGCCAGCTTGTAAAGCACCAGCTTCAGACTGTAGCAGGTTAGGATGTTTGCTTGAATAGGTAGGCAGAGGAATTACTCACCACGGCACCAGCGATCAGGTTGATCAAGACACTGGATTTGTGAGTCTGGGGGATGATAAAGGCAAAGAATAGCTGTGCAAGTTTGCTAATGCCAGATACGGGGTTCAAATCCGTCTCACCCAGTGCCCTAACCCCCATGATGCTTAACACGAGAGCCATGAGAACAGCAATGGTTGTGGCATAGAGCGGTACAAGGTCACCAAAGACCAAGTGAATTGTGAGGACACACAGAGCTATCGAAGCAAGAAGGCCGATCGTTACCATACGGGGACCAATGCGCTGGTGCGGAGGAGCATCTTTCTCATCATCTTCTTGGATAGGGGCATATTCATCAGCTCCATAGCGTCTCTGAGCAGGCTCAGTCTCGTTGCTCAAGAGTGGTGAATAGTCATGGCTCGGGTTCTTCCACAAGCCAAAGACACCGTGTTCCTGTACTCTCTGACGTAGGGAGGGCATAATCCCAGTAACCTTTTGGCTAGTAAAGATTCCGCGGAGGGCAACGTAGGCAAGGCTGACGATTGCATCCGCTAGCATGATAGCCAGCGAGATCCAAATGATCCATCCCTTGCTACCATGTTCCCAATCATCAACATCTCCAGGCGCCCATCCCCGAGATTTGGCCAAAGGACTGAGGATTCCCCAGCCAACTACAGCACCAAGAAGCATATGCAGCGTCGTTTCTGTCCCCATGATGACTCCCTGGCCAATGTAAGCGAAGCTGGGGTTGAATGTCCAGAGCCATGTGTGGGCTGCGGCAGAACCAAAGATGGGTAAGTTGCGCAGTATAGGGAAGAAATATGTCGCCAGAGTATAAAGTCCAGAGCCGCCAAAACACAAAAGTAACAGTCTGATGTTGGCTGCCCAGTCTCCTTTATCCGACACGTCATCTTCAGCATTCTGTTGATGCTCCTGATCCGTTGCAGCTCGGCCAATGGCGTCTGGTTGAAGTGGCTCGTCACGAGGAACGAGACTTGCAAAGCCGCCTTTAGCAGCAGCGTCAAGCTCGTCTTTCGTCGATTGGCGGCCTTGTCCGTGCAATACTGAGATCAGTACAGCCGTACTGAATCCACTAGGGAATTTGAGGCGCTCTCGGATGATGACTTGCTTACGTCTGGTGGGTATCAGCAAGATTGAAGCAGAAAGTGACGGTCCAATAATGGCTTACAGGGGAACAGCAAAGACGACGCCAAAGTAGCAGAGTCCCAAAGACCAGATGATAAGCTGCCAAGTACTCAGATTGATCGGGCCTTGCTCATCTCGAGCCAAAAGATAGTTCAATGCCGGAATCTGCCTTGTTAGTTAGAATAATATCTTGGTATAATATGAGTCTAGATGACATACAACGCCAACGAAGCCGCATCCAAGTGGCATAATAGCCATGCCACAAGCTACGCTCTGGAGCAATACGTTCTCAACTGGAGAAAATGGAAACCTCAGATGTGGTGCAAGAAGCCTGAAAATACCAAAGCCCATGAGACTCGCAGGCATTGACATGATGGAAACCCATCCTGTCTGCAAGCCAAAGTACATATTGGAGAAGCAGATGATGGTGCCAACTGCGAGGCCAGCTAAAACGCCTCGCAGCGTGAAACTGCGCCCTGGAATCACGCGTGTCGCCATCTTTTGGCAGGGGGCAGCTAATGGCGATGTTTAGTTTAGAGACGCGTTGAGAGATGGTCGTGACGTTAAGTGAGATAAGTTGGTAGGTATGTGTACTTGGGTACCTCACTTAGTTGTATTACCAAGCGAACCAACCCCACATTCCGATATTCGGGGAGACTTTCCGCTATGAACTTATCGGTTAATTTAGGTATCTACCATCGCATCGACGGGACCTCATAAGATAATAAATGCCTTCCAAGTAGAGATACTTTTAGTACTACTGAAATATTAACTACCTATACTTGCTATTGTGTTTGCAGCATAGCTCTACGAATCAACTCTTCCCAGCCTTAACTCCACTGCCTTGCCATGAAAAAGCCATACATGAGCTTCAGCGTACCTTACATGAAGCTCACCAATGAGTAATTCACACACATCGCCGCCTCTTCAATACCACAACTCAACAACCCCATTAGAAGCCGAAACTGTCGAGCAGAGAGCCAGCGTCTGGTTCTTCAAATGTCGTCGGTGGTGGTTTGACCGTCTTCTTGTTCTCCCGGTGGGAGTCAAATTTAAGAGTTGGTGAAGGCAAGTCGGCAACCACCAAAGAGCTTCTCCGGCGAAGCAGCTTCAGAGGGTTGACCTCTCCGCCGAGGCCAGTTGCTCCAGGTGACTGTTGGAATTCCCAATTACGTACTATTTCACAGTCAGTGAACATGTGCTTGGCACTTGTAGTCTTGCACTTACCTATATCCAATCCCAAAAGATCGCATCCCATTCTGTCATATAGCTTGGCACTGTGCAGCACAAACTCCCACTCGACTTTGGGAGTAATCTTAGATGCTCCCCTCAAAGTTTGCAGAGTCTGGTGACGTAAATGTGAGTAAAGGACAACCAAGGCAGGGTCATCAGTCAAAAACAATCGAGACTTGATGTCAGGTGAACAAGGTGTTTCCAAAAGAGTATACACCGGTGTCTATCAACATATCAGCGATTCAGCTCGTACGCATGACTTCACAGATCACAACGTACAATAAGTGCTCGTACGGCCACATCTTTGCGGCCGAGCATCCAGAAGGCCCATGCAGCCAGCCATCGATTACCCTCCTGCGCTGCTAGTGGGAGCACTGTATCTTGAAGAAGTCGGCGCAAGACAGGGCCGTCATCGCCTTCATAGACGCGCGATATTGTGATGGCTAATTGCATGTCTTTCAGTTGATTCAGACAAACCTGAACAGCATCGTGAAGGTGGTCCGCAAGAAGGAAGAATGCCGCAGCATACTCTGCTCACAATCAGCTTTTGTACCAGGAAGCTGGTACCCCAAGGATATCTTACCGAATCGCCGCCTACTAAGCAAGGCATAGGCATTCTTGAGGGCTGCCGATCTCCATTTTGGGTCTTCAAAATTGTTTGCCAATAAGCGTTGAGTGGTTGCCTGCTCCTTGTTCCAGTTCGCCATTCTCCATAGACCTTGGAGGACAGTCTTCTTCCGGAGTGCGAGGTAGTAGAGACTGCAGTCAACCGGGTTTTTGACCTCATTCTTTGTGTACTCGTTTCTGGCGATCAGTTCGAATTGAGCTTTCTGGAGGATGTTAGCTGCCGTGACAAGTAAGTCAGATTCGAATGCTCTTTACCAATGCAGTAGGATCAGTGAGCCACATGAACAGGCCACTTTCACGAGCATGTTCCCAAAGCATACTACCATGGTTCTGCCGCGATACAAAGTCAACCAGAATATCTTGGCTGTTGGAGTGGAAAGCCCAGTTGATTTCACGCCATGAGAGGTGCATCTCGTTGGTGCGTCCTTTGCGGAGGGCGTGCTGACGGAACAGCAGCATGAATCGGGCACCGTTCTCGTCCATCGACCGCCGATGTCGCTCAACAAGGGCAACGCATTCAATGATATCAGCAAGTTGGATTTGTTCGTGTCCTGAGAGCTGGATGATATCGATCTTGACGAGCTTCTCGTTGATCGATACCGCGGTCTGCTCAGTGAATATGTCCTCGTCATCAGTCTCACCCGTGTTGTTTCCATTCAGGTAGGCCCCAGAAGACTTGTCAACAGCTAAAGTGTGACTTTGCTAAGCAATTGTATCAGCACGGCCTGTCGTCCTCGTCATGATCGAATTGTCACTTACCTCGGGCATGTAGAATTCGCTCAAGTCCATTCCCAGGTAGTCATCCAGTGTTTCGCCGTTAATGTGGTATTTCAAGGTCTTATGCAAAGCCACCAAAATGCGTCTAACGAGGGTCGCCTTCCCTGAAAGAATGCATTGCATGAGAAACTGTGGATGGAAGACTGGTAAGGGGCCGTTGAATCTTTGAACAACCTGGAATAAGTCTAGTTTGCCATCTTTTCGGAGAGGAAGACGCAGATCCGTCTTCATAGACTCGGAGATTCCGACGTGCCTGTCCTGCACAAACATCTGGTTACCGGCACCAATAACCAAGTGGCCATCACCCAGCCAAGTTGAGTCTCCAATCGGGTGAGGTGTGAGTTCTCGAATGCTGATCTCACGAATTTGTGCCCACGCCGGGCCCTTGTTGAGATAATCGAATCGCATCTGAGAGAGGAGGATGATTCGGTAAGGAAAACCAACGGCGAGAATAGACTGGCCATCAGGTGTTGATGTCCAGTCAAGATCTTGAATCACCTGGTGCTCTTGGAAGTTATTTTCATATTCGAGACGCGCACCACCGATGTCCCAAATTGTCAATTGCGATCGCGACGAATTCACCAGAGCAGCTTTCTTCAATGTACTGCCACTGACGAGTGCTGGCTCTGACACTCCCGTCTCTGTGGTACACGTCGATAGCCACCCAACGCTTCGCTGTTCAGGGTCAACTCGTGCAGTCCAAAAGTCCACACGGCCTGTATGTGTATAGGAAATGGCGACATCACGAGCGAATATATCGAGAAAGCCCGAGACAATAGGCTGCGAACCGGCAGGATCAACTGGCAACACATAGGCCAGACTCTTTATGTCCTTGATTTCAAAGCGACACAGTTCCTCAACATTGGCTCCGGCTGTTGTCTTTGGGTCATCAAAGTAGCGAGGTAGTTGGACCTCCCATACGATACCGTGTCCTTCTGACGTTATCGTCGCAATATGAGCAACGGTGTAGTTCTTGACATCTGATCGAGGCAGAATGATGAGGCACAGCGGCTTCCCTGACACCTGGTAGTCACATTGAGAGAGGGCAGTAGCTCGACTTGTCCTGCAATCCCAGAGCGAAAATGTGTCATGACGGAGGAAAACCACAAAGCGTCCCTTTCTCAGAACACATATACGATGTATGTGACCCTTCTCTGGGATAACGCTCCCTCGTGTCAAGGTCAGGCCTGACTTGTCCCGTGGGCTCAAAATATGTTTCCACACGATACTTTCACCATCTCTGGTTCGAGAGACCACCGCTCGCCCGCTGAAATTTCGGACAATCTTGGTAATCGAAGTTGAATGTCCAGACCAGATTGTTTGAGGGGCGAGACGTCGATCATTGGTCATGGGATCAAAGAGGTCGGCAACGCTTCCAGTAAACACGCCTATCCTTCCATCAAATGCATGCAACATAAAGTGAACCTTACCACTCTCCTTATCGCAATACGTTTGTATCTCTGTATGAGGCGTGTCTTGAACCGGAAGAAAGTTACCGAGGAGCTCGAAATGGACATCCTTGACCTGAGCCACCTTGAAAAGGGTTGGTGAATTCGCGGTACTACTACCAACATTCTCGAGCGCCCATGCCGACATGATGCCCTTCCCATCAAGAGCTATACAGATTTCCGGATTCTTGGTCGCGACTGCGACTAGATGATCAAGGGCAACGGGGTCGTCGGTAGTCGAGTCGTCAGACATTCGAGCCTGAACAGCTTGTTCGACAGAAGCCGTGAAGTCTCGTCCGTCTAGAACCAGAGCGAAGCGCATATCCAAGCCCTCCGGGTTCTCTTGCGATGGCGCGCAAAGATCCACCTGGCCCCATAGCTGCCAATGCTTCCCGTCAGGTGTATCGGTAGGTGTCCAAACTCGTATGCATTTATCGAGACATGTGGTGTATAGAACATTGTCGGAGGCCTGCTCAACGTGGAATGGTCTACGCCATCTCACAGATGTTATAATATTCGGGTGTCGAAGGTAAGTGAGATCAAACCGGACTTCGTCAGCACCAAAGTTGAGTCTCCTCCAGACCTTGATCAAGTGGTCATGATGGCTGGATGTGGCGATGTATCTCGAATCGTACGACAGTAAGGCATATTTAGCGATGCTCGGCAGCTTCTTTTGCCAGAGACACCTCGGTTCGGTCTTGGTATCGAAAAGGGACAGGTACTGTGTACCCAACAAAAGCTCTTCGGAGCTGCCCCAGGATAATGTACACGGCACGTCGTCGGGGTTTGGATAGGGAACGTCCAAGGTCGATTCCAGAGCCCACTAACAGATTCGTGAGCTGACTTTCTTAAGCATGTATCATGGAATCGGGAATTGGAACCTTCAGAGTGTCTTCGCGCGACCCGAATGGCTTGTACACACGGACTTGGGTCAATGTGCAAGTAGCGATCTTGCCTGTCGCTTCGTCGAATGCGATAGCTTCTAGCGGTTGTTCGCCTTCATCGTAGACTGTCTGTAGAATCCCGTGGGATCCTTCCAAAATCGCAAAGGCGCTGCCTGTGATGTATACCTATACAGCGTCACCTCATCAGCTGAGTTCGGAGCTCAGGAGTACAGCTTGGTACTTACATTGATGTGTCGCGAGTCCCAGTAACCCGAGGCAAGCCCTTGGAGCCTCGAGCGCGGGTTGCCCGGCAAGACGGCCTTCATGCTATTAAGGAGAACAATTTGCGCGCATCTCTAGGGAATTGTGATGGTGCTATATTTAGGCGCAAAGGAGAGGAGTTTGAGGTTTGACAGCTGAAGCTTTGGTGAGCTAAGTCACCAGAGTCAATCAATGCAATAAACGGAGTAAAGAGGTGACGTGACACCCCCCCCCCCCCCAAAAGCAACCCCCACACCCCGGCTCATGCACAAGAACCCATGACGATAAATGCCACCCTAGACATTTTCAACTACAGAAGCTAAACATATCTTGGCCATTGGAAGACTGTTTATGATGCTTTCATGCCCAGATTACACAAATAGAACTTTCGAGTATATCAATGTTCATGTAATGGTTTCAGGGATCATGGCTCGAGGGTCCACAGCATGGCACATTGTCTATCCTACACTGCTAATAACGAGAAGACACCCACTCTACGGACATAATATTCACTTCTACTCAAGCAAGTTCGTGCCAAGTAACGAATTGTTCAAGATCAGCAAGTTTCATAAACTATTGCCTATCCAACGCCATCGACGTATCGTCGCTATGCATTCACATGTAACTAACACTAACAGAAAGGGGTATCCTTTTATCAAACAAGTCATCTAACGTCAGAGAAACACATCCAGATCATTCCATAGCCAATCCAATCCAACTCTTGCAAACCGTCAAAGCCAGCTTCACACATGTTCCTCCCTGATGTATATACGAATAACCATCCTGATCGACAGAATTATTGGTTTGTACTCACACGGCCACGCAGCTGATCGCCTCTCGGCACTCCTGGTGGCCGAGACTGTGGTGTAGCCGATAGTGTTCTTGGTGATTGAACACGCACGGATCTTGTTGCTGGCGTAAATTTAGTAGTGGTTTGTCGCGGAAGTCCAAATTGTGTGGCAGATGGTCTCGCGCCCACGGATTTGCTGTTTACGACTGGGGAGTTTGGCTCCGGCGACGAAGGCAAAGGTCCAATTGTACGTCCATTTGGAGGCCTAGTCCCAAAAGATCTCGCGACTACTGGCCGCCGTGAGGGCTCAGGTCGGCTGGGCCCTGCTGTGCTTGCGAGGTCCTGGTCAAACTCGGGGCCACGACGCTGGTTATCTTGCTCTAGATGCGACGGGACTGGTGCCATCGGAGTCGTTGATGGTAGACCCGAGAACTGGCCAGGTCCTCGCGAAGCAGGTCTCAAAGATGGCGAGGCTGGTAGCTCATCATCTTCATCGCCAGCTAGCGAAAACGCCTCATCATTCTCATCCGCCTCTCGAAGCGGAGCCATGGATCCTGGTGGCATCATAGTCGACATGGAGAATGGCTGCCCAGTCCATCTAGTCGGTGTCTCAAGCGGTGTACTGGAGTAATCAAAGCCCCTATCGTTGCGACTGGCCAGTGACCGCCTCCCAGACAACGCTCGCCAACTTCCGCGTGGCCATGCAGCCGGCACCGATTGTGGTTGTGGGCGAGATCCAGGAGCCATGGCCCGGATTCTATCGTCCCGTTGACGCCAGTATTGCAATACGCGGTTACGCCTTTCGCGTTCGTGCTTCCTTTGAACTTCAATTGCTGTGTGACCCTGTCCACTTTGTTGTAACGATGCAATTGACCAGGACTTGAGGGACTGCCGTTGCTTATCAGCTGCCCAAAGCTGCCAGGCATCTGTATCCCGCTGCTCAAGGTCGACGGTGTACACTTTCCATGCTTCTAACCATCCCTCTGCATGTTGCAGTTTAGCTTCTTGCATGCGTCTTTGGTCAATGTCCGCTTGGCGTTTCCATGTATCAGTAATTAGGATAACCTTTTGGGTATCTTTATGGGCTCGCAACTCTTGTATCAAGTCGCCCCGTGCCCGATCCTCCGTCGCCAATACTCTCCATCGATCGATAGCAGCAAAGAAATTGCGTTTCTTTCGAGCAGAAGAGACTTGGGTATACCTAGCCATTAAATACCTCTTGACCTGCTGCTTGTCTTGGTCCCTACGACTTTTAATCGCTCGATCGAAGACTTGCAACAATCTAGTAGCTCCGAGATAAAGTTGAGCTCGATCTCCCAAGCGTGCTATGTGTGACGAATCACGCTTAAATTGCCTGAAAGTCCTTACAACCTTGGATTTTGCTTGCTCCTCATAAAACTCTTCTGCTCTTCGGCCCATGTCCGCATCCTGTTCGGTGCATTGGAACCATCGGTCGAAGACTCGCGCCACTTGAAGATACTCGCGCCTCCACTGGAATGCCTGGGCTCTTGCCCTCAAGTTCCACTCATCGAAAGCAAGATTTGCCTTCTCAATCATCAATCGCTGGCGGTACCCGACTGCCCTTCGACTGATCTCAGCTTGATCCCACCATTCTCGTAGATATGTGAACGAGTGCTGAATATCTCCAATTCTCCTGGCAGTGTTATATAGTTGGCTTTCATTTTTTGAAATGCCCTGCCATTTGTAAATGGCATCCGATTGGAGTCGCAAAGTCGTTTGGGTCCGTATGGCTTGATTGAGAGCTTTGTCATGAGAAGCCTGTGACAGCCACTTTGACATGGCTCGTGTCCTACTACGCGAAGCTGTCATTTGACGGCCGAGGTGTTCGAGCCGGTGACAAGACCATATATCAAGGACTCGCTGGACTCTTCTCAGCTCGTAAGCCCCGGCAGCTGCTCTCGCAATGGCCTGTAGACTTTTCTCTTGGGTGACGATGCGTTGCCACTTCTTCACAACCACGGCTGCCCTCATGTGGTCGGTGGTAGGCTCACGGAGTGCAGGGGCTTGACTCCATGATCGGAAATAGCGGAATCGTATCATATGTCGTCTTGCGACGGCGTCTCGTTCCAGACGACGTGCGGTGCGGTCGGCCCAATGGTTGAAGACCTTGCTTGCGAGGTAGATCTCACGAGCTCTGGCAGCCTGTTTGAGGAGCCGGCTTTGTTCTCTTTCCGAATCAATTTGCTGCTCAGGTGTCAAAGGGCCTTCTTCAGCGGGTTGTTCGTGTTGGAATGCTGTATTTCTAGCGCGCTCTTGGGTTACAGGATGATGAACAATTGTACCTTCGTTGTTAGTTACAGTGTTAGATCGAGCCCCTGTGGTTGGAGAATGGAATTCTGGTGGATTTTGGATCTGTGTATGTTGAGATGGTTCTGCTTCAGGTTCGTCGAGTTCTTCAGGCTCTTCAGGTTGCTGTGGAGGCTCCTCAACTGGGCTGTGAGGTAATTCATCATCATCGTCGTCGTGGCGCGATGGCTCGTCAAAGTGCTCTTCTTGCGGCGCATTCCCGTGAATTAGAGAAGTCGTAGATCGTATGGCATTACCAAGGACAAAAACGGGTCGATGCATAAATGACTGAGCGGAAACTGGCCTTGTCTGCATATCTGTTGGGTCTTTGAGCGAAGTTTGACTGTGTGGCTCGAGTCCATTGACTTGTGAAGACGTCACTGTTTGATGTCCGGTCACTGCTGGTCGATCTTGAAAAGGTTGAGCTTCGGCTTCAAAATTCCTCACATCGACTGAAGCTTCTTCGGGAATGCTTGGAAAAGACGGGATCCGCTGTGCAGGTTGTGCTCGACGGCTCGCAACGAGAGAGCGCCAGCGGTTCATGGCTGAAGAGACAACCGCCTTTCGCATTTCCTCGTATGCGCCGACCTCCTCCTCGTCGGTCTCGGAAAATTCCAATTCATCTTGGTGGTGAGGTTGCGATTCTGGTGGAGAGACTGATGGTGATGGTGATGGTGACGGTGACGGTGAAGGTGAAGATGGTGATTGTGGGACTCTCGGTCCAGTCGTGGCATGGCCGTTTTGTAGGCCTTTTTGTGGAGTTGTTTGCTGGCGCGAGATGGCATGGCTTTGGCGACTCGATGAAGATACTGCGGGAGATGTAGAGGCTGAAGTTCGCGGCGACGCAGTAGTATTATCTCCAAACTCTAAAACGATTCCCATTCGACCGAGGATAGCTTGGAACTTGTCAAGTAAGTTGCCATCGCCTCGCTCACCGCCTACGCGGAAGACAAAAGTCGACAAGTGGTGGTCTGAATCGGGGTCAATTCCATAGGTCGGGAGCACGACGTCGTATGCCTTGAAGAGCGCAGCAGCAGGGAGAGGTTTCGGTTCAGGCGCTGAGTCGAGTAATTCCTGGGCAGCAACGACTACCGCGTGCAGCGCAGCGATGTCTAGGTCGGTCGGTCAATATCAGGTCGGTATGGCATCGCAAGAATGATACGGACCTTCGTTGGAGTAGTATGGGTCCTGGCTTGAGGGTGCCCGACTGGCATTGCTCGAGCGGCCATCATCAAACGGTGAGGCCGCTCTCTGCGCAGCCGGCGACATCGATGCTGCTGGTGAAGTCGCATTTGAGCCCTGAGGAGAGATGTCGGAGGACATGGACAGATAATTGTTGGCGAGCTGCCCACATCCGTCATTGACCCATAGTCAAGAAGTCGGTGTGTAATGAAGCGCGAGCTGTTCGGTTCTGCTGTTTATTTATTTGCGGCGAGCTGCCGTAAAATTGCGAAAAAGGCAAACTTCAGTTGACTTCAAGTATCGCGCTTCAGTAAATCGGATTATTAAAATGTAAGAATAGAAATCGACAAAGGCGATGCTAGCGGCGCTTCAAGAATTGCACTATCGTATTCGACGAGGAGGTCGTATCCAAACAAAGCGCAATGTGAGTTCCAACCCAACAGAAAACATACGCGAATTTGCGCGGTCGCGATGCCAACAGCTTGGACGTCGTGTAAGTGGGTGGCTGGTGCGCAGACGCCTCATGGGGCTTGCTAGGAGTACTGTGTTATTCAATAATCCATCGACACTGTATGAGCAAACCATTTTCAGTCTCATCAACAACTTCAGCGACCGGCCATTCATTGTCTTCACTCATCTCCATCTCTCACAAAGTCGCCATGAACCAACAAAGAACCCGTCCAATTCAAAAGTTTGCTAAAGCAGTCTCACAATGCTCTGTCGAGGTCTGAAATCTCTGTCATACTTCCACCAACCACTAAAATCTGGTAGGCCACGGCATATGGCAAGTGTATCGTTGCCGACTATAACGCTGTCCACAAGGATAAGTGTGCCAAAGAGTTTATGAGGCTCAAAGATTGCTATTTAGTATGTTCTCCTACCTATATGCTCCTTAACGGCGACGAGTCTGACATTTTCACTCAAGGCTGCATCCAAGAAAACATGACGCACTTATGTAGCCGTCACTAATAATACACTTATAATCGTACTTTTTTTTTACTTTATCTCCTACATAAACTTGAATTTTATTTCCCAAAGATTTACAGCTTGAGTAATCTCAACAAAAATGTTGCCTGTTGGACCTCTTGCTCTTCCTCTGCAATAAGACCCTCAGTTTGTGGTTCCGCCCCAGTCTCTTCTAGTGGTCGACGCAAGACCTTCTCAAACACTGGATTCTGGGACTTGAAGGCACCAGATAAGCCAATATCTTCAGGGTCGGCAATGACCCGGTACTCCATCTTGATGTCGTCTGTTGGCACGAGACCTGCCTTCTTTCGAAGTCTTTGCACACGGTTGATGATCTCACGTCCCAGACCCTCAGCTGCCAACTCAGGGTGAATCTCAGTGTCCAGAATGGTGAGCACGTCGCTATCAGTGTTGATCTCCAAGTTCTTGGAAGACTCGTCCTCCTTGATACCTCTGCGCACAACGAGATCACCCTCTTCCAGACGAATACCGTCAACAAAGATTTCCTTGTCACGGACGTAACCCTGGACCTGCTCGCTGGTAAGGAGAGGCAGACCCTTCTTCACACGGGCCATATCCTTCTTGAGTTTCTTTCCAAGAACAGGCCAGTCGGCAGTGACGCTGTATTGGACGTTGTACTTGGCTTCGTCGCTCGAGAGCACAAGGTCTCGCACATTCAGCTCCTCGCTGATATACTTCTCAAGGGACTTGACATCCTCAAGATATTGAGGATCGGAGTGAATGACCACCAGTGTCTTGAGAGGCTGCTTGAGACCAATGGTACGGCGTTCACGCGATACACGAGCGAGCTCAATGACACGCTGCATGCGACCAACACGTCGCTCCACCTCCTCATCGAACAACTCTTCGCGGACATCGGGGAATGGCAGGAAGTGCACGCTTCGGGGATCTTCGCTTTGGAGTTCCTTGGGAATGTGAGGTAGAAGCTTGAGGTAGATGTTGTCAGTAAGGAAAGGGGTGAAAGGTGCCAGTCCACGGCACAAAGTGAACAACACCTCGAAGAGGGTGTTCAGGGCATGAAGGGTATCATCGAGACCGTTCTCTCCCTTGAGTCGCTTCCGGTTGAATCGAATATACCAGTTTGTTGTGCTGTCAATGAGGCCAAGAAGCCTGGGGACAACCGTGTACAAACGATATGAAGCCATCTCCTTGTTCACGAACTGGAGAAGGCTTTGGCAAACCGCCAGAACCCAGCGGTCCATGACGTTGGTGTTGCTTGACTCCAATTTCGGATCCCAAACGAAGTCCACACCCTCTGCTTTCTTAAGCAGAGCAACTTGGCCCTCGAAGAACTTGTAGCTGTTCCACAGCGGCAAAAGGACCTTCTGAACGACCTCCTTGACGCCAGATTCCTTGAAGCGGAGGGGCTCGGCTCGCACAACTGGAGAGTTAATAAGGTAGAGTCGAAGAGCATCAGAACCGTACTTGGACATGACGATAGAAGGGTCGGGATAGTTTTTGAGACGTTTCGACATCTTCTTGCCATCCTCTGCAAGCACAATACCGTTGACAACGCAGTTCTGGAATGGCGACTTGCCAAACAGGTGAGTTCCCAGAACTGTCAGCGTGTAGAACCATCCACGGGTCTGATCCAGACCCTCGGCGATGAAATCTCCGGGGAAAGACTGGTTGAACTTCTCAACATTCTCGAAGGGGTAGTGTTGACTGGCATAAGGCATGCTTCCAGACTCGAACCAACAGTCAAACACTTCCTCGATACGCTTCAGTTGACCCTTGCCCATCTTGCTGGGAATAGTGATGTGATCAACCTTATCGCGGTGAAGATCGGAGAGATCACCCTCATATCCACTCAGCTCACGAAGCTCTTGAACACTTCCAATGCACACTCTCTCCTCCAAATCATCGCTGACCCAAAGAGGGATGGGAGTACCCCAGTATCGGTTTCGGCTCACGTTCCAATCGCGGGCATTGGCAATCCAGCTGGCGAATCGCTTCTCCTTGACGAAGGATGGAACCCAGTGAGAACCCTCGATGTTCTTGAGCATGTCGGGAACGATGTTGGGAATGCGAATGAACCAAGAGGGAACGGCCCTGTAAATAAGGGGGGTATCCGAGCGAGGGCACATGGGGTACGAGTGCTTAAGCTGAGACTCGTTGGCGATGCGACCGGCGTTCTTGAGGTGCTTGATGATGTGCTTATCAGCCTCCTTGACATGCAGGCCCTTGAAATCGGAAACTCGGTCAGTGAAGTGACCGGTGTCGTTGACGGGGTCAGGAGGTGGTCGCTTCTCGGTAATGATACCTGCGGCTGCAGCAACATTATAATCGTCCTCACCAAAAGCCGGTGACTGGTGGACAATACCCACACCACTGTCGTCTGTAACGTAAGTTGCGTTCAGCACCTTGAAGGCAATGTCCTTGAACTCCTCGTAAAAGTAGTCGAAAGGAGGAGTGTATTTCCATCCTAGCATGTCCTTGCCGAGAACTGTTCCGAGCTTCTTGAATTTGGCCTTCTTGGGATCCTTGTATAAGGTACCAAGGAGCTTCTCAAGAAGGATAAAAGTCTTTCCTGTCTTCTCGTCCAAAATCTTGACATACTCGAAGTCAGGGTGAGCTGCGAGACCGAGATGCGATGGCAGTGTCCAAGGGGTGGTAGTCCAGGCAAGCAAGTTAACTTCAGGATCGTCAACAAGGGGAAATGTGACGACAACTGCAGGATCAGTGACATCTTGGTAGTTCTGGTTGGCCTCGAAATTGCTCAGGGCGGTGGTGAGAACAGTAGAGTAGGGCATAACTCGGTGGCCTTGGTAAACCTGGTCCTTGTCGAACAGTTGCTTGAAAACCCACCATTCCGACTCCATGAACTTGGGGTCCATAGTCTGAAGGAGTGCGATTAGCTATCTGGCTGGAGATAGAGAGAGATTCTTTACCTTGTAATCATTATCGAAATCAATCCAACGTCCCAAACGCTCGATAGTGTGTCGCCATTCGCCGGCATATCGCATGACAATGGATCGACACTCCTCGTTGTACTTGGCGATACCGAGTTCCATGACGGCGGCCTTTCCAGAAATTCCCAGCTTCTTGTCAATCTCATGCTCAATGGGAAGACCATGTGTATCCCAACCAAAGCGTCGCTCAACGTGGTAGCCCTTCATGGACCAGTAACGTGGGATAACATCCTTGATGGTGGAGGCCAGAAGATGGCCGTAATGAGGCAGACCGGTCGCAAAAGGAGGTCCATCATAGAAAGTATATCGAGGGCGTCCTTCGGACAGTTCAACCTGTCGCAGGAAGGCATCAATTTCCCGCCATCTTTGGATGATGGTCTCCTCTTCTTTTGGGAAGTCGATCGACATGATTCTGATGGTTCGCCTGAAGAGGAGGGGTTAGTGGACAGTTTTGAACGAGATGATATGAGTGAGCATAGAAGAGGCGCGGTCGGATTTAAGTAAAGTAGCTAGGGAGGTAGGTAAGAAATGTTTGACTCACCGGCGATGCCTTGAAAGTGTCACTATCTGCGACAAACCGTTGATGGAGGGGCAAGTTTACGAAAAAAAGGCAGCTCGCTCACCCGCTCGCAATGGTGGGTGAGTCAAGCAGGAGCGACGGGACCGGAGGTGGGGTCAAATTTGTGCCCCGCGTCTAACACCGTGGAGGGGTTATCATAAAAAGCACTTGTGTCTAAGGGTCTATATAAACACAAGCAATAAATGTTCAGTTCGAATTAGGATGGATTCTATATAAATTTCCTGAACTCTTCTAACTATTTGTAAAGATTTTCCTCGAGCAAGGAAGTATTTTCTGGCAAATACTAACCCATCAAGAGATGACATACAGGACCGACACCGGCAGATAGTGGATGTATGGCCTCAAATGGTACCATGGCCTATTAGTCTCGGTAGCTTCTAGACCAATTTACAAAGCATCAGTAAGATTTGATGCATCATCCAATTTCTCTCTTCAGCAGTGGCACTAATAATAGGACTCATGGATTGAGATTAGCGATTGTGCCACTCAAAAGCCAAGTTTACAGCACTCCAGCACTAAAACGACCAGGGCCAGTTGGCGCGTGCGTGGTTGGTTGCTGCCCGCCAGACAAAGCAAAGCAAATAGGATTGGATCGAGCTTGATGAAGTGTTTGTTTATATTATTGCTTGGGTTTTGCCAACACCAACCCACTCTGGTATGACTTTAGCATATGTGTCGCCAGCTTCTGTATCTCATCCTTCCGTTACGGTTCATCATAATTCAGGTGAATAGCCCCTGGATTTCTCAAGGGAGCTACTCGCCGCTATTTGGTTCTGAAACCAAAACACTATCGATAACAATCCTGACATCTCAAGACCGTCAGTTGCATTCCATACCATACTATCCGATACCAGCAACTCACTTCACACAAACAACACTTTGAACCGTGATAGGTTCTTGTGTCGCTGTGAGACTTTTGTATTCTTCTCCAACAATCACATTATAACCTCGAGCCATGTCGTTCCTGTTTGGAAGAGCCCGCACACGCACAGTTGCCGATCTCCCCAAGCAGGCCCGGGAACATGTCTTGAAGCTCGAGGGGCCACAGGGCCCTTCCAAGGTAGCAACCGTATTACCTCGATTCAGGGCTAAACGCTGACTCTAAAAGGCCGAAGAGCTTGCTCGAGTTTTGAGCCAGATGAAGACCATTCTACAGGGAACTCCCGGTATGCTGCTTCACCTCTCCCCACGAACCCCTGATTGTATGGCTAAGACATCTTGCAAGAGGCCGACACCTCTCCAGAACAGATCTTACAGCTCGTAACTGGTCTCATTGACGAAGACCTCCTCCACCTGCTCGCCGTCAACCTCTTCCGTCTACCTTTCGAATCACGTAAAGATACCCAAGTCATATTCTCCTACGTCTTCCGCTTCCGCCCCGCCACTGCCGCCCCCAAAAGCGACCCTCTCGCACTATCATACGTTGTCTGCAATCGACCCCAGGTCCTAGTTGAACTATGTCGAGGATATGACCACAAGGAGAGCGCTACGCCAGCGGGTTCAGTCCTACGAGAGCTACTGAAGAACGAGGCCGCCGCCGCAATCATTCTATACGACGACGGAGATGAGCCAGGTTCGAGTTCCAAGGGTCTAAATGCCATTGACCGTGACCGACCCCAAAGTGGGAGAGGCGTGTTCTGGAGATTCTTCGATTGGGTTGATAAGAGCTCCTTCGAGGTGGCAGCAGATGCTTTCACCACTTTTCGAGTGAGCTTGGGTTCCCGTACCTGAATTGCTTCCAATTGCTGACTTTGCTATAGGAACTGCTGACACGCCACAAGGACCTTGTACCAAGATACTTGAGCGCAAACTTTGAACTCTTCTTCGACAAGTACAACAACATCTTGGTGCAATCCAACAGTTACGTGACCAAGCGTCAGTCCATAAAGCTTCTCGGTGAGATCTTGCTTGATCGCTCCAACTATAACGTCATGACTGCCTATGTTGATCGCGGGGAGCACCTCAAGATATGCATGAACCTGCTACGCGATGATAGGAAAATGGTTCAGTATGAGGGCTTCCACGTATTCAAGGTCTTTGTTGCAAACCCGCACAAGTCAATTGCCGTTCAGAAGATTCTCCTCATGAATCGCGAAAAGCTTCTCACATTCCTCTCTCACTTCCTTGAGGATCGGACAGATGACGAGCAGTTCATCGATGAGAGAGAATTCCTCATCAAGCAAATCCGCGGCATGCCCTCAGTTCCCGTTCCTCCTCAACGGTAACTGTATACATGCTGCATTGCCCACTTACTCTGGACAAATATGTTCTCACCATACCATTTTGCACTCGTGCGGCGTTTTCACTGCTTTTCTCTCACCCGACAGCGATTCATGAGGCCAAGGAGCACAGTTCTCTATTCTTTCACGATGGCATAGCATGATCTGCAGTGTTGTCTTATTTTATCCCTACAGTACTTGTGTTGAATGCCCCTGGCGGTAGCATTGATTGCACCAGGTTATGCATGTCGTTTCGCCGATCTTGGTTCATGATATTATTATACAAAAAGACGCTCCCAACGCCCCCTTGTTCCCCGTATGTGGCCAATTAAACATGACACACACTCTATAACTCCAATTGGTTTGCCAAGAAGTGCCGTCCTGGCGTGTTGACAATTTTCAGGTGGATGCTCATCGTTGCTGCTTTGAGAGCAAGACGTTGACGCTCTCGCGGGCATTTTGGGTAGTCCAGACGCTATCTTTTCCACCACGGCGCCACTCGTCACCCGATGCATGCTCTCCACCTCCTCTGGGCGCTTCTCCCATGATAACCTCGAGGTCTCTCTTCTGAGAACTCAGCCAGTTCTTGATAAAGTTGGTAGGATCCTTGCCAAGAGACTGGAAGAAGGAATGCTTGGCCTTCGACACGGCGATCGCTTGAACCACCTTGGCGAGCTGGTCGTCAAGCCCCGTCACGTCCTTGAGCATTGCAATGTATTGAGGATTGTTGAGCATTGGCAAGAGTGTATCACGTAAAGGATCGTCCACAGGAACCTGGATGTCATAGATCGTAGGCTGGGGGTCCTTGTGAAACTCCTGGTCAACTCGGATGGTGTATTGCAAGCGAATGGGCTCGAGAGGTCGCAGGTGTTGCTGAACATACTCGTTGAGCAGAGGGATGTGCCCAATGTCACCTTGCCTTATAACCTGTGGGAATCGTCAGAACCATGTCAATGTCAACATAGGTTTTCATATAGACCAACCTTCTTGAGAGGCTCATTGCACCGGAAATTACGCTTCTCCTCATCTTCCTGTAGTCCAAGTAACTTGATGTACTCCCAGAGAGCCATGACCGCCTCTTGATGGGTAGCATCCTTCATATCGACCACATCGGCAAGCTCAGGGGTCAGTTGGTATCTCTCGGGTGTCTCCTGACGGAACAGGTTGATGGTGATGTTCTGATTCTCGTCTCCATTTCTCTTGAAGGTAAGCTCATCGAAATCAGCGGCGGCAGGAAGGTTGGCAGCGGGTTGGTTTCGGGCCGGGGCATCTGGCTTCTTCCATTCCACTGTCTGTTCGGCGCCTATTCGGAATCGGGATCGGTCGAAATCGACTGTCAAAGACTTGAAGAAGTGCGAGAATCGGGGTTTCTCTTGTGCTTTGGGCTTCTGTGCTGACTCGTCTGACTCCTTTCCTTCTTCTGAGGTTGACTCCTGTTTCTTGGGCTGCTCGGTCTCCTTGTCTTCGTCGTCGAGTAGGCGACCCTCGATCTTGACTCGGTACGACGCCTCCATGCTAGGGGTAAAGTCGAACGAATCAGAGTTCAGTCCATTGCTTTGCCAGATTTGATCCTCGACCGTGTTGCTGATCCAAACTCGCAATGTTTTGTATCTCTGAATCGTGGGTTAGTCAGTTCCTCCCAATAAATGCATTATTGTCGAACATACCTTGGACCCACGGCTGGTGTAATCGACAATGTCTAGACGCTTTCGTGTGATAGTAGCATCGAGTCGGCGCTCGACATCTCGTAGTTCTTTGTATCGTTGAACACCATCTGGATCAATAATGTTGTCCTCAACTCCATCGGGGATGTTTTTATCTGTAGGCTTTCGACTACGTCGCTTAGCTAGCTCACTGGCGTGAGCCTGAACCTGTTGTTGCTGAGCAATCTGTGCCTGGGTGAGGGGAACCGAAGGGTGAGGTCCTGAGGACATCATGGGTCCTGAGAAAACGTCCATGTTAGCAGATGATTGATGAACGAGGTTGGGTTGCGCAAATGATGGGAATGGGTTTTAAACGTACCAATTCCACCACGTCGCTGGTTTGTCGCATGAGGCGAGCGTTGCGGAACCTGCTGCGCATAAGCGCGATATTGAGGCTGCATTTTACCGAGAAAAACAAAGTCTTGTGTTGGGGTTCGGTAGGCGTCGGCTGGTGGGATTACAGGTTGATCGTGTCGCGTCGCATCGCATTGCTGCGTCGCGAGAAAACGGTAACGGCCAGTACCTTAGCTAACTTCATTACTCATCCAGTCACGTGATCACATACACATTCAACAATACCATGGAAGTCATTCATCCGTTTTGTATGTACCTAGGTAATTGAATATGATTTATTTCTAAGAAATGCTGATGTCTCTGAATGGCACTGGACATGATCCAGCTCCACAGCTCTAGAAAGGGCGATCTGGGCTTGATCGAAAACCAAATGCCATCCATGTCTTGATGCATTGGTTCTTCATATATCAGTAAAGCCTCAGAACAACGAGCGCCCAACTCTCGTCACCCAACTATAGTTCCGTATCTATAGCCCCTACATTGCTGACTAGCCTTGCCCCTTGGATAGGATCTCAAAAAAATACAGGGTGGCATCGATAGCTGTCATGAACGACTTGGAGTTGATCCCGTGCCACAGCTCTGAACCCGTCCTTGCTCACCAAACACGCCACCACTTCTCCTATCCCGAGCATACTTGAAGATACTGCCCCTGTAGTCTTAACCCCAGCCTCCGGCACTTTTGCGGCTGTTTCCCCCAAAACTCAACACGAGAACATACAGAACGCTAGTAAACAGTTCTCTGACACTAGCGTGAACCTATCTGGTGGCCCGGATTGAGCTTCTTCAAACTGAGAAACTTTAGTTTTGGGAGCTCGTCAAAAATCCACCATTTGGCGGCTGTGCCCATCCTTCTTCCTTAACGCTGAAAACAAAATGCACCCCAAAACAATGCATTGCCAGTCCGCTCAGATGAATAAAACTCCGCAATTAGGACGCCGCGCTCTCGATGCCATGAACGTACTGAATGTGATCGATGAGAGGCAAAAATGTCGAATGTCATCGACTGTAAGAATCTACAACTCGTGGAGATCCGAGTTTGTTCGCGCCATTTCTCCATTTCAGGACCCTTAGAATGCCGAGCCCAGTCCGTTCCTCGATTGTCTCTTACTGAAACGGTTGCGTTTTGGCGCAGGATCTTCATTGTTCCCCTGATTCTTACTCAGGTGGTTTCGTCCTTGTCGGTCACTGAGCCCGAAACCATCCGAATAGTTTCCTGGACCCCCCAAAGTACTTGATGGGCTCGAAACTTGAGACGACATGTCGGCAAATCCACTATCACCACCATAAGAAGTGGTCATGTTCTGAGAGAATGCTATGTCCCTTGCCCGCTCGAGACATTCAATCCAATCAGCGGCAGCGGAGCCACCTTCTGGGGGTGTGGATGAGGACTTGGCCTCTTCAAATGTATAGTGGTGACCGCCCTGCAAGTAGATGTCAGTGTACTGACCAAAAGACAGGAAACCAGTCGAGATTTACTTACCGTATTGACACACCACACCGTTTGGCCCTTTGCGTCCACTTGGGTCTTCCAGGTGCAATCTGAACCGAGCAGAGACAACTCTTGCTTCGCTCGTTTCTCCTCTCCACCAGCCGGAGCAAGAACAATTCGGCCGCTAGATGTAATCATTACCAGGCGCTGACGCTTCTTAGTAGTGCTGCCGATAAAGAAACGAGACAACTTCTTATGTCCTTCTCCTGGTTCCTTTCCGTGAGGGCTTGAAGGTAAAGGCGTCGAGACCACCATGAGATCCCCCAACTTGAGAATGCGCTCGTTATTCTTAGTCAAAACGGGTGACCATTCAATGTCAAGCTGTGTGGGGGGCGGAAGTTCTGTTATTATCCTCGATGGTCGGTTATTCCCATTAGAGGGAGTAGCCTGGGACTGCTGTGGAGGCCTGGTGTTGGACGAAGTGGAAAAGCCGTTAAGCTGAATAACTTGAGGTTCCTGGGGTGATGGTATATATGGGCGGAGACGGGGTGCCTTGGACCTCCAGAGTCCTTTTCCGAATGGATGTCCATCGAAGAATTCGTGGTTTTTTATGTGCTCGACAGTGAGTCGTCTGGCTGGTTCGAGGACCAAGCAGCGCTCGACGAGGTCTCTGGCCGCTGGTGGAAAGCCAGGGGGGAATTCGTATTCGAGATTTACAATCTTCTGAAATGTGAGATACTCACTGCCTCCCTTGAAAGGAGGTCGGCCAGCCAAAAGCTGGTATACAATGCAGCCGAAAGCCCACAAGTCGCTAGCCTTACAGGCGTTCTTATGTGTAAGAAGCTCAGGGCTCACATATTCAGCGGTACCAACAAATGATGCTGCACGACTGTCATCGTCCTTTCCAGGATCTGGCGCACCACTGGCTGATGCGGCTGAAGGGTCTTCGCGTGGATCTTTGAGCAGTTTAGCAGTTCCAAAGTCCGTAATCTTGACGTGCATCTGGTCATCCAACAAGACGTTTTCGGGCTTCAGATCTCGGTGGATAACACCCCGAGAATGCATGTAGTCAATGGCGTCAAGAATTTGTGCACCATAAAACCTGGTGCATTCAACATCGAAGGTGCCTGTCTTCTTTAAGACACCCAAAAGCTCTCCACCATTGCACAGATCGAGGACGTAGTAGAGCGATGTCTCGTCTTGAAATGTATAGTATAACCGGACAATTCCAGGGTGTTCGGTAAGTCGGTTTAGTGTGTTCTTCTCGATGTTGACATACTTGATCTTCTTCTCCTTAATGATATGTCTCTTTTCGAGTACCTTCACGGCGTATTCTTTTAGAGTTTGGCGATCGGTCGCCATGTAGACTGTACTATAGGAGCCCTCGCCAAGAACTCGCCCGAAGGAAAAGTCGCGGACGCCCTTTTTGACCTGGCGGACAACGGTACGTCCATTTGCATCAACCTCTCTGCGGACCCCAACGGCCGCTCCACGCTCCTGCCAGTCTTCTCTGCTGGTTGGGACTGGCGCGTCACCTGCGTAAGGCTGGTTCTGCTGTGGCCCGCCAGGGCCAGATGCATAACCAACCCCCATTCCTCTTGAGCTCCTTCGAGGTGGCAATGGGCTGCCACCAGACATTAAACCTGATACTGGTCGGCTTGAGTTGTTGAAGCGTTGAGGGTCTCGTCGACTGGACTCTCTCACGGGATATGAGGGGTTCGAACCAGGTTCGGACACATTGGACATGCCGTAAACGGAGGACCTCGACGGCTCGGGTTGAGGAGATGGCTGCGGATGATTTGCGGAGGGGCTTGGTTCGGAAGTAGGGTCGGATGGTTGAGCGGATGGAGTAAGACGAGGATCGTTAAGTGAGGTTTCGACACCGGCATCTATAGGGTCGAGGCGGATTGCATCATAGGATGAGGGCGTGGTGGATGTGGTTGTCGGTTGAGGTGTAGAGGGGAGGGCGGATGTTGAAGTTGAAGCGGAGATGGAGGTATTCTGAGCAGTCGAGTCGGGCCCGGGAGGAGAAGTCGAAGAGGAGTTAACAGCCTCAGCAGCATCGTCGGGATTGGCGATGCGCAGTCCGCCCAAAGCCTGAGAAAGGCTCAGGTCCCCATTCATGGTGGGCGATGGAGGAACCTAAGGCAGATGTTCAGGGGAAGTGGGCAGGCTCAAGCTCGACTCGCACTGGGAGGAGAAACGCGAGTCGTGAGCAAGGGACGGTCGGCCACTGGCGGCGGCTTGGACCGTGGAGCATCACCGATGGATGTTGAACTGAGCTGTCCAGAAGAGGGATAGATAGGTTAAGGTAAACGGGTGAATGCGAGCGAGATCGGTTTGTGAGGTTAGCAATAATAAATTAAATCCCGGATTGTTGCGTTGCGTTGCGTTGGCGGTGGTTGTATGTAGTGGTAGTGCTGTAACGAAACTGATAAAGTATAGCCCCGTCCGTCAGCCAACAGCACCTAGCAAAAGAGAGGTACGAGGCCCCAGTCTAGATTACGAGAGTCCAGAGAAGCGAAAGACGCCTTAGGCCGCCGCCAACCTTGTCTTTAACCTGGGTATATTACCTGAGGTAGGGGCTGTCTTTGCTGGGATGATGCACAGGTAGGTAAAAGGAGAGAATGAGCCCCCAGCGTTTTTGTTGTTTTTTTTGGCAAGGTGTGTTACCTTATCTTGTCTGATATTTTTGGTGAGAGGAGCACCAGCCACCAATATCTGTCCTGAGCCAATGTACTAACGTGGGTATAGAGTGTGTAGCTGGCAACCTCGAACATTGACCCACGAGCATGGTCTGGGCTATCTCCTGGCCACTGTTGCAATAACTAACGGCCCGTGATCTAGACAAAATTTTGATTTCAGAGGCTTTTATGCCAAGGATAATGATTTAAAGATATATCACGGGTCTTGTTCAGTTTAAATACTTGCAGATGTGGTTTGAGTGCGTAAGCCGCAAATGTCCCTGTCTATCATGGCACTAAAAATATTCAAACATGATGTACGGAGAACAAGCCCGCAAATTGCTAATGAGGACATTTCATCTAACCAGACATGGAGACGACGATATCCAGGATCTCGGGCTCAGTGCTGTTCAACAATCGTGATGCCCAAAATAGAATCAATCCCATAAATCGCAGGGTAATAGCCTATGAGAGTAGGTATGTGCGGATGCCATTCTGTCTGTGCTCTCATGAAGGCTGAGGGTCTCTCAGAACTCAGCCTGTTTCGAGACCAATTAATCAAGACTTTGAGGTCGTGCTCTTTGTTCGTTAGTAGACCTGCTGTTGCATGATACTGCACAAGACGTTCGCTATCACGATTTCTATAACGAAAAGAAGGGAAAAAATGATTCATGTTATATTTATCACGAACCATCAAACAAGCATATTGCTTGTTAGATGTTGTGTATCTCCTCTCGAATTGAGAAGCACTGTTGAATCCACGTGTTGGTTAGATGCACAATCATGACAACGTCATTGTTGAATTGCAGGATTCACTACAAACACGGATATCATATCGTACGAAGCATGGGGATCTTTCTTGCATGCATATCGATTTCATTGCCATCACTTAGTTCTTCCAGCGCGGCGCAGCACCTCGTATCAGCCAGAAACCACGTAAATTTCCAAGTTATATCTGGAAATTAAGTATCCCGTGATGGATAGCCACGTAATAGGGATGCCATGTCTAACTGTCTATACTCCTAGATAATGGGAACTGGATACTGACCACATACTATCCAATTATCCACCATATCTCAGTATCTCTTGTTGGGGCTGTGCACCATAACGTACTGTCGAGAGTGTCGTCAGCTTCTCATCGAATCATTAAGGCACCACAAAGCAGTGCATCAAGGAATGAGAACATACGAAGTTGTAACCCATGATAAGATCAAGAGAACACCATTGACCCTTTCCGTGTTGGTTCACATCAATTAACAATTACAGGTTGAAACAAGTATGATCTGTTATTCCGGATGTCTTACCCTAGAGCTCAGAAGTTGTAGGAAGTTACTCCTATCGCTTTGGGTTTTCCCCAGTAGCCAGACTGAGTGATGTGATATAATCTACGGGAAGCTGCGTTCTGAAAAGAGTTGGGAATAAAGATACAATACCTGCCTAGGTACCTTAGGTATGTTATGATGTTTTCTACTCATGTTCCTGCAGTCGTTCATATGGCATTTCACCTTGAAAGCCTAGAGTGAAATTGTCTCGTCAACCCTTCACGATGCTTCGGCTTCAACCTACGACGATCAAGATAGCCATACGCGATATTAGCGACGCCAAGCGTCGAAGCCGCTATAGAAAGCACCTACTCAGTCGTCAGAAGGCCAATCGAGTACGCGATGACCTCACCCAGCATGATCAAGAAACCGCGCTTCAAGATGCCCTCAACACCAGGATCGTAACACCAACCACTGACTCTAGCACTGGACAAGAAACGCCGGGTTCAGCTGACCGAAACGAGTTAGATGGTGAAGAGGAATTAGGGTCACCACTTCCTCCGCTAGATTACGGTACCATCAGTTCCGAAGAGGACACGCTCTACCTGGACGTTGATCGTGGCATCAATCGCTTGCCTCGACAACCAGACCAGCATCGACTTCCTTTCCGCCCGCGACAAAGCCTGGGTAAGTCAACCGACCAACAAGGATGAAATAGGATTGGAATGAGGCAGATAATAATAAGTTTGAAGATGTCCATGAAGATGCGGATGTTGCTCCCATTCACACACAACCCCACGACAATGTCAGGGAGAGTTCCGTAACAAATGAGGATGAACGCGCTTCGACAGAGCAACTTCTGGCAGCAACTGTAAGGGACACTTCCCCAATTGAGTTATTGTCCCTATCATTATTATCGGATCTGTATCCTGGATGAAGCCCTCTGGATTGCATTGATTGTGGCGAAATGGAAGATAAGTACGCATTGGCTGATGAGCATTTAGCTGGACGGATCAACGTTTGAATCGGAAGAAGTCAACGACGACCACCCGCAGACTTCGGGAGAACTTGTAGACTTCCCCGAAGATGCTGATGGGCTGTCAATCTCACCGACTGACGGAGCTGGAGGGTTTGAGCCTACGACACCCCGAAGATATTTCCCTGTGTACAGTGATCGCCTACCGGTTGAAGAACAACCTCAAACTCCAAGACAACTTCCAGAAGCTCGCCATCAAAGCAGGTTTGACGGAGCTTACACGGCGCCAGTTCGAAGACGACGACCGAGAGCCGAGATTGACGATGCACCAGTGACAGTAAGGAGAAGGCGTGCTGGACGCAATACTAGCCCAGTAGGGTTGAGAACACCAGGGTTTCAGGGTTTGTACGGAGGCAGTGAGAACGCCGACGATGTGTGATGTGATTTGCCGACAGACATCCGTTGTGATGTCAGGTGGTCCATAATCATCGGCAAATGCAAGGAGTACGAGGATTAGTCTTGCTAATACAAGATAAAACGGAGCATAATATTACGGTGACGGTTGGTTTGCTGATCAAGCACGGCGTTGACTGAAGTTATTGCCTACCTTAGATACTTAGTTCGTTACTGAATACGGATAATGGACTGTTCAGTTCGTTTCCAAGACGATGCCAATTAAAGGAGCATTCCTCCCTAGAGTCTTGTTTCTCCATAAGTGATGGAAGATCCGTGATAGTTCCTTTGTGATCCTTTTGGGATAACGGGTATGGATCCGTCCTTACAAACTCGGGCAGGTTCGAATTTTCAGTTGGTCCGGCTCCGGGGGGCTCCAGATCCAGCCATTCGCGGCAACGAAAATTCCAGTCAAGCAAAGTTTTGTCAGATTGGATCTGCCTGGCTTGGCTCTAGTCACCTCAGGCACCAGGAGAGACAGAAAGGCACTGGACAACGGGAGTTCTGTTTGATCCACTTATTTCAGTTTCTACGCAAGGTACGTACTTGAAAACGGGCTCGGAACTACAAACTTCCAATAGAAGGGAAGAAAGATCAGGGCAGCAGGGCAGAAACAAAAACTGACTCGGGCTGGGCGGAAGCCGCGTGGATTCTTTTGGCGTATTATCGGAAAAAGATTGGTCAATGTCTAGCTGCGGATCAGAAGCAAAAAACTTGGCTGAAATGGGGCTCGGCTCTGAGCTCTGATTGCTGAGCGAGTGCTCAGAGTGGCACGGGGCAACTAGAGTCAAGTCAAAACGTTGTCCATCCAACCAGGTAAAGGCTCAAGACATGCTGGAGACCCGCCCAGGCGCCATGCCCCTTACGGCCTCAAGACCCCTAACAATTACGCAATCCAGAAGGGGTCAAGCGCGAATTAGAGCTGACCATTAAACAGTACGTACCTGATGCTGTGAGGTGCCTTAGCTTCAAGCTAGACCACTTTTAGGGCCGGGAGGTTTGCGATAAGCTGATGGCGTGCATACCGTGTGTATACTGTCTGGCACGGACCCCAGCTGCAGCTTGCCGAACCCGATACAAGCTGTTGATACTGTAAGCGACCGTTTCGGGCGTACGGGTATCTTCTCAGAGTACCTCTAGGCGGCGTTCGCCGTTCGCGAGACCAATGCACAGTGTCAACTCTCATAACTGTTAGAGATCGGAGTGAGGCTGCATGGGTTGGGTGGGTGCGTTAAAGAGCACCTCAACCTGGGGTAAAGAGCCACTCACACTTCACGCCCCTTCTTCGTCCTGGTCTCTCTTGGTACTCCTTCCTCTCACAGGTTCTTTCCATTTTAGCAGTCCTCCCCTCGCATTCTTTTACAGCTTTTAATCCTCCTTCTTCCTCCCATCGATTTCCTCCTCCTCTTTCTCTTTTCACGTAGTCCATCCATCACAGGACATACCAACTCAAAAGTCGTTCTTGTTTCTCAAGTCGAACACCCCATCACGACTTGTCTAAATCACATCCACTTACTATTATCCACCCTCACCTTCGCGTACCTTGCCCTCGTGCCTCGTCCTGGCCGAACCCATCGTGTTCTTCTATTACTTCTCACTATCTCATCGTCACTCACCAGGCTCCATCTCGCCAACGTCCTCCTCACTTCTCCTCTTGAGCGAACTCATCATCACCGCGTGTCCCGGAGACTATACGCTATAGATGGTTTGTGACAACACTGACTACTAACCTTATAAACACTTGCAGTTTCCCATCACAGAACAGAATACGCTTTTCAAAATGTCGTACTTCAGCTCTCAATTCTCTTCCTCTCCCGTCCTTACCATGTCTCCCCAACATGCCCACCAGTCTATGGGCATGGCAAGCTTCGGACACCACACACCACCTCGATTTGCACCTATGCCAAGCCAATTTGCTGCTCAGCCTGTTCGACCTTCGGCAGCTGGTAGAAAGCGTTCCCGGGATGAGGCCTCTGAAAACCTTGAGCCTGACATGAAGTCCCTGCCCGTTGAAGAGCCCGAAGAGGAATGGATCTACGGCCCCGGCATGACCCTCATCAAGAAGAGCACTCGCTACGTCACAGATGCCAGCAGTCAATCCGGCACCTGGGTTGAGGAGAAGAAGGCTGCTGAAGAGGCCGCCATCAAGGAGGCGCGCTCTCTGATCAGAAACCCCAAGCTGCAGCGCGTATCACCCACTCTATCAAGGGCACCTGCAGCCAGCACTTCTCCCCTCCAATCTGAAGCCAAGCCTGCCATTGAGGGTCCCATAGTTGATAACTTCACTCTGCACCTCGGTATTGGCTGGCGAAGAATCAGCGAAGAAGAGCACATCCAAGCCGCTGCTCGTGGTTGGGCCCGCTATATCGAAAACCACTTCCCTGTTTCCAACGCCGGAATCCTTCTTGAGAGCAACGGTCTCCAGTCGTATCTGGTGGAGACCAACGAGGGCTTCTTCCTATTTGCCGAGAACCTCCGACAAGGCCAGCTCGTCAGCCAGACTGCTGAGGGTGCACTCCGAAATCTTCAATGCTCTCCTCCTATCTTTGACGGAATGGAAGTTCTTTCAGCGGCTGAATCTCCCCGACCAACCAATGCCGTCCCTGATATGGACATGAGAATGGATTAGAGAAACCTCGTCCGGGAACATTTCATTTTTTCTTCTTCTTGATGCATCTTGTACTTGCTATCTACGGAGTTACGTGTTTGCCATGCTTACGGATTGGGAATGGGAATGGGAAAGGAGCCTTGGGATCACGGGAAAGAAAGGCTGCCAAGAGCGAATGCCATAGACCGGATAGTCATGGCTCGATATCATTTGATTGCAATTTACACTATTGAACGACAACTTGGTCATGAATGTGCCTCTGATGTGAATTATGTTGTGTCGAATATCTCAGTGACTTTGTGCAAATTGTGCAGTTGTGTTTGTGGCACTGACGGAGGAAATCTCCCGCTAATAGAAACGCGTCGGTCTCGGCGTGATTTTGGCGAGCAAGCCAATTCGACGCGACACCTTTGGCTTGGCCGGGCTTGGGCTATCATAAAGTACCTTTACAGTACCTACACACGCAGCAAGCATCATGGGCGTTAGGATTGGAAAGGGCCGGTTTGAAGCCAAGAGTCCAATTAAAGATACTTTTCGATTTCTTCGTATAGCACGATGCATGCACGCAAACACATACTCATAGTCTATTGCATTGTGCCTGAGATGCGGGTCATGCTGGAAGCACCACTAATGCAGCGCAAACAGACTCATGAAATAAATGATAGCCAATGCAGTCCGTGAACTGGCTGAATAGTTTCTAAATGGGTCGCAAATAGGCCAATCCCTTGCATATGCAACTTTTTCTTATGCGGCTCAGGCTAATTCATCGGCTATTCGGACAGGAAAAGCAGCAAGTTGTTCCTCAGTAATTATGTGGCTCACGGTAACCAACACTTGAGATTTCGATGAAAGCACAATAATGCCTGCCTGATGATGGATAGACCATTCAGCTGTACAATCTTTCGAGTAATGGAACAATAAAAGAGAATGAAGTAAATGGCCGATCTTCTCTCAGAATGCTCCGATGTAAGCATGATGCCATTTAAAGATTGGCTTTCTGCCGTACGTAGTAGTGAACCAACGCTATGGTGTAAATATATGGCTTTTAAATAATCTCTTTACTTTTCATGAAACCATTTGAATTGCCCACCGGCCTCATAAGGACTGAGTTGAGAGCACGTTCAGAGTGGGGCTTCAATCACAATGCACTCTGGTCTTCCCAGTATGAGATGCACCATTTTTAGAAGGACAAATCATCCTGTTGAGCTCGGCTCATATTACCCATTTCACTGCCACCTTTTCCCTCTTCATATCGTTTAAATGGAAGCCTACCTTGCCTTACTCGGACTGGCTCTGGCTCTGGCTTTGGCTCAGGGGAAGCATGCCCCCCAACCTCCTCCAGTTGAGCTTGACCGAGGTATATCCCCCCAGAGTCCAGATAGGCCGAGACTGTAATAGCACCTTGTAATAGCATGGGCTCCAGTATTGTTTTAGGTATCTCACCCCATTCGACTATCATCCAGGTAGCACAAATACATCAATCGTCAAGTTACACCAACTGTCGGAACCTTTGGGCAGCCCATCCGTCATCCAGTTACGTACCTATGATAAGTCAAGTAGGTTTAGAAAGAAGGTAACTTCCATCTACAACCTCATCACTTGGGCGTTGCATCCCCAGTAAAGTATATTCTCTCTCCTTATCGGCAGATTCAGATTGAAGCTATACAACCGTCGTATCTTTTTTGGCGCCCGCATGCGACTGTAGGTCCCAACCGAGAGCAGCTCCATCTAATTGATCGATCCATCTACCTTATCAATCGCATCGCATCGCATCACCAACCATGTCGAGCGCAAATCAGCTCTTTCTTCTCGCCGACCACATTAAGCTCTCACTGCTTGAGCGCCAACGGGCTAAGAATCTTAATCTTGAAGGCGACTCGCAGGATGGCCACATCTCACGATCTTTCGACCAGTTCCGTGATGGTCTGGCCAATCTCCGCGAGGAGGAGCAGCGGTTGACTTTCGCCGGCGAAACTGAGTAAGTCTTATACAAGATATTAACCACCATATTCTATGCTAATCTTGTTTCTCAGTGCCGCTACAAGCCTCACAGAATCCATCACATCGCTCCAGAAGCAACTAGACGACCTTACAACTCAATTCCAAGGCCAACCAAACTCCTCAACCGCCGAAACCCTCACTCATCCCAACTCCGAAGAGCTCGCCGACGACTTTGAGCACGCAACATCCACATCTCCAGTCTCACGGAAGCCAAAGACAGTTCGATTCAGTGACACTCCCTCTTCGCCGTCCGCCGAGCTCTTTGGTCCTTACCGCGATGATCCTTCCGATAGTGCCGGCTACCGAGACGAGGCCCAGGGCATGGACAACCAGCAGATTCACCAGTACCACGCTCAAATCCTAGAGCAACAAGATGAGCAGCTTGATCGTCTGGGCGAGTCTATCGGACGCCAGCGCGAGCTTAGCATGCAAATCGGCGACGAGCTCGATAGCCACGTTGCTATGCTCGATGAGGTTGAGGCTGTTACAGATCGTCACCAGAGCCGACTGGATCGTGCGAGTAGAATGCTCGGAAAGGTTGCTCGAGGCGCAAGCGAGAATAAGCAAATGACCACTATTGTGGTTCTCATCATCATTCTTGTCTTGCTCATTGCTATCCTGAAATAAGCTGTAGACCATGCTTGTCCCTTCTTTCCATCCGTCTCAAAAGAAACAGCCCGCTTAGCGCATTGGTTGGAGTTCTCGGAGTCATTTGCTTGGGCGTTATTCAAGGTATCTGCCTTACATGTTGATATGCTTCTGTTCCTTTGCTTCAGTTCAACAGCGGACAGTTGGCTTTTTCTGCGACTCACTTCCTGTAAATACGCAGCAATACTTGATGCACTTTAACAGAATAGAGAAGACCAGTTTAGGTTCCTCGCCCTATCATATTATCATTCTCAGAGTAAAAGCTACCAATCCTGAACATAACTTGCAGTCTAGACAATTTCTCCTTAGGTAAAGATTATCTTGAACAGGGAAAGAAAGAAAGAAAGCAGTTCATCGGATCACATCTCCTTCTTTGTCAATGCCTTCAAGCCCCTCCAGGATATCGCTTCCTGCGAGAATACCTGTAGCGCCCACGGTCACGCCTCGTTCTCGCGACCATACTTCATGAAACTTTATGCTCTTGTCGCTTGATGCAACAATAATGCATCCTTCCTTGCCTCCTGCTGGTGCGGTTGGGTCGTCAGAGGTCGGCCCTCGAGGGTAAGAGATGGCATACAAGGCTCGCAAGTCATCTTCCCAAGGAATCGCTGCAACCTGTTTGCACTCTGGCCAACTGAAAACGCTGACACGATAGGGGTGTTCTGGTGAAGCATACCCGAATGTGGCGGCAATCTCTCTGCGAGTTGTATTCCAGATGAGCGAGGTTACCTGGGCAGACACTGATATCGTTGCGAGAGCTGCTCCGGATGGCGTATGGAAGAAGTGGATGCACTTGTCATTAGAGCCACCTCCTGTTGCTACCAACTCACGCCGCCAGGGGCAGAAAGCAATGGCTTTCACAGCAGCATCATGGTTCCAATGATGCTTCGCAATAGCAGGGCCAAGGTACCGAACGGTGTCAGCTCCAGTTGGAAGTGGCTGTAGCTGTGCCCTGAACGCCCTCACAGGCATATCGTCGTCCGCATCGACGCTCAACAGCCGCGTAACTCTTGTCTCAATGCCACCGTACACGCTGCCAGCCTCTATGCGCCCTCGATAACCATTTACCCCGAGGGCTGGCTCAATCCGTCGTCCAGAGACTTGGTCAGCATCGAAAAGACAGCAGAGATTGTCGTTACCCCCGGACGCGAATAGACGACCATCATATGACCATGCAAGACCGCATACTTGCTGACAGTGAATATTGCTGATCTTGGCTACCAACGATACTGCACCGGGCCAAGTGTCCCGCGTGACTTCCCAGCCTATCGGCCATTCTACAACGTAGTAGTAGAGATTGCCCATCTCATCGCCAACTACCAAATCCTCAGTCAGAACTTCTACCCCTGGATTCAGGGGGTTCTTAGAAGGCCGCAGAGTACAAGCTGGGCGCCAGCTCACACAGGAAATAGGAAAAGCCTGGCGAATCTCGAATCGTGGTAGTGTGTCAAAGAGAGATTGGAAAAGCACACTTCCATTGGAGTGTCCGATCCCAAGCACAGCTTTACCTCCTGGAGTTGATGAGAAGGCAACCGACGTCAACTAAGTATCGGAGTGTGTTCCATGGATCAGCTGCACGCCTCGGAACTCAGACCAGGCATAAAGAAGGCTTCCCAGGCAGACAACAAGAGTCTGTGCCGTATATGAGTACGCCAGTGGTGAACAGTAGAAGTCATCCTTCAGGTTCGGGGCATCGAGTACTCTGAGGACCATTAGCTCAACCCCATTGAATACTCAGACTTACCAACCTAAATGGAGCAGCTGGTAGAAGATGTTTCTTTGTTGGTCTAAGAGGAACTGTTTATGGTCAATTATGACCTTAACAGACAAGTACTTTCAACTTACCTGACCACTCCTCTTTATTGGCCCACTGATATCCGTTCCAACTTGTGTGACTAAAGTCCGCATGAAGACTGTGGTGTTTCAGGGTTCGAGGGATCTGCTGACCCCTTGCGAACTCGAGGATCTTTCGTACCTGGTCAATGTTGAGAGCCGAAGCGATGCGGCCTTCGTGCTTCTCCTTCTCGACTGACGTGCTGACAACACTTTCCTGGAAAAGGGTGGGAAACACACGAGCATTGGTCCCACGTCTGACGAGATGCCCCTGTCCATCATCGGTAGCGATTGCATTAGGCGCAAGACCACCAACCGACCACATGGCTCCCATACTGACTTGACGATCTCCTCCTCGGTTCTGTGGAAGTTGACCAAGAGCTATACCTAGTGATGAGCTGGTTAGATAAAAAAGAAACACAGCAAGTTGGCTGCCAAACCTCTGTCCAGATGACTATCGTCAACTCGGAAAGGAAAACGTGGATCAGGGTCCATTACACGACGTTTTAGCACGAATGGATCTGCCGAGGCACTCTTGTCACGCTTGAGACGCTCATCTCTTGATAAATCCTGGCTTTGCTTTGTTGTTCGATATCTCTCGGACGATGGGGAAATAGGATCACGTCGCGGGACGTATCTGTCTAGGTGTTGTATGTTTGGATCAATGCGTTTGTCTTGGAGGGGTAACCGCCTGGGGCTTTTGGAGTATAAAAAAGGAGAAATCACTTCGGCCTTTCCTTTTGCATGTCGCCTCTCTGGTGTTTTGGGAGGCTCAACCACAACTCTTGTTTTGCTCAGTACCGGTGGTTTTTGCTCCTGGTTCTCAAGTGATTTGATTGGAGTTTCATCCGGGCCTGAGCCATCGAAAGAAGGAAAACATCGTTTTCGAAGATTCGGGGATAGCTCAAAGATTTCGTCTGCTGAGCCATAACCTGAATCTGGAGGGCTTATCGACTGGCAAGACAAGTCTGCTCCGCCAAGTCTTGGAAGCAGTCGGGGGCGTCGAGGCGGTTGTTGAAACATGCTTGTCGATATCGATTTGTTGAGGAGTTCCAGATGTATGACCCTTGGAAGCCTTGGAAGCCTTGGGCATGAAGAAACGAATGAACTGTTGTACTATAACCTGAACAATACTGTACCGATAGACAGATTTTTCCCTCAGCGAGATTACCTACCGTGTGAGATGATGAGTCGTATTGATGCTTGGAGAAGAATTTCGTAGGGAAGAGAGGTTAAGGTGAAGTGAGGATGTAGAGAGGAGTTTGGGTAGAGGGGAAGGAGTCATGCCAAATGCACCCAATATCTTGCCTACTAGCTTAGTTGCTCACATATTGAAAGTCACAGAATGGGCTGCACTTACTTGGAGTGATTCCATAGCTTACAGCTTGAGGCAATCACGATAGTGCTACTACGTGGTCAGGTCTGATACATGCCTATTCGAAGACAAAATATCCTACATCTTCCAAACTTGACAGAGAGGCTTATAGTCTTGATAACGAATATTATAAATTTATTTGATAATCAGTAATCAGTGACGTTTCGAGCTTAGGAGGTTGTGTCTCGACAAAACTCCTTGACGAATCTTTTAAACTCAAGCAAGGTCAGACATAGCGATCATAGTCCCCACCCATCTTTGTCGCAATATTGTCAAAGTACGAATTCGCATAATCCAGCCAGTTCTCTGTCATTTCCAGGCTCCCCAAGGTGCGATAGCTTGTGCCGATAAGGGACTCGTCTCCCTGCTTGTCCGCAGAAGCCTCCCAGAACATGCTTCCGCCGAGGCCATGCTCTAGCACATATTCCGCCTTTTTCTGAACTGTGTACGGAGTGTCGTAGGAGATTAATTCGCGTTTTCTCTCGTCATAACTATAGGAAGCTTGGGCATTTGGGTCGTACATGACTATAGCGCCTTCCTTGGGAAGTGTCTTGTAATCCCAGACACCTCGCTCTCCCCAGGAACCTTTTCCAACACCGTTAAAGGTCTTTCCAAGACCCAAGTTATCTTCAAAGGAGCGGCCGAAGACAGGCATGCCGAGGACAATCTTTTCAGCGGGCACCCCAGCTTCAAGGTAGTCCTTGATAGCATAGTCGGTATTGATCGCCATTTCAAAGCTTTCCTTGAGGGTATAGTCGATATTGAGCGTTTTGACATCACGTTTGTACGGGAAAAGATTGGCGTTATGACCACTGATATGATCCCAGCTTCCAGAGTAGTCATAGGCCATGAGGTTGATTTGGTCAACAATTCCACCTATGCTGTTCAGATGAAGGTTTTTGTAATGCTCAGGAGCAGCAGGGGCGGCAATGGACAGTAGGAAACGATGGCCAGAGGCGAACTTCCTTGTATATAAGTCAAGTTCATCCCGTATAGTGTGAAGGAGGAGAACAAAATTGGTAGCATCGATTGCATCATCCGGAAACTCCCAATCGATATCGACACCGTCGAAACCCAAATTCCACATCAAGTGGACCGAAGTCGAGGCGAATCTGGCACGATTTTCAGGCGTGCTTGCGGCAGAGCTGAAGTTCGTAGGCCCGGCTCCCCACCCGCCGATGGAAAGGAGAGTCTTGAGGTGACGGTTGGATTTCTTTAACAGGAAGAGCTGCTTCACACATCCGTAGGCATTCCTTTTATGTTCTTCGTAGCCTTGCCTCTCGTCAGTCATGAAGTTGAGGCAAGGAAGGTAGACTCACTATCTCCCTCAAATTGTGCCATAAAGTCGGCATGTTCGTCTCTGGAGTATCTGATGTTTTGATTAGCGTTAGGTAGGTATTTAGATGATTTTGTGTTCCACTTACACTGTCCCATCGGGTTTGACACCCAAGAATGCGTAGAATACGTGAGAGATGTGGGATATGTCGATGTCCTGAGGGTAAAAGCTTCTGCCATAGATGCCCCTGACAGTGTTAACAAGGGAATATGCTTGATTAGGCGGGCCCACAAACCAGTTGATGAAGTAAACAGCGTTCACATGCCCTCTCGAGGTAGCCCCTGTTGACCGGAGAGAATGGTCAGTACGAAGTGCATGGCACGGTAGAGTCGCCAGAAGAATGGCAATAACTGCCAGGCGTTGGAGAAACGATAGCATCATCGGCCTTGAGTGAGTAAGAGAGGGTTTTCAGTATTTAGAAGAATCGATGTTGGAGATAAAAGGGGTAAATTTTGTTGATTGTGTAGTGAACCGGGAGGCAGTTTGTTATAACGAGAAGGTGGGAGAGGACTAAATGGAAGGAACCGTCAAGGTACCATTTCCAGACTCCCACATGAGGTACTAGAGGAAGTCACAAGAGGCACAGATACAAAACTGTGAAGCAATTCTCTCGTATTCGACTGAAGCATCGTGTGAGGGTGCGTATGTGCGCCTAGGTATACTTTGATGCCTCTGTAACTCGAACCGAGTGAGTCGCGCAGGACAAGTTTCTGCATCACATAAACGTTGTGTAAAGTGTCAGTCGACAATATTGTATCACAATATCAAGTGAGTAATATGGATTTATTCAAGTACATGCTGTGGTGTGATAATCCTTACTATTCTACCTAGCCTGAACCATCACCTTCTCATCTAGGCCACATAGCATTCCTTTTAGGGGTAATGATAAGCCTTGATGATTGATTCAGTATATCGGTTCTTTATCACTTCTGAGAGTAGAGTTACGATCAATATTTTATGCATGGAATTCCCTCTTTTCCTACATCTCTAGGTACGACATGTTCTGTGCCAGGGACGACCTTGAGGCGCATGAAGCCAAACACGGTGACGCCGTGTATCGTTATCGATATACCTATAACATTAAAGTCGATGATTCACAGATGCTTGGTCTGCAGCTACATTTGTTCTCGTTTGCACCAGATCATTCAATCATTGGTTTCCTTCAAACAACTCCTCACTTCCAAGAGTATTCGCTTAGGTGCCAACAAAATTCGACAGACAGCCCTCTATAAAGATCCCTTGTATTTCTCTACAAGAGTACGGCCCCGTGATATCTACCCATGAAAGTTTTGTTATGTCATGGTGAATCATCCAGGTATCGTTTTCATTATGCGGACATGTCCCCTGAAGCGCTATCATCTGGGAGACCTTGACTGGTTTGCTATGGTGGTGTCAGGCGAGTTCAACTAGATTTTATCACTATCTTTTGGTTGTCTCCTCATAATTTGCTGAGACGTGACGAGGCTTTCTTACCTTTCAATATTGTGATCCTTGTGTTGCCGGTTTCTTAACATGATTCTGATGTCAATGACTATACTTTTCTTATATACCTCGGTAGATCGTATCCTGCCAGTCATTTGATGTTTGTTGCAGCTCTAGGCTTATGAATAAGTCAAGGATATCGCAACATAAATATTCCACGTCACGCTACCCTACACTCTTACGCGGGGTCATATCGTCCAGCTCAACAGCAAACATTCACAAGCCTTCACAACCCATCGTAAGCAACGATCAAGGCTAAATTAACAAGCCGAGGCTCTTCAGAATGACCAGTGTTAGTCTCAACCCAACAAACTAGTCCACCGTAACTGATGCTGATCCCAAGGCTTGCAGCACGGCATAGCCCGCACTGCGCGGTCACGGACAGAAGAACAGCGCCAGCAGGATCTCGTCAAGATCCAAAAGTACCGTGGTCTTGAGGACGATATACGCCAAAAGGTCAGCTCTAACCGACTATGCAAGGACCATATTTCTCACACATAAGCAGATCTCCGAGAACAACTACGGCACCGACACATTCCAGCTTACATCGAAGCTACTACGCCTCAACCCCGAATACTACACGATATGGAACGCCCGCAGGCGCTGTCTAATCTATGGCTTATTATCCAAACCCTCGGCTGGATCGCCGCCCTCGAAGGAGTTGCAGAATACTTCAGCGACAGACACTCACAGAGCCTCTTCCGACGCTTCATTGCCCTCCTCCTCGACCGAGATCCCGCAACGCCGCAACCCCCCGACAGCTGGGAAGACTGGTACAACGACTAATAGCGATGCCGATACCGACGTGATACGCTCCGAGCTGGGCTTCACTGTTCCCTTGTTGATGGAGTTTCCCAAGTGCTACTGGATATGGAATTATCGCCTATGGACGCTTGATCGCGCGATCGAAAGACTCGATGTATCTATAGCTCGGCGCATTTGGGAAGAGGAGCTAGGTCTTGTCAGCAAGATGCTCACCAAAGACCGACGAAACTTCCACGCCTGGGGCTATCGTCGCCATGTCGTAGCGCAGCTCGAGAGCCCCGTGCTGAACGGCCAGAGCTTGGTAGAGCCCGAGTTTGAGTACACCACAAAAAAAATCCATGAAGATCTGTCCAATTTCTCAGCCTGGCATAACCGAAGTCAGCTCATTACAAGACTTCTCAATGAGCGCAAAGCAGATGACGCATCTCGCAAAGCTTTGCTGGACACAGGTTTGTTTTGCGCCGTCCCGTAAACAGTTATCGCTAACATGTACCAGAACTTGAGATTATCCGCGAAGCCCTGAATGTTGGGCCTGAAGACCAGTCTTTATGGTACTATCACCAGTTCCTAGTATTGAACCTCGCAAATCCTGCATCAAGTCGCCAAATAGCACCAAACCTGACGGCGGAAGAGCGCAAGTCATATATTGACGATGAAGTAACTGAAATCAAGGATCTACTACAAGACTACAAGGACACAAAATGGATCTACGAGGCTCTCATTGAGTATGCAATCGCGTTAAACGAACTCACGGGGCAGCCGTTTGAGCCTGAGAGTCAAAGTGATGTAACTTCTTGGTTACAGACTCTCAGAAAATTAGACCCTAAGCGAAACGGACGATGGAGTGATTTGGAAAAGGACTTGGGTTTATCACAGACATGATTCTGAACCCATTGGCTATCTAGTATATGTATACCATACGCCATTAGACCATGATGCAGCAATGAATTTGTTGATAACCCCTATCGCTAACCTATGATCCGAAAAATTGTAAACGCATATGCTTCAAAGTCCTCCAGCATTGGTATCAATGTGCCCGTTAAATGAAACACCCATACACGCTTTCTACGCCTTTCAACGCCCCCTTCCACTACCTCTTGGTCTACCTCTACCTCTGCCTCGACCTCGCCCACCTCCTCGGCCTCCACGACCAGCGCCACGTCTTGCTGGAATATCCCCGTCACTACCGGAATCTGATCCTGAAGCAGACACTGAATCGCTCATATCTGCTTCTGAATCTGTATCACCAATTCTGACAACTGTCGGCTGTGTAGGTCGCTGAGTTGTAGGTGGTGGCGAAGGGCTGCGCGAGCTTTCATGATGGACCGAGGATGGAGAGGGTGATCTATTGCCGAAATATTCACTGTGCCGACTCGGACTACGAGCAGCCTCCTTCGGCTCTTCTGCTGCCGGCTCATCCATTACCGCCAGAGGGGCGTTGAAGGTTGGCGCGGGTGATGACGCTCCTGACTGTGCTGCAGTCACATTGGTGGAGGCAGTTGTGGATTTGCGTTTGCCTATCTTGAATTTCTTCCCCTTAAGTGCCATTCGTTCAGCCATAGACATAAGCTGCGTTCCTCCGCTACCCGATTTGGGCGGTGGTGGAGACGCAGAATCGCGAGCAGATTCATTATCAACACCCTCTGATCGTCGAGTACGGCGGATAGTTCGCGAGGCTCGATCCTTAGGGTTGCCTGATATGGACCGGGCGTCTTCTTCAGAAGGGTCCACAGTAGATGATCCAGCTGCAATGGTGGTTACACCAGATTTCCTAGGCCTTCCTCGGCGTCGGGGTTGAGGAGGCTCCGCTACAGCCTCCGAAGGAACCGTACCGAGCTCGGCAGCTAGCTGTGCTTCTAATTCGCCAACCATTCTCTCGTGTTCGACGTCACTGTTGTCGCTTTGGTCTTGGATGGACTCGTCAGCGAATTGATTTGAATCATCCGCGGCTGAAACTTGAGACAAGCGTGATTTTCGAGGTCGACCCTTGGGCCAACCTCTCTGGCCGCCTGTTGGCTTCTTGGAAGAACTAGCTGGCGTAGATTGGGAAGAGGTAGATGCGTTCTTGGGGGACGACCACGGCGTTTAGGCGGAGTCTTGGTCTCAAGGACAGACTCAGGGTCTTTTTCGATGGAGGGTTGCGGTGCAGGGGATGATGTCCCGAATAAGGCACGAACTGCATCAGCAGCCAGATCAACAGCCGACTTCTTCTCTCCCTGTGCGCCAACGGCGGGTGTTTTAGGTTTTGTCCCTTGCGTGCGCTCTTCCCCAAACTCATCGGAATCTACGTCCGCCTCCACATATGATGCTATGGGTTTGGCGTGTCGAAGTTCGGGCTCATTTGCATCAAACAGCAGCTGACCCCGTTTCTTAGATGGGACTGGAGCAGGAGCAGGAGCAGGGGTTTCATCTGGTGTGTTCTGGGCACCATCTGTTCCAGCGTCTTGTGCAGTACTCGGGTCCCTTGTGTCTTGGCCAGGCTGATCCATGACCGCCTCAGGGGCAGCTGGCGGTCCATTGAATAAGGCAGGGTCCATACTATCCAGAAAATCTGCTTCTGGTTCGGCCGCGAGACGAGGTTTCTTGTGGTGGGACTTGCCAACAACAAAATCGGGATCCTCGTTTTCTCGTTTGGCCTTTCTCTTGGCTGCGCGGATAGACTTCTTGACAAACTCAGGGATATCCGGCTCGGACGGTCGCATGGCTTCCTCAGATGGAGCCTGGAAAGGATCAAAAAGAATCTTGTCGGGTGTGTCGTCTGGTTCATAATATCCCATACCAATGCGCTGTCGTGCCACCAGTGAAGGATCGGGGTAGAGGGAAGTATCAGCGTCTTCAGCCTGTGACATGTCCATTGCCATGGAATGATCGCCCAGTCCAGTATTCTCTTCGGGGTATGGTGGATATGGCCCTTCCATAGTGTTATCAGCCATAGACTGGTCGCCTTGACCAAGAACATGACTCTGATCTCCGTAGCCGTTCATGCCAGGTACGTGCATACCACTAGGAGGATCATGCTCTGCGTCTTGCATGAACTCATCTGCTTCATCCTGCTCGGTAATATCTTGTGCCTTGGCATTATCGGCCTGCTCTCTTAGCCTCTTCATTCGTCTGCTGTCCTTGCTGCGACTTTCCTCTCCAGCAGCCTTCAACCATGAGAGGTTGTGGACTCGGAAGTCGACAAGTGCTTCCACACTTCGATCATCGGCAATCGGGCGGGTATCATGTCCCAGCAAAGTATTCTTTGGTGTATAGGGGTCTGTATTTCCTTGGCGGCGACAGTGGCCACAATTGCATATGCCTAAGCACTTTGGACATTGCCATTGCTCATCCTCAAGCACTTTCTGTGGTAACATATCGAAAGCCCGATAAAGAACGCCATAACAATAGGACTCGGTGCAGCCAGGGTTGGTGCATTGGTGTACTCGGTAGGCATAGTCCTTGTGACAACAGACGTGGCATCTCCTGAGCTCTCCTTTCTTTTTCTTGCGTTTGTACTTCTTCTTTGGCTTTCCTTCACCATCGACCTCAGGCTCCGACTCGCTTGGTGTAACTTCGCGTTCTGGCTGAGTGATGTCTTTCCAAGGCCGTCTTCTCAAGGCTTCTTGGCAAATTTGTGCCAAGGACTTCTTTCCTGAACGCTGTCGGGCGATCTCCAAGGGCTGAGGCGAGGTTTCAAAGTCAACAAATCCGTCATTCTTGATAATCATTGAACGCCAATCCTCGTAGTTATTGACCAGATCAGCCCAAGACCATTGCTCGCACCACTGAAGACCCGAAAGGCAGGCACAAGACCGTCCCATGGCGTAGCATTCCATGCAGACGTCATAAGTATCCTCATCGCCGTTCATCAGCATCCGAGTACAATGTTTGCAAGTCAAAAATCGGTTGAAGATATTTGAACGGCAATATGAGCATGTGATGCACGAGTCAAACTCGATGAACTCTACCTCCTTCTCCTTGTGTGCGAACATTTCATCAATGAGAATCTCAGTAAACAGACCGAATAGCTTCTTAAAGTCACCCGCAAGCTGTCTAGCACGAGGTGAGCTCCTGAGAATGTCTTGACCAAGTCCTAGGAAACTCATCGAAGTCATCTCTGCATCATCCTCCAGCTTCTGAAGTTGGCGATAGTACTTCTGTAAAGTGAAGAAAATGATGGCTTTATTCTTGTACTGTTCGTCGCGGCAGACAAGACGAGCCTTCGGCAGGGCTTCATGTAACGCCAACTCTAGGGTCTCGGCAGTCGTGCGATTCCATGCTACTTTTATCGTTCGAGTACCACGATTCCAAACTTGATGTGCTGCCAAGGGCGGAATGAGAATGAAGTCACCGACTCGCTGCTCAACGACATAAACGTCGAAAGGTGCTTTCTTCCACGCATTGATTTGAGCAAAGTGTTTTTCAATCTCAATATCGTGTCCCAGCATGGAGAGGAAGTATTCTCGAACAACCTCGCGGTCCTTGCTTTCCGTCATGAACCAGATGGAGCTTCCTGGTTTTTCGCCCTTCTCGTCTTCTGATGCTTCTACCATAATATTTTGACCCAACGATGCACACATCTCGCGATGTGCTGGGGTAAATGTGCCTTCATGTCCAATGTAACACATAAGATTTTGGGCTCGCATTTCTTCTGGTAAGCTGGACATCAAATCACCAGCTGGTGCTGCAGCAGCTTCATCGCGGAAGGCGTCTTCCTTTTGTTGCGAGCCACCGGCTTCGCTGGCGTTCTCATTTAGGTAGAATAGGTTCGGATGAATGACTTTTTGCAGTGCATCGTGCCACTCGGGAGGACAGTCAATGTCTTTCAAGTAAAGGCGCTGACGGCGCTCGTCTCTGAAATTTGTCGGTGTCCATTGATTCGCCAGTTGTCGCATCGATCGTAGGTAATGTCCCATCGTCATAGGAATATCCGAACCTGCATTGATGTCTCTCACATTTTCCTCTGTTTAACCCAGGGTTAGTATGCTTTCGATGGCCATCTGAAAAGAGTTGACCTACGTTGCTTATCATACGTCTCCTCCAGCCAACGGACATCGAAAAGCCTTTTTGGCAGAACTCCATCCCATCCATCAATGACTAGGGGTTTGCCGCCAGCGATGACGTGGATCAGCACCAGCTTCTCAAACTCTTGTTGTCCAAGATTGCGTATTTGGTTTCTTGACACACGCTGAACCCATTTGAAATTTGGGGTCTTGTCCACCAAGCTATACAAGTCCAAATCAGGCGGAATAGGATCGAATTTAGCCTGCGGGTGTAGTGAAGTCGGCATCTTGTCGAGCTTCTGACATGATGCGCGTGAAGCTGTAGTGGGGTTTCGCTCGAGAAAGAGATGTCGTCAGTCGCAAAGAAAAGAACGTCTCGAAAATTCGTATGCGCGAAATCAGGCCGAATAGCCGTTCGTTTCGCAAATCGCCCCCATTCAGTACGAAAATAGTGACAACGATATCGTAAACGATGGTTTTTGGGGGAGGTTACAAATCCTAGGCGAATGCATGAAGTCGCGTCGGAAGCTCAGGCGTTGAATTGGAGAATGCGCAACCAATCAAAGGTGATTACACAGAAGCAGATAGCGAGCCACGGGTGCACGTGATGGACGCTTGCCGATCTCGCGCTAACAAGCTCGGCCAATTCGCTCCACTGCTACGTGAGCCTTGGTGACAAGGATCCTGAAGTTTATAAGATTCATATTTTTGGATCGAGAGTTTTCGATTTGAGCTTTGGAGGGCTGCCATTGACGTCTGACGTGACCAAAACTTCTTTACAGAGCTTCGTAGTAAGTTGATTATGAAATTTATATGAAATCCTAGTTCAAATTCTCATTATCCCTGTAGGTCTGTAGACGGTGATCCATGGGATTAAGTGCGCTCCCCCGGGCTTCAGCCTGGGCTCAATGTCGAGGAATTTCAGGTCAAGCTCTGAGAGTCCCAAGGCAACTACAGACACGACCTTCTCTCGTTCATGTTTCTAAAGCCTTGAGGAAACCATGGCATAATAATCAGCGGGCAGTTGGGTTTCACGAGGCCAAAGTTCGATCTTTGCCTCTGGCCACCCAGGATCTGGACTCACCATCAGCTCCGACGGCACCAGCACCTTACAAGCCACCTGAGACGGGACTACTATCGAAACTCCCAGCCTCATGGGTTCCTTACGCTGAGCTGATTAGACTTGACAAGCCTGCTGGAACCTATTATCTGTTCTTTCCATGTCTCTTTTCTACTCTCATGGCTGCCCCAATGGCTATGCCAATGGTGACTCCAGGCTCCGTTATTGGAACATCACTGCTTTTCTTCTCTGGAGCTCTCATCATGAGAGGAGCTGGATGTACTATCAATGACCTATGGGACCGTAACCTTGATCCTCATGTCTCGAGAACTCGACTTCGACCCATTGCTCGTGGTGCGATCACACCGTTCAAAGGACTTGTCTACACTGGGTTTCAACTATTAACCGGCCTGGGAATACTGCTCCAATTTCCTCTGCCTTGCCTCTTCTACGGCGTCCCCAGCTTGCTCCTGGTAGCCAGCTATCCTTTGGCCAAGAGAGTTACTTATTACCCTCAAGCAGTTCTCGGCCTCACCTTCTCGTGGGGTGCTATCATGGGTTTCCCGGCTCTTGGCATCGATCTGCTGTCACATACCCCAGCCTTGACTGCAGCAGCCTGCCTCTATGCTTCAAATATCGCATGGACGATATTATACGACATGATCTATGCTCATATGGACATCAAGGACGACGTCAAGGCGGGTATTAAGAGCATTGCGCTGAAGCATGATGCTGAGACGAAGCAAGTGCTGACAGGATTGGCTGCTGTACAGATCTCTCTTTTGACTGCTGCCGGATTTGCAGCAGGTGCTGGCCCAGCGTTCTTTGTTGGGAGCTGTGGAGGAGCTATGGTCACTCTTGGTGTTATGATCAAGCAAGTCAATCTGAAGGATGTCAAGGATTGTTGGTGGTGGTTCATCAATGGTTGCTGGATCACCGGTGGGGTGGTCAGCCTAGGTCTGGCTGCAGACTACACTATCAGATATGTCCAGGGACCTGAGAACGAGACCAAGTCGGAGAACTAAAGGCCGTAGGGTATTGAAACATGTAAAACAATTGTACCATAATGTCATCATACACGGAGATATCGGTTCAGGCCCAAAAATTCCACCTCACGCGGCGTGCACATCGTTGTTTGTTCGTCGAAGACTTTGTGATCTATTTTCCCTTTTCAGACCTCGTCTCCCATGATCAGATCCCTAACCAGTAATGCCGATGCAAGCAATCCGAATAGACTCCACGTGTCGAAATATGACTTTGTTTCCATCCACGAGCCCTTCGCTTAAGAACGGGGCTTCTCCTTCTTCTCCTTCCACAGAGCGAGCAGACCGACACCAGAGACCTTGACGACCTTGAATCGAACACCGGGAATATCACCCTTGGCCTTGCCCTTGCGACCGAAACCAGCCAGGAGGACCTCGTCGTTCTCGTCCACGAAGTTCAAGCAACCGTCATTGGGGACTAGAAATCAATGTTAGTTTGACCGGTCCTTCATCTCTCGTAGCATCTGGGGTTCGTCGTACCGAAGGCAGTGACCTTCTTTCCGTTCTTGATGAGCTGAACACGGACACACTTTCGAATGGCGGAGTTGGGCTGCTTGGCCTCGACACCGACCTTCTCGAGGACGATACCCTTGGCGTGAGAGGAACCACCGAAGGGAGAGGACTTATAAGCGGTACCGAGGGCACGCTTCTTGTAGGCGAGATCGGCCCATTTCTGGTCCTTTCGGTTCGTTCGCAGCTTGCGGGCGGCGTTAAGACCACGGGGTTTGCCTCCAGCCATTTTTGCTTCAAAGAAAGTCGTTAGTCGATTGTCGATTCGAAAAACTCGAGCGCGAGCGTATAAAGCTGAGGGGATGCCTTTGTGTTGGGTTGGATGGCTAGTACCTACCGGATCTGTCTGTGTATCGACGACGGGATGGTGATGGTAATTTGCGGAGGCGGCGACGAAAAGTTGGGAAGGAACGACCAACGAAAATTCCAGGTAGGGTTTGGTGGCCCTAGGAAGCTGCGACCTGTGGAAGGAGGCAGGCGAGGGATCACGTGCTACTGGAATAGTCTGAGTTGCCCCACCTAGCTGCACCAGGAAGTCTTGGCGATAGTCATTCAAAGTTCGAGTTGCGGGTCGTACAGTAATAACAGACTCATCAACACTCTTTACACTGTCCTCAACTCCCTCAGCATTAGCGTCAATGCTCAGTTGATATCGGTCTGGAATGAAGCGAACTGTATTGTTCTTATTGTACATATTATTATCAACCAATCGAGAAGTCTTTTAGGTCATTATGTCTCATCTAACACGACCTCTGAGCCGACAACGAGATCCTCCTCCCTCTTTATTCCTTCACCCATCTCCATCAGCATCAAATGTCTCCTTACCAAATGCACCGCCGCCAACCGTCCCTTTCATAGGGCAGTCAAACTTACGGCCTAACGCTGAGCGTACTCCATCCGTTAGATCTGGACGATCCGGAGCTGTAGTCCCTCACCAGCGAGCTGGGCTGTTCCCAGCAGAGAGCACTCGCGCGACAGGTGACCGTACTGACCTCTTATGGTCCGAAATGCAAGCAACATTGGAAGAAGTCGAGCTCTCTGCTTCTGGAGGCACTCACGTGTTTGGCCCAGATCATGACCGCAAGCTGGCTGACTTGAGAGCCGCTCAAATTGCCCTCGCTCAAGCCTGGGCCAGAAGTGAAGCAGATGATGTTATAGACACAGCCCAGCTCGAAACTGTGGGGTCTGTAACTGGATCTGAAGTTCGAAACATGAAGGGTGCGCTTGGCGATAACTCCAAGTCTGGTCTTGATGGCACAGAGAAGAGCGCCGTTGGAAGCAGCAGCATATCACGGCCCAACAGCAGCGGCACAGGAGTTGAGAGATTGGGTCACAAGCTCGAAGAAGAGACAGAAGTGGATATCCTCCTCGCAAGGCAACGACGACAAGCCAACGATCGGTATTTCCAAAGAGTCAACCAAGGAGTGATCGACGTTGTAACCCGGCTTGAAGATGTCGCAGTGGCTATGAGAGCTGTTGAACAGGAAAGCAAGGAAGTTTGGAGCGAGAACGACAGTGTTCCCGGTGCTTCGAGGACATGATCGTGTCATACAGGTGTTTTCGGCATTTCGAGCTCGGCGTTGCCAGGAGTTAGGCGATATTTACTCGGCATTTATGGCGTTTCACATATTTAAAACAAACAATTAAGATATTTTCAAACATGTTTTTCTAGATTATCGTCATATCAAGAATATTTAACTATTTACGTCGTTGTTGGCATGCTCCTGAATCCTATTTGGCAGAGAAGATCTTCGTGGCTTCGACTTACACCAAGATGGGATGTGTGGAGACTGTGAGAGGAAAGTCAAACTATCAATCAATTCAATGACGACAAGAAGGCTGTCCAGATACAAACTCCGTCATCGCTGCACTCTTGATTTGATATCCATGAAGACTATCTTATTTAGAGCATTGCTTGAAAAGTATCATGTCTTGCATTGTGGTTGCAAGTTCAAGGCGAGCTGAGGGAACGTCATTGTTCACCTGTCTCTCGACACATACAGGACCGAAAGAGTCGAGATTTTCGGCATATTAAACAAAGAGACCATATTTATCTCGAACTCATGTGCTCTTGTCCTGCCATTTACGTCGTTGTCCGTCTATTGGCCGTTTCCGTGGTTGGACAATTGTCTTGCCTAAGGTAGTCCAGGTACCCTCATTCTCGACAACGTGATTGGAAGAGTGGAGTGGACGACCTGCCCGATTAGGTTATTGGTCAGCGTGCCATGTGGCACACTGCTTTAAACTCGCTTCAGTGGAGTGATGCAGACCCCAGAGCATCCATGGCGCATGGTCAGTGGGCTCCGATTCCATTCAGTGCAATGCGTCAGGGCCCCAAGAAGAGGCCTAGGCCTGCCCATCCCAACTCGCCCAGGCCATATAAAGTCTCAGCCCATCTCCATCACCCTCTCTGCATTGACGCCACGAGCATTTGACCATCATCCAACGCATTTGACATCGATTAAACCTTTATCGCAACGCTCAGCGATTCCGTCATCAAGAAATTCCCATCGATAACATTATCGCCGATACCACTAGCAACATGAGATTCCTTCCCTTTGTCGCCGCCGCTCTCGCGGTTGTTCCAGGCGCCCTCGCTGTTGATCAAAAGAAGTCGGCTATTGTCTGGTTCGAGGACGAGTCTACTCCCGACAGCATCGTCGATGAGTGCAAAAATGCCCTCATTAAGGCTGGTGGAAAGATTACTCATGTTTACTCCATCATCAAGTACGCATACTCCGCCTTTTGGTACTATGACAATTCGATACTAACCTGTTGACTAGGGGCTTCTCCGTCATCGCACCCGAGAAGGCGCTCGAGATCGTCCAGGTCAACCACGAGGAGCATCAAATTCGGGTTGAGAAGGACGAGGTTGTTACAACGGACTAGAGGTGCTAGGGGTAATACGAAAATGATGATACAAAGACAACGGGACAACAGCATGCCTTGAAATGAACTGACCGGATTTCACGGCAGTATTGGGATAGTGATATCCTTTGTTTAGGCGTTATAGGATAGGAGCCTTGGTATTGTCTGGAAGAGAACACTCGTTACAAGACTCAATGAACTCATTATTATTACAAAACCTCTCCCAGGTGGAATAGAACCTGTTATTCAACATATCCGCGGCTGCTTGTGATATTAAGCATATGATAGGCATCAACTCGAAACACATGTCCATCAGCTGTCAATGCGAAATACGGTGGTACAACTCCACCAAAGTTGATAAGACGGGAGTGACAGAACCCAGCCATGTTGGCTTATGATCCTCTGGAGTGCCATATTTTGACTGCTGAACAGCGCCTTCGTGAATCCTTGTTCTGCTGGTGCGCTGGTGTGTTCACTTTATCATCTTTTGAGTTCAGGGACCCAGATTGGTTAAAGCATAAAGTATCTAGGCTGAACAACATGTCTCGCCGCCTGAGCGTCCCGCACTTACACATCGTGACACCCCCACTAACGAGTCTGGATATGCGTCATTGTTGTTTTTCAGTATATTAATCTTATTGTTGTTAGTGTATGTCGACTGTTCGAGTCAATTTAAGGCCGCGCAGCCACGCTTCTGTACTGTATTACGGTATCCGTACACTTCTGTGACACAGAATGCCTCAAATGACACTCCTAACATCGGGTGTCATTTGGTACGCCACAGCGCCACAGTTGACTCCAACAACATTGAATTCGATGATGCACCAAGCTTCGATCACCTTAACTTTGTATCGGTAGACGGATGAGGTATCTTCAGAGAGAACTATGCGCGACTCATGGCCATTATACCCCAACTTTAGACAAATTACTCCGTAATGTCCCTACAGTAGTTTCGTTAGTTGCTGCGTTTTGAAATTGCTTCTATAAATCCTAAAGCTTTGGCTGGCCCATCTGACAGACTAAGCACGCTATTTCAACTTTCCGTGGGCCCCTACACTGTTACCCCTGTCAAATCGATAAGCCCACCCGACCGCATAGCTCAAGCCAACAAGGGCCCAACGTCGCCGAAACGTTGAAGAACAATGCTCCCTCTATCCTTGAGTCCGAACTGAACATTCACTTGACAATCACTGAACAATGGAACGACAGATCTTGATCTCCTCATAACAACTCCTTTTAAAACCCTCGAATCCCATTTCGACATGCCGTCGAATGCCTCGAAAATCATTACCCCTGCTATCAGACACGCGACGCAACTCCCTATAATTCCACCATCCTTATCACTCCCGACAGCGACGACCTGATCGACCACTTTACTCGACCAATATTTGGCTCCGGCCGCACAATAATTACTATACGATGCCAGGCTATAGTGCTAACGCGCAGGCTGCGCTCATAAAAGCCGTAAGTGTCTTCGAGGAACAGCCTTCACCGTCTTCTAGCTCCAGTCTGACCGAGGATACCCCTCAGATCAAACGAGTCTTCGAGCCGAAACGCATGGTAGAATCAGTCGAGGATCTCATTGACGGTGTGACTCTTGGTCTAATTCTACATCAACTGGATCCTAGCTTTGACACGTCCGCCCTCGAGACAAATTCCAATACATCTCGGTACCTGACGAACAAGCGCAACATTCAGAGCATATACAAGGGTCTCTTCCGCTACATTCGACGGGCAGTTCCTGAGCTCGCTTGTCAGGCTAAGAAGTTCGACTACCATGCAATCGCCGAGAATCCCGATGCTCAAGGCGTCAGTCAGGTAAATCTCTCTTCGGTACATTCATGGTTCGTACGATTAACTTTACAGCTCTTGGCTGTTATGTTGGGAGTGGCCGCACTAGGTCCCGAAGCCCAGCACTATATTCCCCGGATAACAGGTCTCGACAAACATACTCAAGCAGAGATTATGCAAATAATCCAGACGATACAACAGGATATCAACAACTCACAAGGCGACGACGACGTGGATGAAGCTATCGACGCTGTTATGGAGGCGAGAGACATTGACCTACTCGTTGAAGAGCAAAATGCAGCCTTGCGGTCACAACTTGACTTAACAAAGAGACAGCTGTCAGATTACATCACCAGGCTTGATCATTTACAAACAAGTCACGAGGAGCTCCGGTTTGATAAAGAGAAGAATGACCGGGAGCTGGAGGTCTTGCGGAAGGCCACTATAGATGGTGCTAACAATGCCGAGATGATCAAGAACCTAGAGATTCAGGTGCATGACCAGATGGAACTCATTGCTAGACATGAGGAAACAATACGAAGAGACGAGCGCTTCAAGTCGCAACTTGAAGCTGAAGTGCTCAAATTGACAGAAAAATGTAAAGAGGCAGAAGAGCTTCGCGACCAAGCAACGGAATGGAAGCACAAAGCTGAGGATCTCGAGAAGAAAGCCAACACTGCAGAGCGGTATAAGCAGAAACTCGAGTCCCAGCAGCATCTCGTCAAGGAGGTGCAAAACCTACAGTATGAGAAGACAGAGTTGCAAGACCAGATTAAAATCCTGCTGGAAGACCAAGATAGGGGGGCTCGTACAAGGAAAGCAGAGGATGAGTTGACCAAGATGATTACTCAGTCCGAGCAACATCTTTGGGACGAACGCAGCCAAAAGAACCAACTGATGAAGGATATTGCAGCACTGGAGGACGAGGTGGTTCGTTTGAGGGCGCGACAAAGCCACGACGAAAACTTCATCAAGGATCTCCAGGAGCAACTAGAGAGCGGAGGAGCCGCACAAAGCGTTGAACCCGGCGCATTGGGCCTGGCAGGAAATCTCGAGGATGAACTTAACGATGCAGCTACCGAGGACGGCCAACCTAGCCAAGTTAACCTACCCCTAGAACTATCTCGCCTGAAGGCTGAGAACGATTTGTTGCGCAGCACAGTCGGCTCTGGAGATACTGCGCCGCTACGCCGGGAACTGGACGAAGAGAAGCGACAACGTGCTCACCTTCAAAAGAACTATAACGACATGTTCGAAAAGCATGCTGTTTTGCATGATCAAATGGAGGCTCTGATCAACAATATGACCGGCGAAGGGTTAGTCAAAGCAATTGATGAAGCCGATGTTCCTGGCGGGAATCACATACTTACTTCGGATTACTACAGGACCAAGGCCTTTCTCAATATTAAACAGTCATTGTTGCAGTGCGAATTCGAACTCGAACAGTCGAAGAAGAGGGAGAAGGACCTCTCCGTTCAGGTGGCAGATCAAGGCCGCGAACTTCTTGCTGCTAAGGCTCAGCTCTCAGCTCTTGACAAAGAAGGGGCAGATGCTCTTAAGGAGCTCAAGAGCGCTGATGTTACCATCATCTCATCTCTCAAGTCTGAGCTCGACTACACAAGAGAGCAGCTCAGCTATACCATTGCTGAGCGAGATGCGCAGCAAACCCAGCTCGTCGATGCTCTCCTTACCAAGGATAAGTTGCGTAAGGAGGTTGAAGAGGGCCGGGAGCTGCAAGACATCAATGGCACAGGCGATGCACCACCTGACCCCAGCAAGAAGGGCGAGTTGATTGAGAAGCTGCGTGCTCGCCTCAGAGAAATCCGCGAGGTAGGTCCATTTTTTGATGCAATTGTTAATGGTGATGGGGAAGACCCAGTGGTCCCAGACAAAGATGGTCAAGCGTCATTAGAAGACGATGTTACTTGGCCTTTGAATCCAGCTTTGGCAAATGATGAACCGAGTTCATCACCAGATGCCATTGGGGCTGAGATCCCCAGACCTCCCTCTGCACTACTTCCCCTGCGTCCCCTCCAGCGAGGGCAAGAAGGGGGGCTAGAGGAACCTCTTGATATGCGTGCGCAACCCGGTAGATTGAGTTGGCTGACAGATATGTTCTAGCAACTTGAACGATCAGAGACGGACAGAATCGACCTGCAACGTAAACTCAAGGCTGCACACGATGGGGAGGCCGTGGCAGCACAAAAGGTACGTTTTATTTCTTTTTGCATATATAGTAACATCATTCGTTTTCATCGTATTTCGCTATTGTGACTGAAATCTTTACTGATTATCCGTGACCCAAGGCCGCAAGCGATCAAATCATCCGGAACCTTGAAAGAGAGAACGCTCTCATTGCATCAGCATGGTATGATCTTTCGAGCCGGCTTCAGAGCAACCATGTCGTTTTGCAAAGGCGGCACGAAGCTCCGCGGAGCTGGCTTAACAAGCAGAGGCAGATGGTCAATGGTCAGTTGCGCTTCCGCGACTCGCTCTACCTCTACTGACCTTCCCCTGTCAGCGACCCCGAAGCGATAGGTACTCGCGGGGTGAGAAATCCCTTGCTATTTTATGATAAGACTCAACGAATTACGCTCTCAAGTTGTGTGACATAACTCCTACTACCTACCAAACACCAGTCTTTCCCTCGACGTATTCACTCCCACCCATACTGGCTTATCTTATCCGGCCTTCAAGATTGCCCCTTATTCTTTCTTGATCCGACATTCTCATAATTGCCGACACCGCCTTGGATATTCAGGGCGTCGTATTTTCCTCTTTCTTTTTTTTGAAGCATTGCGAGGGAGCTTGGTGTGTTTCTTAAAAACGGGCGTATTTGCTTGGTAGACTGGTGGCTACGAAGAGAATTTCTGCATTCAAACAGAATGCTTTCAATGATATCATTAGTATAGATGTTATGCCCAGGAGTCCTATACAGGGCTCCATATTGGTTCAATAGAGACTCAGGCCAAAGATTGCAGAGTCATAGTTTAATCAGTACTGAAGCTAAAGTTGTAAGTCGATTCTACAACTATAACCTGAATGGTAGGGGGTTTTAGTCTACCTGAGACTAAGCCCATAAGTGTCCTAGGTATATTTAGAGGACGACGATATATTGTTAAACCAAGCATCATCTGCATTCCATATTCACGAGAAACAAATAGGCCCAGATATAGTTAACGCTTCGAAAGCCAACTTTCTGTTGGTTGGAAACTATTGTAAAAAAGACATTTTGATACATGGCCAATCGTCGTCCAAAGTAGGTAGCTTTTTCCACACATGGCCAAACAAGACCGCACCGCAGATAAACCTTCTACCTTTTAACGCCTCTTTGGCCTGGAAGATTGGACTCACCACTCTCCCTTTCGCCTCCCCAGTTTACAGTTCATACCGTTCATATATCCAAGACGAGCTGGCTTTTATTTTCACTCAGCATTCGTCTTGCTGCCAGCCGCACGAAAGGGCAGCTGGGAGCAGTCTACCACTCCGGGCAGAATTTAAGCTCGCTTCTCGTTAAGGACCTTAAGCATGTTCTTCCACACTTGGCCGGGTTCTTGGCTGGCGTCGAGGCCGCTCCAGATACCAGTCTTCTTGTAGTAACCCACAACAGGGGCGGTCTGCTTGTGGTAGGTAACAAGACGCTTCTTGAGAGCCTCAGCGTTGTCGTCACTTCGCTGGATAAGAGGCTCGCCAGTAATGTCATCCTTCATGTACTCCTTGGGAGGGTTGAAGGTGGTGTGGTATGAGCGTCCAGAAGCGGGGTGGACTAATCGGCCAGTGATACGGGCAACGAGGAGAGAATCGTCGATCTGGAGCTCGACGGCGTGCTGGAGTTTCTGGTTGCGCTCTGTGAGCATGGCATCGAGGCTCTCAGCCTGAGGGACAGTTCGAGGGAAACCGTCAAGGATGAAACTGAAGCGCGAATTATTAGTATCTTCTTTCGTCGATCACATCGGTGTAGATCGAGATTTGCGGGCTCAAAACGTTTGGAGCCTGAAAACCCTGGAATAATGCAACTCACCCGCCCTGGCACTCCTTGTTGCTGTTGAGTTCCTCCTTGATCATGCCAATCATGATGTCGTCGCTGACCAGACCGCCCGCATCCATGATCTTCTTGGCCTCGACACCGAGAGGGGTCTTCTTAGCGACCTGGGATCGCAGCATGTCACCGGTAGCCTGCGCAACAAGAAAATACATGTTAGAGAGCCTAAATCTTGAATGGCTATGTTTTTGCGACGTGAATTAACGTACCAAGTGACAGCAGGAGAAGCGCTCCTTGATCTTGGGGGCCTGAGTTCCCTTTCCTGTGAAGCCCAGTTAGTAAAAGACTAAGCGAGCATTTGCGCCGCAAAAAACACTCACCAGCACCAGGAGGACCGATGAGGATCATTCGGATCTCCTCAGTAGAGACGGGACCACCAGTGGCTCGCGCCTCGAGCTTCTTGATGCGTGTGTCAATGGTGCTAATAACATCCTTGAGCTGCTTAAGCTCGTCCTCAATGAAACCCATTGTTGCGGTTGCGGAAGGTGAAATTGGAACTGGAACTTGTTCTGGCGGGCAATTGCAGGAGATCTTGGGAGATCCAGAGAAGCAAAGATGAAATTGACAGGGGCTTTGTTCTTTGGTGCGAGGCTGAGGGAATCGAAGTGGAAGAAGAGAGAGAAAAAAGCGAAGAACAAAGTCAAGACAGGGAAATATTGAGTGCGTAGCCGGAGGACGGGAGGTTTGGGGGAGAAGCTTTAGCGAGCTGTGATTGGTCAAATGGGGCCGTTTCTGCTGGAGCGATGATGATGGGGGTACACCCCTGTAATGAACCTGCTGGGGATACGCCTTGGCTTTGAGGTGAGAGTAATCGAGGCTCTTTATATTTACGGAGATTCCTGTATTTTTATAGCTAAATGGAGGTAATATTGTGAATTCTAGATATTCAATATTACCTAAATCCAAAAAGTGCACCGTTTCTTTTGTAATTAATGTTTTCAAGGTCAAAACGTGCACATCAACACCCCAAAAGCAAGCTCTCAATCACAGGCTCAGGACAAGGTACTCGGTACAGCTGCGGCGTTATAGAGACCACCACCTGTTCGTAACACGACCAAGCTCCTACAACAACAGTACTTGACATATATAAACTTAATACGGTGAGAACATGTGGCCTTCAGTTCGAACCATTGCAATTGCTATATCTTTCCAGCTTCAAGCATCACTATCATCCCAGGTCTGCAACCTTTCATCTCTACCTATTCATCGCCGATACACACATACCTAGGATAGTTCGCAACTTGCCTCAACAACAGCCGTATCCGGAACATGCCCGTTTTGCCTCATCTCACTATACTCCAAGATGATATAACCACACTTGACCGAAACCAATGGTGGAAGGCCAGCTCACAACTGCCATAATGCACCGGAGTTTGTTCGGTCGCCAGGACCGAGGTTCAATGAGTTGGGATGCCATGGGCCCCTTTGATCCGGTATATCCCCGCCGGTTCAACAAGTTTGATACATACAAGAATAACTCTCTTAGCATTTCATCTGTCACAGGAAACGGCCACACCTCGGTCTGCATACAATTGACCTCCTCGTTTGTCCTTTCACGGCTAGCAACACTCGTGCGAGGAACGACTATCGGTAGTTAGTGTCGCTGCACGAGTGCCATCGCTTTGTTATATCCTATTCGAGTAGTAGTGACATGGCACCCTCGTAACTCAACGCTTGCATCCACGTGTAGGTGTGTTAATAGCCGGCATTGGCATGTTAGCCTCCATCTTTCCGCTCTCCTACAAATGTCCCGAAGCCAAGGCTAGAGTTTATATTGATGGCATCATCATATACAATTTCGTATTGGACCCTGCTTCTTCAATGGTTTCTTCCTTCAACAGACATCCTTATTACCGTCCTCCGGTTCGCACCGAGGCCCAAGTGGGCGGCAATCTCACCAGAATCGAGTCGCTTACCATAAGTGGATGATCTGGCCACGCTATGTCGGATTCAGCAAATGAGCATTGGCCTGATAGTTGAATTTGGACTCTTCAGAAGACACTGTCGTCTTGGTTATTGCGAGTTTGCTTGTATATGTAATTCCTTTAGGTCATCATGAACCATCTAGATCGATATTCATCATACCAATTGGAGCTTCACGACGGTTCTGCAACACAGGTTGATTCAACAGTTCATCTGCCTATGATGTCAGTAAGACAACCAAGAAAAAGCAGCGCTACTCTACTTCTTCACTAGTTCAAATTGGAGATTCTCGCTTTTCTTTGTTCAGGGGCCTGTGCTTTCAATTCTCTTGGTTGCGATACCGCTTAGACCTTGAAATGTGGCTGAATTTCTGACTGTGGCGTATCCCACGTGATGTGGCACTGCAAGGCTCGAGCTTGAAGTCTCCAAGGTGCCTGGCCCAATCGGGAGCTACCTAAGCTTCCCCAAGAAGGCAGCCTCAAGACTACGTACGTGCGGCCACAATAATCACTGCATCAACATCACGACTCTACCTCCAACTTCGCCGCGCCTGCACGACCACCATCGCGCATTGATTCCTACCTCTACCCAGTCCAGCATCCGTCGTAATAGATTTACATTGACGAAGCAACGATGCCTACTACAACAGCAGAAACTCTCTCCCTCGTTACTCGAAACGTCACCGTTGCGCCCCTCGTCCTTCTCTCAGCCGTCGACCACTACAACCGAACTGTTTCTACCAAGACAAAGCGACGAGTAGTTGGTGTTCTTCTAGGACAAAATGATGGAAACGACGTGAGAGTGTCAAACAGTTTTGCTGGTGTGTTATCCTAGTATCATGGGACCGTAAGTTGGGCGGCGCTTACAATTGTCACACAGTTCCCTTCGAGGAGGATGAGAAGGACCCTTCAGTATGGTTCCTTGACCACAACTATGTCGAGTCGATGAACGACATGTTCAAGAAGGTCAACGCCCGAGAGAAGCTCATAGGATGGTACCACACTGGCCCCAAGCTACGCGCATCTGATTTGGAAATCAATGAACTCTTCAAGCGCTACACACCTAACCCTCTGCTCGTTATTGTCGATGTTCAGCCCAAGGAGTCGGGAGTTCCTACAGATGCTTACTTCGCCGTTGATGAGATCAAGGATGTATGTTGAGAAGCCTTACTGAAATCAGGTTCCCAACCAGCCACTGACACTCACTAGGACGGCACAACCACTGCCCGAACGTTTGTTCACACTCCTTCCGTTATCGAGGCCGAGGAAGCAGAGGAGATTGGTGTTGAGCACCTGCTAAGAGATATCCGCGATGTGGCCGCCGGAACATTGTCCACACGAGTCACAAACCAGCTTCAATCACTCCAGGGCCTGCACCTGCGCCTGCGAGATATCGGCACATACCTCCAGAAGGTTCTCGACAAGCAACTACCAGTCAACCACGCGATCCTCGGAAATTTGCAGGATGTCTTCAACCTGTTGCCCAACCTCTCGACACCCGAAGGAGATGGCAAGTCTGGCGGTGGCGAGTTGGCATATGCGATGAGCGTCAAGACCAACGACCAGCTTATGGCTATTTACCTGAGCAGTCTGATCCGCGCCATCACAGCATTCCACGATCTGATTGAGAACAAGATCCAGAACAGACAACAGCAGGAGGAGAAGGAGGCTAAGAAGGAAGAGATCAATGGCAAGGACGAGAAGAAGGAGGGCACCAATGGTTCAAGCGGCGACTCCAAGGAGGGCGCGGAAAAGGACAAGGAGAACAAGGAGATCAAGAAATAAGGAATAAAGACAAAAGACCTGGCAGATGAACTAGACTTGGACTGAGGCACTTTGGCGTCTGGCGGAGGGGAACCACGGCGATATCCTGGCCAAAGGTCAAGGCAAAAGCGCCTTTGTACATTGATCATATCAAACTGGATTGTTAGAGGACGGAGCGTGGATAATACATACTGGACAGACACGTCTTGAGAGACGGGTCTTTCGGTACTGCTATGATGAACCATATTTACAAGTCGGCTACGATACCAGCCATTTCATCTTTTGATACAACCCGATCCTCAACATACATCCCAAGCATTTCTGACCACTTATCCACAAGTAAGCATGCGAGTAGGTGTTTGCAACATGGAGGCGCATCTCCCCGTAGATCCATACTCATGCCTCCAAAGGACCACTCCCCATCTTCAGTTGGTAATTGCTGTACTTGGTTCGTTGTTGAGACAGCATGAGCATGAGCTGGGAAAGCATCTAACGTAAAGCTCGGACATGTACAATTCCACGCATCAAGATGCACAACGTAGCGCTTGGACGGTGAACTGAAGTCTCGAGTGCGGCGTGAAAGTGTCGTAGCGAGTGATCGAACGAGAAACATGTCGTTCTTTATCTTATCTGATGAAATCCCATCTTGAAGCTCTTCATTTCGCACTAGCCTAATAACGAGTCCCCGATCGAGAAGATCCAGCGCTGGGAGTAGAAGAGTTGGAAACAGCACATGGAGAGTTAATAGTAGAGGCCGTTGAGAGGGTGAAATGACTTTCAACGGTGATAATGTGGGTTGTTGAGCGGCCCGAAGTGGCTGCGCTGATGATATGTCTTCTGCGCCGGTAGATGGTGCGATATTAGAGACGGAACTTATGAGAGATGTAATCAACTGGCGATGGGAGGGGAGAGGCTCCATTGCCGTGGAGTTGATGAGTGCTGTTACATGGTTCGATGAATGATGTTGAAGGAAGAAGTCTAGTCTCCACGCTGAGATGAGTGGCGATGATTCAAAGATAACCAAAAGTACCTGCTCAAGAATACCTTACACGTCAACTATACAAGAATCACCAGTTCAACGAACCACTTTATGAATTATATAAATTATTTTTGATTTTTTAATATTCTCATATCGGACATATGGTCCGTCTTTTGTACCTAATAGCCTGCACCACCCTGTGTGTCCCCATCTATGATCCTCACGTATGATACACTAAACAATCGCTCAACCTCATGCTTCCACACAAATCAATTCCCTCTCTTAGATAAAAAGAGTACTAACTCAAACCCACTCCTTGGGGTCCCTGAGGACATCAACCAGGCGCTGCTCCCTGCTCTTAGGCTCGGGCTCATGCATGTACTTCCAGCCAGCCGTCAACGGCAAGCTCATAAGGATACTCTCGACCCTTGATCCAGGGGTGTTCAGACCAAATGCTGTACCACGGTCGTGCACCAAGTTGAACTCGACGTACTTGCCACGGCGGAGTTGCTGCCAATCCTTCTCCGCCTCAGTGTAGGGCATATCCTTGCGCTTCTCGATGATGGGAATGTAAGAGGGCAGGAAGGCCTTGAGGCAGTCCTGGACAAAGGAAAAGGTGTTCTCGCGATCTCGCTCGGTCTCATCGAGGTCGTCGAAGAAGATGCCACCAATACCACGGGCTTCGCCTCGGTGCTTGTTGTAGAAGTACTCGTCGCACCACTTCTTGAATCGTGGGTAGTAATCCTTGTCGTGAGCGTCGCAAGCTGCCTTGATCGTCTTATGGAAGTGAATAGCATCCTCATCGAAGAGGTAAGAGGGTGTCAAATCGCAGCCACCACCGAACCACCAAGCTTGAGATGTACCGTCGGGATTGGCTGTCTCAAAGTATCGGTAGTTAAGGTGGACCGTAGGGGCCATAGGGTTGTAAGGATGCAGAACCATGCTGAGGCCTGCAGCGAAGAAGTCGATCGACTCCATGTTGGGGTCCATGGTCTTGTGGTTTGCGCGCATCTTCTCAATGGCAGGCTTGGGGAGCGAGCCGTAGACGACACTCACGCCAAGACCGGCCTTTTCGAAGACGTTGCCTTCTTGAAGAACACAGGTTGTGCCACCACCGCCATTGGGGCGCTCCCACTCGTCCTTGCGAAACTTTTTGCCATCAACTCTCTCGAGCTCAGCGACAATCAGAGCTTGCTGCTCCCGAATAAACTTTTCCATGCGCAGGCGCATAGGCGAGTCCTCGTTAACACCAGACTCGCGCTTCTTCTGGGCATCGCGGTCGGCGAGAGTGGAGGGGTCGGCGTTGATAGGTTCGATTTCGGCCTGAGAGCAATAAAGTTAGCAATTGAGCTTCTGTTGTCCCAAGAGATGCATGTACCATCTTGTAAGCTAAAGGGGCGACTGCACCGAGGGCAACAGCAGCGAGCCACAGAGGAGAGTAGTTGAAGTAAGAGGTTCGTGAAGCTTTAGGGCCGGCAGACCTAGACAGCCAGCGTCTCGTAGAAGCGAATTGGGTTCTTGGAAAGCGTGCAGAAGGAGATGCAAGGTACGCAGCAAGGCGCTGGGAAGGCCGCCTGGCAGCCATGATATTATATAAATATTTGGACAATGCAACCCGAGGACCCGGGAAATGGTAGCGGCAAAACAAGGCCGAAGGCCGAGAACGAATACAGAAAGAGAGACAGAAAGGATACGACGATCAGGCGTTTCGGATGAGGCCACTTGCGAGTGCCAGGATGCGACAGTACAGGTACGGTACCTCTTGTTAGGTTCAAAGTATGTATGAGAACGACTGGGAACTCGGGTGATAGTCAGAATCGAATGTTCGGCAATTGGCTAACTGAGTCTAAGGGACTTGGTAGTGTGGAGCGGGACCCGACAATGTCTGCTCCGGTGGCCGGCCGGTGCCGAGGGCGGTCAAAATCAACGCACCACTCGGGGGTACTAGACCACTGTAGCTCCGTTTGCTCCTACAATCTGTATAGAGCTTCTCCGGGTGATTAGATCAGTTGTTATGAAGTCAAGGAAATTTGTAGAATAAGCATGATTTCTCCCGTGATGTGAATGTTGCAGTGTGGCTGACAGGGAAGGCCTCAGTTGTCAAACCATCAGCTTGGTGCATCTATGACTGATATCCATGTGAAGTGGCGTTGATAACTGGGCTGTCACTGAAGAACCCAGAACTTCTATGTTCCTGACTAGACTTTTCCAATAGAGAAACTGAATTACGACTAAAGAGTTATAATTTGCAGATATACACCAACTCAGTGACATACGCAACCAATATGACGGCCCACCATTAGGTTGCCTGTATATATTCCCAAGTACACGGTACTATAGTAAGATGGCCTCAGGTTTATTGAAAGTCCAATAACTTCTATTGTGAGAAGTGGTCAGCAGAGAAACTTTGCTTCACCAATCCTGCCTTTAGGTACTCTATTGGTTTCACCATGCAAACTTTCAGGAAGATAGTGCAGTTCCGTGAAAACTTCAAGATGAAGACAACTCAAGGTCTAGTAATATTTAAGATTTTCTTGACTTCAACTCACGAGATACCTAATTATGGCGACCAAGTCATGATTCATACATCACGGTATACTTTGGCCAGTACCCAATTGTAATTTACAGCATTAAGAACCCTGAAGGAGCTGATGGACATGGGCACGTTTGCAGCTCAAGCTACTTAGTATGCATCAGCCTAACCCTTTCCCGGATAGTGAATCGTTGTACCTTAAAACCACTCTAACGTTGCCCGTCGCTCGGATTCCGGTGATAGACCCTCGAAGTCTTTGTCGTAATGACCAGCATAAAAGAGGACCCCATTCCAAGTGATTAATTGCTTGTTTGTAAGAATCCCTCTCAAACTCGACCCTGTGACGAGACAGTGCGACGTGACTTGCTGCTTCCCCGCCATCGTTGCCTCGCGGGGCCTCTTGTGATTCACCGAGCATCATTGGTCTAGACCATTTATAGTTTAGCTCGATAGCCCCGCGCCTGTCTCTCCCATCACTGCTTGTCCTCCTGCCACTTGGTGCCCGCCTAGCCCCCCTCTGACTCTGAGGTGAGTGAGCGTGCTGCCTGCCCTGCGCCTGTGTCCTCCCTGCAGCTTTGAACCTGTCTGCACCTGCGCCTCCGCTTGTAGTGCAAGGTTGCTTGCTGCCTTCCGCCTCGACCGCTCATCTGTACTGTGCCAGAGTCTGTGTCTGTGCCACTGCCACCTTCTGCCTGTGACTCTCTGCTCTTCCTCATTCTTCTTCTGCCTGACGCAAGCAAATCGTAACCTAAACCCTTTTCTCATTTACCTTATCTATCGCCAACTCCATCGTTTTTTTTCCCTTTTCATACTTTCCCGAATTTTCCGCTGCTACAAGTCAACCATCCCGACAGCTTGATTCCACTATCGATACCACACTTACCGCCTCTACATCCTATCAACCATCACCGTCAACATGCGCAGCAAGTTCAAGGACGAGCATCCCTTCGAGAAGCGTAAGGCTGAGGCCGAGCGCATTCGACAGAAGTACTCTGACCGTATTCCTGTACGTAATTTACCAGTCGCTTTGATTTGGACTCAAGTTCGGGCTCCGACTTGGCGATGAGAGAATGGCGGGCGCGTGCAATCGTGCAGTGACCGCTTATTCCGTTCGTTTCTTTACCACGACAGAAAGCTAACATGTCGCAAATAGGTCATTTGCGAAAAGGTCGAGAAGAGCGACATTGCGACCATCGACAAGAAGAAGTACCTTGTCCCCGCCGATTTGACCGTCGGTCAGTTCGTCTACGTCATCCGCAAGCGAATCAAGCTCTCCCCCGAGAAGGCCATCTTCATCTTCGTCGACGAGGTGCTTCCCCCAACAGCCGCCCTTATGAGCAGCATCTACGAGGAACACAAGGACGAGGACGGGTACGTTTCCCATACAACTGTTGGAGAAAACCACTTGCTGACATGATCTACAGCTTCCTATACATTACCTACTCCGGCGAGAACACCTTTGGTGATGCTTGAGAGTAAGCTGTGTGGAATCGGTTCTATATCCCACGTCGAGAATGATGAAGGCGTTACGGTCGTGTTTGGGTGAATATTCGTTGGTCACTGGTTATGTTCACGTTATCTTTTGAGTCCGTACTTCAGACTTCGATAGAGTGTCTGCTGCTCTTTCTGGCAACACGTCTGTTTACTCGCTAGATCTAGCAACGCAGCTACGGTCCGAAGTGCCTTTTTCTCACTTTTCCGGATAATATCAGGTGTATTTTGATCAGTGACACGATTTTCTCAGTCTTTGAATATGGTATCAGAAACAATATCCAAGTATCCAATCTTTGACATCCATAACTCATGGCACAGTCACGCCGAGCGGCACTCCCACGAGAACCAAGATTAGGCAGCTGTAGCTATCACCTGATCACCCCAACTTGGAACCGTGAGCGCTAGCACGCCATGTGCCTGAATGACTTGTCAGAGCCGCGATCGGCATTTATGTTTACAAATACTGAACTTGCCACTGGCAAGACAATTTGTGATAACGTGCAAGAGGGCGGTTCCCAGCTTAGAATACCTCTGAATAGTCTATTGATGTCTAATGGATAAGATGTCTCAATTTTATGATTTTGAGGGAACATGGTGTTGATTCTCTGCCGCTTATGCCTCATACCGTCTCCTTATTGAACGCCATGACAGCGTAACGAAAAGAGCCGTTGGCATAACCCCGTCTCATTGCGCGAAATGACTGTAAGAAAGCAATACCGTCACGGCCTTGAGTAAACGCAAACGCCCAAAGAGATGGGTTCTGCACAAGTGACCAAGTAATATCCCTAAAACAGATGAATGTAAACTCATGATCAATAGTCGGATATAAGAGGTTCGTACCATGTCTTTCGGACCTGTTGACTGATGTCCTTTGGCTCAGACAAGACTTTAAGCCCGGCCTTCTTCGCAAGATCCACGTACCCTTGCTGGGTACAGAGGGGTGGGAGTAGCATGCCATCTGCACTCAATTTAAGTTCATGAACACATGAATACGAATATTTCGCGTGTAACCTTACCTTCGATAGGCTTGATATCATTGGTAAAAGTTGTATCGTCAACATCCTCGTCCTTGAACCAATCTGCCAATACCAACTTGCCTCCAGGCTTGAGGACTTTCATCACGTTCTCAAAGAATAATGCCTTGTTTGGGAAATGGCTAAGAGCTTCACTTATCCATACTGCATCAAAGGTGCCCTGCTGGTCGTTGAAGAAGTCGCCCATCTTCTCGGCATCAAGCTCGAGAAATTTGACTTTTCCCTCGCCGAGTTTGGTGAAGCCATTATCATCTGACACATCAGACGAAGAGGTGCCTTCGACAGCAGCTTTGGTCAGCCGATTGGCGATCTCGACTTGTTTGTTGGAGATGGTGACGCCAGTCACAGAGCTACCATGTTTGGAAGCGAGATACCGAGATGTTCCACCGATACCACAGCCGACATCAAGAACCGAGCTGTTGGGTGGGAGGTTTGAAATGTCGAGGAGGAGCTGAATAAGATTGGCTTGAGCTTCCTCCTTTGTTTGCGTGGCTTCAGATTCTGGTGTTGGCCAGTACCCATGATGGATATGTTCGCCCCTAGTAAGCCAGTGGATCAGCAATAGCTAAGCTTTCTGCGAGGTAGTTTTATTTAACATACCACAAACTCAAATAATAGTCGCTTGCAAGGTCATAATGTAGCTTGATTCTGTCCTTGAGGACTTGCATAGTTGAGTGGGCGAGGCCGAGGGGAGTGTCATATTGCTTGCTCAGGTCGGTAGTTTGGTCAGACACTGCTGCGGCGGCCATGATTGCTGTTGCTCGAGGTGGTACGGAGTTTAGGTATTGAAGCAATTGTTCAAGTTTGTTTGCAATTTATTTATCAGAATCACACGGTGATGTTTATAGTCAGGGGAGTACGTATGTACCCCGCGCGAAGATATGCGCATCAGTGACTGCAGGGTGACACAATCGTTACCTGTGTCTCTGAAGGCCATGCTGGGGAATGGGCTAGTTTACGAGAACAGAAAGAGGCTAGAGATGTTGGACAAGGCACGAAAGCACTCCTGGATATGATTGCCAAAGGACATTATCAGACCACAGTTACGTATCCCAATGAAGTTGGACAAGTTGAGTTGACATGAAAGTCATGATGAAGCAAAATTACACAAACTGTCTGATCTTACCAGTTGCAAGCTGGACCTTACTGAACCCTTTGTTAGCTGACGACTGTTTTTGGCAACAGATTTCGAACGCGATAATAGAAAGCATGCTTTTAACAAAGGAAGCTCGTTATTTTAAGCTCTTCTGGGATGGTTGGCTGCACTTCTTGTAGACGTTCTGCCTTCAGTGGGTTCGGTTTCACTACGCGCCAAAAGAGCTACCAGCGGCTGTAACCGCAGCCAATCGTTTTACACTGGAACGACCAAGACGCGACCACTTTCCGATGGTTCGATACACAAAGCGCTTCGCAAGATTAATACTCGATCTCTATTTGGAGTAGGTATTTGCTTGTCGCTCAGTACCTTTCGTCAGGGCACCAATAACAAAACATCCATCTTAAGCCAGAGGAAAACGAGACGACTCCCCCGCCATATGACATCATACTCTTCAGCCCAACTTGACTACGGCTAAAGAGCTTTGACAACACACTTTATCTATCTTTAAACACCTCACTTACCTGTTCACCTGGCCATCTCACCGCTGACCAAGTTTCAGAATATGCAAGACGATGATCAGAAACAAATCCAGCCAACCCGTGACTCTTTCCAGAAAATCCTGTTTCAACTACAACTCATCAAGTGGCGATTTCTTTGGGCGAGATCGGCGGTTACCGACCACGTGAACCCCTGTCAACGAGGGCCCTGAAGAGAGACCCTTAGACCTATTTGGGGAAGCTATTCACCAGGGTCCAGGGGCTTCAACGGTGAAAGAGGCCCCTGTTTGGAGGCTTGATTGGCTGTCAGCCCTGGCAGCTCACAACAACATCCTGGTACGCCACCTCGAAAACATTCACCACCAAGAAATGTTCTCGTGATGATCATAGCCTTTTGAAATCGTTTCTCGGAAGACCCTGCTTTTCCTAGTGACCTACACGATGGTATTTACGGCGCAGTTACATTAGCCAAATAGCCAGCATATCGGAATCAGTCAACAACTCCGCCACTGCGCTCATGGCTTCAGGCTAGGGTTTCATGGGAAACAGCTTGCAATGGCGTCACCCGCTTGGACTACCAAGATGTGCCGTCTTCCTATCAGATAAATGCCCATGCTCTTCGCCGCCAACTGATGGTGAGGTTTGGAATGCTGGGCACCACTCACCTTATCGCTCCACGGTGTTCCCCTTGCACTTTGCGTGAGTCACTATATATCTATACTTCAACTCGTACCCCATTCACTTGGAGGCTGCTGCGGTTGATGCTGTGATATTGCGAGAAAAGTGCTGCCTACAGTACCTTGCTCATTGTGCAAGTCCTCTACGGAACGGCCTTATAACATTCAACCCATGCTTGAGGCGGCTGGGCCACTCAAAGCGACAAGTCAAACAACCTCGCACCTATAGCCAGCCCAACTGTATATTCAACTCAACTCAAGCTCAGCTTCAGCTTTAAATCTACTACGAACGCCACCTACCTCAATATCCTTGCGATCCGTTTGCTCTTGGGTCGGTTTCGGAACCGTTTGTGTTCAGGCCTTTGCCAGCATCGTGACTGGTCACCGGTATAGGTGGGCGCTTAGCTCACTCAATTCAACTTCACTCTCGTACTCTAAGCGCTGCCGCCAGAACCGTCGAGGGCGTTTCTGTTACAGCTGATTTCTATTGGAATTTGTTATTCATTGGATACTCTATTTGTGGAGTAAGTCAGGTATGTTGCGTCAAAGCTTTTGCAATCACCCTCTCTTATTGTTGTTATTCCCCTTCCTATTGTTCTATTGTTCGGCCTTTTCTTTCACTTATACACAATCGCACTTCAACCTCGAACAATCAACATGGAATCATAGACGATAGACTGGAAATACTTTTTTGCTCACGGCCGTCATTTCCTTTGTCCCATTTCTTTCATCTTTCGACCTTGGGTTCTTTATCTAATTAATCTTTGTCCCTTCATCGTGTAAATCATCATCACATCTCACTCGACCTGACCCTCATCTTCTTTCGGTCTTCACAATTTTCTACTTATACAATCTCATACAAACTTAATCGTTTGCATTTACCAACAAACATAGATTCAAGATGTTCTCCTCACGGAAAGAAAACGACGACCCGCCGGTCTACCCGGCCGTACCCAACTCCCTCCGGTCAGAATCATTCGAAATGACCGAGATGCGAAAAGTTCAAGAAGCTCGAGCTGATACTGCTCCAAACGTTACTCCCTACCTCAGCCTCAGGGCAAGGCTCTCTCAAATATGGATGAATCGCTGGACAATTCTCCTCATCCTAGTCTTGGTCCGAGTCATGATCCTCATCGTCGACCTCAAAGAAAACGTCGGAGATGCCAAAGTCAAAGCCCTTTCCGCCTGTACCAAGGTCGAAGATGTTGGCAGCGCCATGGCCTCCATGCCTCATTACCTCTCTAGGGGCGTAAACGAACTCGCAGCCTCAGGAATCGAAAAGTCAGTTGATGCCATGGTGTACTTACTCGACCTCGTCCTTGTCGGCGTCAAGAACATGATCGTGTTCTACATCAACTTCCTAACCGCCACATACGTGTGTCTGATTACCGCCATGGTCCACGGTAGTCTCAATGTTGTTGCCGATGTCACTGAAGGGGCGACTGAAAAGTTCAACGGTGTGATCGACAAGGCTGTGGAAAAGATAGATAGTCTCTCCAAGGAACTCGAAGATGGCATTAACAAGGTCACCAAGGGGATTGAAGACTCTGTCTTTGGAGACCTTGTTCCCGATATCCCCAAGGTTGACTTCTCCAGCCCTGTCAAGGAACTCAAGGACTTTGACATCAAGTCCGAAGATTTCGTCAAGGATGTCCGCAAATTGGAAGATGATCTTCCCGACTTCCGAGAAGTCCAGAACTTGACGGAACAAGCCATCTCAATCCCGTTCGACTTCGTCCGCAAAGCCCTCAACGAAACCTACGGCAACTACAAGTTCGATCGGGATGTTTTTCCTCTCGCCCAAAAGAAGAAGTTGACTTTCTGTTCTGAGAATACTGCTCTCAACGACTTCTTCAACAACCTGTTCGAACTTATCCACAAAGCTCGAACTATCTTCATCGCTGTCTTGATCATTCTCGCTCTGACCGCTATTGTTCCCATGGCTTGGCTTGAGATCAGACGGTGGCGACGACAACAGCAGCATGCGCGTCTTATTGCTCAGAACTCGTATGACCCCATGGACATTGTCTACATTGCATCTCGACCCATGACGGCGACTGCGGGCATCAAGATTGCTTCGCACTTCAAGGGCAAGCGACAGATTCTTGTACGATGGCTTATCGCTTATGCCACTTCTGTCCCAGCCCTCTTCATCCTGTCTCTTGCAATCGCCGGCTTCTTCTCTTGCTTTTGCCAGTGGCTCCTCCTCAAAGCGATCAGAGACCAAGTACCTGCTCTTGCAGGCCAAGTTGGCGCATTCGCCGACGATGTTGTTGAGAACCTCGAAGGCGTTTCGGCTGAATGGGCCCATGATGCCAACGGTGTGATCACTGGTTTCAACAATGAAATCAACAACGACGTCCTTGGCTATGTTACCAACGCCACGGATGCTGTCAACGACACTCTCAACACATTTATTGATACCATGAACGATGGACTCAACACCGTCTTCAAGGGAACTATCCTCCTTGACCCTATCAAGACAGTCCTTCACTGTGTCATTGGTATCAAGATCGAGAGCGTACAAAAGGGACTCACTTGGGTTCATGACCACGCCCAGGTCAACTTGCCACTCTTCGAAAACAATATCTTCAGTGAGGGTGCGAAGGACTCGGTTGAAGGTGACTCGGAGCTTAACACGTTCCTGGCATCTCCGTCGTCCGCCACTACTGATGAGGTCACGGGGGCTGTAAAGGCAGTTACAGATTGGCTTCACGGCAAGCTGATTCAAGACGCTCTCATCTCTACCGGTATCCTTCTAGTGTATGTGCTTGTTGTTCTCATTGGCACAGTATGGACAATTGTCGGCATGGTCTCGCCAGACAAGGGCCGCGCTGAAGGCGGTATGCGCTATACTGGAGACAACAGACCAGGCCTAAGTCCTCGCGTCGGACATCAAGATCCTGCCAACCCCGATGGTGCAACACACTTTCCTCGTTTTGGGTCCTCCTCTGGTGAGATAGATCACTACAGAGAAGATGCAAGCAGGCATGACGAGAAGTTCATGTCCGGTGCAACAGGGGCCCGTGCCACACAGGTGGATGGTCACCAAAGAAGCAGCTCCTACGGCTACTTAGACACGGCAAGCGGCAAATACTAGGAGTGTTGGAGCCCGATAGCCAGTTGAAGGATAATTTCCCTTGCAGTTTCATTTTTATTACTCTGGCCCTGGCTGGACCCGCGCCGAGAGAGACGATCCTTTTCAACTGCATGAAGCGATGATTACACGGAAGGCGTTGATACAACGTATCTTGGACATGGAGGCAACTCATATTTATTTCGTTTGTTTCTCAACTGATATCCAAAAGGAAAAAAGGTAGTGGTCGTTGGATACTTAGTCTATGTTTCGTGTCTAAGGGGTAGTCTTGGGTCTGGTTTGTGTTCTACATTGTTTGTGGTCATGATTCCAACCAGATTGTTTCTAGCCCTAGAATGACATAGTAACAACAAATTGAAGGCTACAATTGCAAATCTTGTTGTGTATAGTGGTGATGTGAATGTGCTGCATGCGTGATGAATGCATGGCTATTGTGACTGCATAACAGTGCGTAGACTCCCTTTGATTAGTGGAAGTTTGCTCTATTTCTGATCGAAAGAGGTTATTCCTAATGCTAATTCAGCCTTACATGTGGTTCTTTGTTACAAGATGCTTGGCGTCGGAGCTGCTTGACAAATGTGCCTTAGTTTTGGTGTGCATGATGACTGCAGCAAAGGTAAATGCTTGGCAATACCCAATCGTAATCCCCGTAATTGCTTACATAGGTAGGAGCACTAGATATGTCACACGATTGAGATGCCATGATGCAAGACCCTGAAATTGCAACCAGAGCTCCATCCAATGTCATGTTGATTGATTACCCAATTAGGGAATTCCGGAGCCGATGTGGGTGCTATGATGCTTGATGCAGGGCGGAGTGTGGGCGGAATATGCACCTGCGGGCGACTTGCATGAGCGGGAAGGAGCTAAAGAGTCCAACGGGTCAATTGCAGGTGGCGGAACTCGTTCTTCCGGAATCGGTGGCGGAGAATGAGAATGCAGTCACCAACAAACAACCTCGCCTCAATTTCTTTCTCTCTTTCTTTAAAGATCAACACGTCCTCCCTAGAAATTTCCTCCTTTCAATATCCGTATCATTTCTAGGACCAGAGTCGGAAATCAATTCGCCATGGACGCTATCAAACAGACTTTCAGGCGCTGCAAGGAGCAGAACAGGGTGAGTACACCAAATCCCGTCATGACTGCCCCTCCGCGGGGTAAAACGACAAGAATATCAACTTTCGCGGGGAGAACAAAGAAGCTGACAATGAACTCTTCCTCTGGAACAGTCTGCGCTGGTAACATATGTTACTGCCGGTTACCCCAAGCCTGAAGATACACCCAATATCCTCCTCGCTCTCGAGAAGGGTGGCGCCGGTAAGTTTTCCTCGGCCCAATGACGCCTGTGAACTGTACTAACCGACTCGCAACTTTAGACGTTATCGAAGTCGGTGCTCCTTTCACCGACCCAATTGCCGATGGCCCTACTATTCAAACTGCCAACACGGTTCGTACAGCACCAATCGCTTCGATTAAACAGGAATTGACTGGTTTAGATCGCTCTCGAGAATGGCGTCACAATCGAGTCCACTTTGGCGATGGTGAAGGAGGCCCGATCTCGCGGTCTCAAGGCCCCTGTGATGCTTATGGGCTACTACAACCCTCTTCTCAGCTACGGTGAGGAGAAGCTGCTCCAAGACTGCCACTCTTCCGGCATCAATGGCTTCATCGTCGTCGATTTGCCTCCCGAGGAGGCCATTTCCTTCCGAAAGCTCTGCAACAAGGGCCGGTGAGTTAACCCCGTGAAGTCGAGCCGAGGACAATGCTGACCCCACAAATAGTCTCTCATATGTTCCTCTTATTGCTCCCGCTACATCAGATACCCGAATGAAGATTCTCTGCCAGCTCGCCGATTCATTCATCTACGTCGTTTCACGCATGGGCGTCACCGGCGCTACCGGCACTCTTAACGCGAACCTCCCCGACCTCCTAGAGCGAGTGAAGAAGTACAGCGGCAACAAGCCCGCCGCTGTCGGTTTCGGTGTTAGCACACGAGAGCACTTCCTAAGTGTTGCTACTTTGTCAGACGGTGTCGTCGTTGGCAGTCAGATCATCACCACCATCAAGAACGCCGCTCCCGGCCAGGCTCTTGCCGATGTCGAAAAGTACTGTGCCTACCTATCAGGCCGCGACTCCGATGAGAACACACGAGAGGTCGGTCTTGTTGAGGCTGTTGCTGGTGCTAAGGAGCCCAGCGGCGAGAACGTCACCGTCAGTGGTACCGTCACAGATGCCGATATTACTGCCGAGGAGGACAGCGCTCTGGTTGCCCAGCTCGCTGCTCTTCACGGCAAGATCCCTGAACGATTTGGCGAGTTCGGTGGTCAGTACGTTCCTGAGAGTCTGATGGACTGCCTATCACAACTGGAGGACGGATTCAATGCGATCAAGGACGACCCCTCATTCTGGGAGGAATACAGATCTTACTACGAGTACATGGGACGACCCGGCCACTTGCACTTGGCTGAGCGACTCACTGAGCACGCTGGCGGTGCCAACATCTGGCTCAAGCGTGAGGATCTGAACCACACTGGTAGCCACAAGATCAACAACGCCCTGGGACAGCTTCTCCTTGCCCGAAGACTCGGAAAGAAGCGAATTATCGCTGAGACTGGTGCTGGTCAGCACGGTGTTGCTACCGCCACAGTTTGTGCCAAGTTCGGCATGGAGTGCACAGTTTACATGGGAGCTGTAAGTTTTGGCCTATTCTCTGATTCAAACATTGTTACTAATACATTAAATAGGAGGACGTCCGACGACAGGCTCTCAACGTTTTCCGTATGCGACTACTCGGTGCCAAGGTTGTTGCTGTCGAAGCTGGCAGCAAGACTCTTCGAGACGCAGTCAACGAGGCCCTCCGCGCTTGGGTCGTTGACTTGGATACTACCCACTACATCATCGGTTCTGCCATCGGACCTCACCCCTTCCCTACCATTGTCCGAACCTTCCAGTCAGTGATCGGTAACGAGACCAAGCAACAAATGCTCGAGAAGCGAGGCAAGCTTCCCGATGCTGTTGTGGCTTGTGTTGGTGGTGGCAGTAACGCTGTCGGCATGTTCTACCCCTTCGAGAACGAGCCTACTGTCAAGCTTCTAGGTGTTGAGGCTGGTGGTGACGGTGTTGATACTGCTAGACATAGTGCTACTCTCACTGGTGGTTCCAAGGGTGTCCTGCACGGTGTAAGGACATATGTTCTCCAGGACAAGCACGGCCAAATCACCGAGACACATTCCGTTTCCGCCGGCCTCGATTACCCCGGTGTCGGACCTGAGCTGAGCTCTTGGAAGGACAATGAGCGAGCCAAGTTCGTTGCTGCCACTGATGCCGAGGCTTTCCTTGGCTTCAAGCTCATGAGTCAGCTCGAGGGTATCATTCCCGCTCTTGAGACAGCTCACGGTATCTTTGGTGCCATTGAGCTTGCCAAGACAATGAAGAAGGGCGAGGATATTGTCATTTGCCTGAGTGGCCGTGGCGACAAGGACGTGCAAAGCGTCGCTGATGAGCTGCCCAAGTTGGGCCCCAAGATTGGCTGGGATCTCCGTTTTTAGATTAAAAAGTGATACCATGTTTGGATTATGTAGCAACCATTGAAATGACAGCATGAACAAAAAGTCTTTTTCTATCGTGGCTCTGGCGGGTTGGTGATACAATGGTTGGAAGGCGTTGAAAATGGGGGGTTTTGGTACATATTATACATAAGACATTTTACACCGTAATCTTTTGCTCGCCTTGTCTCTTTCTGGCTTCCATCTCTGCATCAAGCTCCTTGAACAACAGGGCCTCATCCTCATCTGACAACTCCTCAATGCCCTCCAAATCAGCCAAGTCCTCATCACCCAGCACAAACTCCTGCGCCACAAGTTCACCCAGCGTTGCTTGGCTCCGCTTGCTCAAAGGACCAGGAGTTGCGAAATCGAGTGCATACTGAATGATATCGTCCCGGTCCTCGATCTCCTTGGGCAACATACCCAGAGCAATACGTTCCTCGTTAAATCGCTTCTGAATATCCTTGGACTGCATAAGAAGCCACCTCAGGTTCCAGCCACCAGGGCCAAGCTCCTTTATCCTGGCGGGCTTGCTCTTGAGAAGATATTCCTGGAGACCACCCTCTCGGCGGATGGTCTTGAGAACTCGGAGTGTGAGGCGGGTCTTGACGTTGGCTTGTATGGCGGGTAGCCTGAAGACCTTGACGTGAACGTTTGGACGCCAGAATCGACGGGCCTTGTTGTTGTACTTTTCCGCAACAGTGTTCCCGAAACGGATTCTCGCTGAGCCGTATAGACCCTTGTTGGACTGCTTGTAGACTCTTCGCTCGCCATAGGGATATGGAGGGATCAGGCGGTTGGGTAGAAGGTGTGACTTGATCGTCTTGGTCTGCTGAGGAAGAGTTGTGCTGAAAAGTCGAGCGGGTGTCACTGGTGATGATGAGACCAGGGCCCTCAGAGCCGGCCGAGCGGGGGCCCAGGATGCCATGATATTCGTTATCGAGACTCGGAGTGTGATTTTCTGGTTATATACGAGGCATTGGTCTCAATTGACGTCGAGGTGGGCGGAGATTTTCGAGCGCGGAGTGCCCCCTTCGAGATGCGCTGATCGTCAACGATATCAATGACCTTTTGGAGTTGAGATTTTTGGGCTGTCGTTGTTCGGAGGGGCGTGATGTTCCGGCGCCGGAGACATGGGCTCTTTGACTTGGGGGAATTGCCCAATCAGATGATTTCGTGGTGTCCTCACGATAGGGTCCACTACAGCTTCACTATCAACAAAGCAAACAATGAGTATTCGTCGACAGCGGGATCTGACCTGATCTGATATACGATAGCCATGTTTCCTCCTGTGGAAGACTCTGTTCTTCAGAATAACCCTGACTTTGCGAATCTTTATAATAAACTTACTAATCTTATTCTTAATCCGGATGGATCGACTAAGGAGGATCCCAGAGCTAAAGAGCGGGCTGCAGTTCGAGAGGTGAGACTACTACGTGGTTATTGATTCAATAGTGTTGTTGTATTCTGACTTGAGTTATAGAAACTCAACCGCCGGCGCCTTGTCTGTGCGAAACAACATCTCCTAACTCGTGCCATCTCATCAACAACGCCATCAAGCACACCGCCCGCAACAAGAGCTTCCTCCCGCCTACGAGCACCTCATAACCAACAGCCTACAGAGTCAAGATCTCAATTACAGCAACAGCCTTCGCTTCCAGAGCCTCTACTCGATCTTCTTCTCATCCTCCCTCCTCTTCTCGACGCCAGCAATCCACCTCTTCCTCAAGATACTCTCCAACTCCTATTCGCCCATCCTCCCCTTTCAGACCTTGAGACTCTCCTCCCAGCTCTTGCGCCGGTTATCGCTTCGAATTTAC